CTGTCCTTTTAAAAACTGAAGAGATTTGACTGAGTGTTCGACCAAACAAGATCTTACTGTTGCATCCATAAGGTTAAACATAATTAGCAAGCATCAGAGGCAAACAGAATAGCATTTTGAAAAGTTCTGAAAATAGACCAGGCATGGTGGCTCACGCCTGTAATCTTAACACTTTGGGAGGTGAGCCCAGGAATTTGAGACCAGCCTGGGCAACATAGTGAGACTCCTGTTTCCACAAAAAATGCAAAAATGAGCTGGGTGTGGTAGGTCACACCTGTAGTCCCAGCTACTTGGGAGGCTGAGGTGGGAGTGTTGCTTGAGCCCAGGAGGTGAAGGCTGCAGTGAACCGAGATCACACCACCGGACTGCAGTCTGGGTAACAGAGTTAGACCCTGTCTCAAGAAAAAAAAAAAAAAAGTTCTGAAAATAAAATGCTTCAAGACCCTTATATTTTTATTGTAGCTAGCTTTTTGTCTTATAAAAGTTTGGTTTTCTGGAAATGAATAATGACTTCTAAATTTTTGCTTTATTAAATTATAAAACAAGGGCTATGTACATCATAATGTAAAAACAACAACAATAAAGCAAAGTGTCACAGAAAAACCTAGTTTTGCTGGCACCTCTCCATTTTATTTCACCTGTTTATCATATAAATGCCCTTCCTAAGTAAGTTAGAATGTGTTTGGCTATGGGTAACAGGAATCCTGATGAACAGGGTTTTAAATATAAGGACATATCTGTTTTACCTAATAAAAAGCCCAAGAACTGGCAGTCCCTTGGTGAGATTGGAAGATTAACAGGGTCATCGAGGATCCAGGGACTTTCCTTCTTGACTCTGAATTCCCAGCAGCCTGCTTTCATTTTCCAACTTGTTGCCTCATCATCATAAGATAGTTTCTATAGGTGCAAGCATCACAGCCTCTCACAGCCTAGTAAGAGACAAGGAAGGGAGGGAGGGGGAAAACATTTCATCTTGTGTGCCACTCTCTTCTCAGGAAGGAAAATTTTTCTCAGAAACCCCGAGAGATTTCCTCTGATCCCAGTCAGAACTGCTCAACTGTCCAACTCTGCCTGCAAGAAGACTGAGCACCACCACTATTTGGTAAAGACCATGATAGCCATGCTTACCTTAGACCACGTGTTCTCATCAAGGGTATGATGGGAGGGGGCAGTATTGAAAATATAGAAAGGGACACTTTCAGTTGTCACATAAACAGAGAGGTGCTATTGGTATCTAGTGGGTTGGTCTAGGGATGCTAAACGTCCACAAAATTCTTTTCACGCACAAATTGTCTTGTCCAAAAACAACAGCACACTTGTTGAGAAACACTGGCTTACAACGGCCGTAATTCATCTCCTGGCCTGAAGACACTATGACTCAAACACAATTTAGAAGTTCCTAGATTGTGCAAGAGGAGGAACATGGCTCCCAGTAGTGTGTACTGGGATGTTGGAAGGAGTACAGCAACGCCTAGTCATTCTGGCATGCTAAATCCTTTTCAGAAAGCTGCTGTTATTTGTACCGAATGGGCAACCAGGAAAGAATTACAGGGATCAGGACAGGGAAATTCCATGCAAAGTGTGCCTTTATTTTTCCCAGTAAAGGGATTTTTTTCCAGTAGCTGGACAAGCCTGTTTCCAAGAATAATTGACTCTGAGTTACCCATACCTCTGTTACCTCTGTTGACTAACGGATGCTCCTCATTCCCACCAAGGAGTTCAGAATGTTTAAAACCTAATTCTATATTTATTTTTTTACTATTATTATTTTAGAATTAGAGACAGAGTATAAATTTATAAAATAATTTATAGTCATAATATTATTTTTAATGGACACATAATAACTGTACATATTCTGGAGTATACTGTGATGTTTCCATACATGTATACAATGTGTAGTGATGAAATCAGGGTAATTGGCACATCTATCACTTCAAATACCTATTATTTCTTTGTTTGAAAACATTCAAAATCTGCTCTTCTATTTGAAAATATACAATAAATTGCTGGTTATTATAGTTACCCTATAGTGCTGTAGAACACTAGCACTTATTCCTCCCATCTAGCTGTACTCTTATATCTGTTAATAACCTCTGGCTGTCCCCTCCCTACCCCCACCCTTTCCAGCCTCTAGTAACCACTATTCTACTTTCTACTTCTATGAGATCAACTTTTTTAGCTTTCAAATATCAGTGAGAACATGCAGTATTTCTGTGTTTGGCTTATTTCACTTAATATAATGTCTTCCTGTGGCTAAATAGTATTCTTACATATATACATGGATATGTACATGTATATATATACACACCACATTTTCTTTTTCTTTTTCTCTCCTTTTCTCTTTCTTTCTGGGATAGGGTCTCTCCCCTCTGTCACCCAGGCTGGAATGCAGAGGTGCATTCATAGCTCACTACAGCCTTGAACTCCTGGGCTCATGAAATCTTCTCACCTCAGCATCCCAAGTAGCTGGGACTATAGGCACACACCACCATGCCTGGCTAATTTTTATTTTTTTTTTAGAGATGGGGTCTTACTTTGTTGCCCAGGCTGGTCTCAAACCCTCCTCGAGCAATTCTCCCACTTCAGCCTCCTAAAGTGCTGGGATTACAGAAATGAGCCACCATGCCTGGCCATATATACCACATTTTCCTTATCCATTCATCTGTTGATGGACACTTAGACTGAGTCTTTATCTTGACTATTGTGAATGGTGCTGCAACATACACGAGAACGCAGATATCTCATCAACATATGAATTTCTGAAATAGTATTTTAATAATAGCCTAGTAAAAATTATAAAAACCTACTTAATTTTTTAAAAAAAAAACTTAGAATGTCAGAAGTCTTTGTCGTCTGCAGAGAAAATGAAGACTAAACATTATTAGCTTTAATTATAATTTAAAAGATCTAAATGTTCACTAAATCTGAAAGATTAGATACATTGGGTTGATATGCTGCATTGCTGCTCACAGTAAAATCACATAAGTCAGTGTAAAATCCGCTAGATTAGAAAAAGAAGACTAGGAAGTTTGGTTTGCCTTCCCTATCTGTAAAACCACAAATCTCTATGCTTGACACAAACTAAGGTAAATAAATAATGTTTCTTAGGCTAATTGCTAATGGTGAATAGGAGATAACCTGGCATAGAAGAGTAGAAAGAGCATTCCAGACAGAAAGAATGGACCCAGCAGAGGTACTAACTGGTGAAACAGCATGACATGGTCATAGTCATACCAGATGTGAGTTCTTGAGAGCACTGTGGATTAACATTAATGTTTTTAACCAACAACTCTGATCTCTCCAGGATCCCTGGATTTCTGGGTGCCAATACCAAAAGCTAGACTTACTGCAAAATTTTTTTTTTTCCTCTGTACTTCTGCAATAGATGGAATGTTTGCATCCACCCAAAATTCATGTTGAAATCTTAATCCCTAATGTGGAGGTAGGTGGTGAGGCCCTTGGAAGGTGATTAGGTCATGAAGGTAGGGCCTTCAGGAATGAGATCAGTGCCTTTATAAAAGGGATCTCACAGAGCTCTCTTTTTCTGTTTTCACCACATAAGAGATAAGAGAAGTCAGCTGGCGCGGTGGCCCATGCCTGCAATCCCAGCACTTTGGGAGGCCGAGGCAGGTGGATCACGAGGTCAGGAGCTCAAGACCGGCCTGGCCAACATGGTGAAACTCTGCCTCTACTGTCTCTACCCATGTCTCTAGCCGAGCATGGTGGCACGTGCCTGTAATCCCAGCTACTCAGGAGGCTGAGGTGGGAAAATCGTTTGAACCAAGCAGGCAGAGGTTGGAGTGAGCCCAGATCCGGAGAGGTGGCTTGCGCCTGTGGTCCAAGCTACTGGAGAGGCTGAGACAGGAGGATCACCTGAGCAAAGGAGGCGGAGTCTGCAGTGAGCCAAGATCGTGCTCCCTCACTTCGGCCTGGGCAACAGAGCAAGATCCTTTCTCAAAAAAAAAAAAAAAAAGTTATAGGCTAAGTATTAGGCTTATGGCAAAGAAGTGGCCAATTCACTTACTCTCAATCTAACTCAGTATTATGTTTTGTTTTGTTTTTTGAGACAGAGTCTTGTTCTGTCCCCCAGGTTGGAGTGCAGTCACGCGATCTCAGCTCACTGAAACCTCCATTTCCTGGGTTCTAGAGAGTCTCCTGCCTCGGCATCCCAAGTAGTTGGGATTACAGGCGTGCGCCACCACACCCGGCTAATTTTTGTATTTTTAGTAGAGACAGGGTTTCACCATGTTAGCCAGGCTGGTCTCGAACTCCTGACCTCAAGTGATCCACCCACCTTGGCCTCCCAAAGTACTGGGATTACAGGCGTGAGACACGATGCCCAGCCTTGTTTTTTCTTTTCTTTTTTGGGGTGGTGGCGGGGGGACAGAGTCTCGCTCCCTCTCCCAGGCTGGAGAGCAGTGGCACGATCTCAGCTCACTGCAACCTCTACCTCCCGGGTTCAAGTGAATCTCCTGTCTCAGTCTCCTGAGTAGCTGGGATTACAGGCGCCCACCACCACGTCCGGCTAATTTTGTGTGTGTGTGTGTGTGTGTATACATATATATATGTAGCCTATAGAATGATACTTTGATGGCATTTCCCAGCAGTCTTTCATCTAAAGGTTTTAAAGTCCATTGACAGTCCTTGTCTGAGTCAATTATTTCATTAAGGTTTGCATCATGGTTATTTTCTAATTCTATATTTTATTCTATACTTATTAGCTGGCATCCTATACTAGAGTTTTTCTTCATCAACTGGGGATAAACCACATTTTTTATTTTTAAAAAATGTAAATATATGTATATATATATTTAGTAGAGACCGAGTTTCACCATGTTGGCCAGGCTGGTCATGAACTCTTGACCTCAAATGATCCACCTACCTCAGCCTCCTAGAGTGTTGGGATTACAGACGTGAGCCACCGTGCCCAGCCTGTATGTACTTTTTAATACACTAATATGTAAATAACTTTGTGTGTGTATGGGAAAGCGGTTTCTCATTTTCCCAAAAATTGCACTAAGGTAAAGCAAAGCTCTAGTTGATTTCAATGTTGTGCAGGAGTTAGTGGTACTGCCCTCACTAGGCACTCATTGAACAGTAGCACAAACCCAAGAAATGGATGGTTGTAAGTAACTTTCATCATGTACTGATATTTCATTCGAAATGGTGACTTGAAGCTGGTTAGATATTGAAACTGAGACTATAGTATGCCTAACTCAGCTGCTCAATATTTATTGCTTATAGTCTTATGACTTTTTTTTGAATAATTATCTTTGCTAGTACTATTAGATTTGCATGACAACCCTTTCTCTTGTATTTTCTGTAAACTGGAGGTTGTCCCACTATTACTGATACTAAATTTGATGGGTTGGTTCAAATGGTGACCACCAGATGGCTCCACTATACAGGTGTATTTTATCTTTTTTTTTTTGAGAGTCTTGCCCTGTCGCCCAGGCTGTAGTGCAACGGCGCGATCTTGGCTCAGTGCAACCTCCGCTCCTGAGTTCAAGTGATTCTCCTACTTCAGCCTCCCGAGGAGCTAGAACTACAGGCGCATGCCCCTGCGCCCAACTAATTTTTTTTGTATTTTTATTTTAATTTACTTTTTATTTTTATTTATTTTTTTTGAGACGGAGTCTCACTCTGTCACCTAGGCTGGAGTGCAGTGGCACAAGCTCGGCTCGCTGCAAGCTCTGCTTCCCGGGTTCATGCCATTCTCCCGCCTCAGCCTTCCAAGTAGCTGGGACCACAGGCGCCCGCCATCACGCCCAGCTGATTTTTTGTATTTTTAGTAGAGACGGGGTTTCACCGTGTTAGCCAGGATGGTCTCAATCTCCTGACCTCGTGATCTGCCCACCTCCGCCTCCCAAAGTGCTGGGATTACAGGCACGAGCCACTGCGCCTAGCCTTTTATTTATTTATTTATTTATTTATTTTTGAGGTGGAGTTTTGCTCTCGTTGCCCAGGCTGGAGTGCAATGGCGCGATCTTGGCTCACCACAACCTCCGCCTCCCGAGTTCAAGCGATTCTCCTGCCTCAGCCTCCCTAGTAGCTGGGAGTATAGGCATGCGCCACCACGCCCGGCTAATTTTGTATTTTTAGTAGAGATGGGGTTTCTCCATGTTGGTCAGGCTGGTCTCAAACTCCCAACCTCAGGTGAGCCGCCTGCCTTGGCCTCCCAAAGTGCTGGGATTACAAAGATGAGCCACTGTGGCCTTTTTTTTTTTTTTTTTTTTGTATTTTTAGTAGAGATGGGGGTTTCACTACGTTGGCCAGGTTGGTCTTGAACTCCTGACCTCGTGATCTGCCTGCCTCGGCCTCCCAAAGTGCTGGGATTACAGGCGTAAGCCAGCACACCCAGCCTGTAATTTCTTTTACAATTAGGTAAGTAGCCTGTAGAATGATACTTTGATGGCATTTCCCAGCAGTCTTTCAGCTAAAGGTTTTAAAGTCCATTGAAAGTCCTTGTCTGAGTCAATTATTTCATTAAGGTTTGCATCATGGTTATTTTCTAATTCTATATTTTATTCTATACTTATTAGCTGGCATCCTATAGTAGAGTTTTTCCTCATCAACTGGGGATAAACCACATTCTTTATTAAAAACAAAAAAACAAAAAAACCAGGGTAGGTTGGGAGCAGTGGCTCATGTCTGTACTCCCAATGCTTTGGGAGGTTGAGGTGGGAGCAACACTTGAGCCCAGGAGTTCAATACCAGCCTGGGCAACATAGCAAGACCCCATCTCTAAAAAAAAAAAACCAAAAAAAAGCAAAAACACTTAGCCAGGTATGGTGGTGAGCACCTGTAGTCCCAGCTTCTGAGGAGGAAGGAGGATCACTTGAGACCAGGAGGTCAAGGCTACAGTGAGCCATGTTCGTGCCACTGCACTCCAGTCTGGATGACAGAGCAAGACTCTGTCTTAAAAACAAAAACAAATGAAACAAAAAACAAACAGGGTAAATGCTATCTCCCTTTAATAACTAATTTTCAGAGTATCGAATTGATGTAATGGACACTACTAATGAGGGAAAAATAGTTTCCCTCTTCTTATTCTCTCTTCTCTGTACTAGATAGCAGATTTTTATTTATTTAGTATTTGCAATCAATTGTATTTATTTTCTTTTTGACGCTAAAACTGCCCTAAATTTGGCCTGTGGGAGATCCTTCAAGCTGGCTCCCATGTCTCTAAAATTTATTTTTGAGAGACTGAAAATACAAATGGAAAATGGCCAGAATATACATAAAAGCAGAATTCTGACCCATTACCTGCAACAACTAGCCCAGTAAACCAACCACCTATCTACCATAAGTGCTGTCCTCCCAGCCTGAAAGCCAAACCTGCTATCAACCAGACTTGTAGGAAATCAGACTCTATCTCTGGTATCTCTGGATTGCTATCTCTGGTAGCAATTCAGGAAGCTAAATAGTAACTTCTATGACAATCAGCTCAAAATGGCCAGGACTTGATTAAAAATGGACAGCTTCCCTAATTTTTGTCCCAATTTCTAGCTTATGACCATTCACAGAAAACCAAATATCCTCCTTTAACCAAGCCCATAGAATGCCAACTTGTAGTTAGCTTCCAGCTTCCCCATGCCAACAGCTTCCGATCAGGCATACCTGTGAAACCTTTCCTTTTGTCCACTGTAAAGCTTTCCCACTCCTCTGCATGCCTTTGAACCTCTGCCAAAACATAAGGGATGGTGGCTGACTCCCTTGCTATGGCAAGTTCTCAACAGACTTTGCTTTTCTCATTTGGTTTGCAATAAAATGCATCCTATATAGTGACACAATTTGATGAATTTTGACAGATGTATACATCCCCGTTAACCATGACACAGAACATTTCCATCACCCCCAAAAGTTCTCCCATTTTCCTTTCCAGTCAATTCCTTCTCTCTTCCCCTCCTAGTCAACCACTGATCTGCTGTCTTTCGCTATGGATTAGTTTTGTTTGTTCTCCTAAATACAGCTGGCATAGCCTCATTGGTCTAAGCACTTCCTTTGCATTCAGGCACAATGAAATACCTGGCTCATCTTGTACTTTTCCCATCCCAGAGCTGGAATCAGCCAATTCTCCAAAGGAGCTCTGGATCTTTTTAGTGGGAAATGGAATTTAGAAACCAAGATCTGGGTGTTAGATGTGCTCACTGTTACTGTAGGGTGACCATGCCTGTACATCCTGGTTCACCTGGGACTCTTCCAGTTTTAACCGAAAGTCCAGCATCCAGAGAAAACCCCTCTGTCTGTGGCAAACTGGAACAACTGGTCACCCTAGTGCTTCTAGGCCCTTTCAGTCCACAGAACTAGGACATTATTTTTTTTTGCAGTTTAACTTTTTTTTCCTTTTTCTTTTCTTTTTTTTTTTTTCTTTTTGATAGGGTCTATTGCCCAAGCTGGAGTGCAATGGTGATATCACAGCTCACTGTAACTTTAAACTCCTGGGCTCAATTGGGCCCCTCGCCTTAGCCTCACAAGTAGCTAGGCCTATAGGCACAGGCTACCACCCCTGGCTATTTTATTATTTTGTATTTTGTAGAGACAAGATCTCACTGTGTTGCCCAGGCTGGTCTTGAACTCCTAGGCCACTTTGGCTTCCCAAAGCACTGGGATTCAAGGTATGTGCCACTGCACCCAGCCCTCCAGTTTAAACTCGATATTACAGACTTTTTTTTCTGAACTTCTTAAAATTCTTTTTTTTTTTTTTTTGAGACGGAGTCTCGCTCTGTCGCCCAGGCTGGAGCACAGTGGCCGGATCTCAGCTCGCTGCAAGCTCCGCCTCCAGGGTTTACGCTATTCTCCTGCCTCAGCCTCCCGAGTAGCTGGGACTACAGGCGCCCGCCACCTCGCCCGGCTAGTTTTTTGTATTTTTTTAGTAGAGACGGGGTTTCACCGTGTTAGCCAGGATGGTCTCGATCTCCTGACCTCGTGATCCGCCCATCTTGGCCTCCCAAAGTGCTGGGATTACAGGCTTGAGCCACCGCACCCGGCCTAAAATTCTTTATATTAGTTTTCTTCCCCCCGAGGATCAATGAACTTCTTAAAAATTGTTTTAAATTTTTTAAAAAATGGAGACAGATCTCGCTACGTTGCCCAGGCTGGTCTTAAACTCCTGGACTCTTACGATCTTCCCACCTTGGCCTACCAAAGTGCTGGGATTACAGGCATCAGACACCCGGCCCTTTTCTGAACTTCCTTGATCTTGCATTTGTATCTCATTTTCTCATACACTGCAAGTCTTTGTACACAGTAACATTAAAATACTTATGTTATCCTACCTTATGCAGTACAGTTTCAAAACCACAGTAACAATGTTACCATTAATCATAAATCAGTGAAGCTGAAAGCTCCTTTGCACTTTTTTCATCCTTAGGATACACAGTTGACCCTTGAATAACACTAGTTTGAACTGCCAGGGTCCACTTATATGTGGATTTCTTTTTACCCAAACACAGTGGGGCCAGGGACGGTGACTCACACCTACAATCCTGGCATTTTAGGAGGCTAGGTGGGAGGATCACTTGAGCCCAGGAGTTCAAGACCAGCCTAGGCAACATAGCGCTCTACAAAAAAACAGAAAAAAATTACCTAGATGTGGTGGCACATGCCTGTGGTCCCAGCTACTCGGGAGGCTGAGATGGGAGGACTGCTTGAGCCCAGGAAGTCAAAGCTGTAGTGAGCCGTGATCGTACCACTGCACTCCAGCCTAGATGACAGTCAGACCCTGTTCTCAAAAAAGAAAAAAAAAGAAAAGCAAGGGAAGGAAAGGAAGAAAGGGAAGGAGGGAGGGAGAGAGGGAGGGAAGGAGGGCGGGAAGAAGAGAGGGAGAGAAAGAAAAAAGAAAAGAAATGAAAGAGAAGGAAGGAAGAAAACAAAGCAGAAGTACAGCAGGATGCAAAACACGCCTATACAAAGAACCAACTTTCCCTATGCTCAGGTCTGGGACTTTAGTATGCAGATTTCTGTATAGGCTCCCAGAAGGTCCTAGATGCAATCTCCTGCATATAAGGAAAGACTACACTATCTCAACACAGATACACTACTAGAGTACTGTGTTCAAAAGCTCGGAGGCACCAGTGGTGGTGGCTCACGCCTGTAATCCCAGCACTTTGGGAGACCAAGGTAGGCAGATCACCTGAGGTCGGGAGTTTGAGACCAGTCTGACCAACGTGGTGAAACCCCATCTCTACTAAAAATACAAAAATCAGCAGGGGATGATGGCACATGCCTATAATCCCAGCTACTCAGGAGGCTGAGGTGGGAGAATCGCTTGAACCCAGGAGGCAGAGGTTGCAGTGAGCTGAGATTACACCACTGCACTCCAGCCTGGGCAACACAGTGAGACTGTCTCAAAAAAAAAAAAAAAAAAAAGCCCCAAATTATTTTTTCTGTGTATCGCTAGTTGTATTAGTTAAGTTCATTTGTTTCTATTTGCTTTCAACCTTAGGATTTATTTTGTTTTCTTTTTTATTTACTTTTTGGCTATGTAAAACGAAAAATTCAAAGTAGAGAAGTCTTGTCTCCCCTCCACTCTTTCCCACCACTCTTTATAGGTAACTATTTTAAGTTTCAAGGATATCCTTCCAATTCCTCCCCCAAAATAAGTATATATATATAAATATTCATATTAAATATATTTTTTATATATTTAAGTAAATAAAAGCATATATGCTTATTTTTGCTTTTGAATAAAGTGAATACTTAATATACTTAAGTATTTAAGTGAATACTTGATATAACCTGAGACTCATTTCAAAGCAACACGATTATTTTATGAATCTTTTTAATGGCTGCACTGTATTCTACTGTATGGATGCACCATTCCCAATCAGTTCTCTATTAATGGATATTTGGGTTATCCCTAACTTTTGCTATGACAGCACTGCAATAACCTTGTGTACCTATTGTTTCCACGTGTGGAGCTGTACCTTCAGAATAAGGTTAGGGTTAGAAGTATAACTTCAAGGTATAAGAAAAAACAAGTAATTTTGAACTCGACAGAACTTGAACCATTTTTCCATTCCCACCAGGAAAGGCAATTTCAATGTGTATTTCCATTGTAAGTGAGGTGGAGCGACTTTCTATGTTCATGAGGAACACAGAATTACATAGAACATAAAAAATGACTATTTTTTCTGAGAATCATCTGTTCATGTGCTTCCCCATTTTCCCCTTTGGCTTTTGGACTTTTTGTTTTCAATTTTTGAGCGCTCTTGTGATACAAGTTGCAAAGATTTTCTCCAGACTGATCTGATTCACTGGGAACACACTATGGCCATCTGGAATGTACTTTAATCTTATCCTAATAGATCACCCTACTACAAGACACTCCTTTGGGGATGAACAGGTTCGAGAAAGCCGGCTAAGGACAGACCAATCAAAAGAACTACGTGCTCCTCTAGTAAGTGTTTAGAGACTGCTTCTCCAGGTAACACCGCCCTTACTCGGCGGTCCAGATGGCAGTCTTGCTTCAGGGAGTCTACTCCACTTGCAGGACCTCTTTGGTTGGGTTCACTAAACCTCACAGGGCCGCCTTCCCCACGTTCGAGTTAGCAAGGAGCCCTCAGCGCCGCGGACACAGCGCAACCTCCGACGCCGGAGAACAATAGCTCCTTGATGCGTCTCCAGAGATGTCAAGGAGGAACGAACCCAGCGGCCAGAAGGCTGCGCCTCACGACTGAAGAGAGGGAGGACATCGGATTCTAAGTTCCCAAAACTTACAGGTGAGCTTCTGCTAAGAGCAAAGGCCCGCGGCTCGCCGCCCACCGCTTCTCTTCTGAGGTGGCACCTGGTTCTCCGGCACGCGGAAGCATCACGGATGAGCGTCGCGAACACAAAGCGGCCAATCACGGGCCGCCTTCGCCCAGATCCCTCCGCACGAGGCCGCCCCCGCAGCCGCAGGTGGCCCCGGCGAGTACGTCCACCTTCCCTTCCCGTGATGCCCCGGGGCTGACCTCCGACCTCGCTGGCCCGCCCCTCCCTTCGGCCGCTTCCCTTACCGCGCTAGCTGAGCTCCGGCGCCCGCGGAGCTCGCGCCAGGCTCCTGGGCAAGGACGGGGCGTATTACCGGGGAGCAGCTGCTCCATTGCGCCTCGAGGCCCCGATCGGGCTAGGCTGGCGGCCTCCCTCCCTTCACCTTTCCTCTCCTGGCAGGGCCCGGCGGCGGGCGAGTGACTGCGGCCACGCCTGAAAGGCGACTCTTCTGTGAGTGGGCCAGAACGCGAACATGGCGGAGCGGGGAGGCTGGCGGGAGGCGGGAGGCAGTGGCGCTGGCCTGCGGCGAGTTTGGGCCGGCTGTGGGGCGGGGCGGGGCGGGGCGGAGCGGAGCCCGGTGGCGGGGCGGGGCCGGGCGGCGGGTCCTGGTTTCCTCCCTCAGCGCCATTTTGTGGCAGCGAGACCCACAAATAAAGGGGAGCGCTGGGGTTGCGGCGGGACTAGGAGTGCGGCGGGGCAGGCGCCAGAGCTGTCCGGCTGCGCGGGGGCCCGGGGGGCCCGGGCGGCAGGGCAAGCAGCGCGGCCTCGGCCTATGCGACTGGCGGCGCCGGCGCGGCTTCTGCCTGAAGAGGTAGGTGCGGGCCGGCTGGCGGGAGCGGCCGCGGGGGACCTCCGGGGCTGAGGGTTGGGGCGCAGCCGCCCCCGGCCGGTAAGAGGCTGGCAGGGCCCGAAAGGCCACTCGGGCCCGGCGCGGCACCAGTCTCGTTATCCGCTCTACCTTCCCGCCAGCGGGGAACACTTCCGCCGCGTCGAGGCCATTTTATCTCCGTCCTCCGTCCCCAGGGCCCGGGGTGAGAGGGGTGCTCCGGCGGCCGGAGAGACCGGCCACTCACGGAGGTCGGAGGATGCCCTCCGCGGGCTGAGCGGCGGCGCTCGTTTTTTCCTCACCTCGGTGTTGCTCCCTCCACCTCCCTTGGGCCTCTCCCGAGTTCAGCAAGGAAAAAAAGAAACGTTCGTTCCCTACATTTCATGTCACGCAGTAGGATGTTACTGCAGCTACGTTCTCTTGTAGACTTCCATTTTTAAATGAGTGCATGCATTCTGAGGAAAGAAACTGAATTATTTGCAGATTTTTGTGAAATCCAAGTCTTACGTTGGATCCCTGTGAGACAGTTACTGCATTATTTTTTTAACCTTTTTTCATAAGTCAGTGTACACGTAGTGGAAAAGGCCAAGTTCTTGTTTTGATAAGGAAGTCACTTGGTTGGTTGATCCCAAAGGACTAGCTTAACATTATCAAGGACTAGCATAGCTGATTATGTTTAAAAAAAAAAAAAAAAAACTGTTTAGTTTGGTAGGGAAATACTTCGATTAGTATGTTACAGTTAGAAGTTGTATTTGTGCCTATTTTATCTAGTTTTAGTTAATTCTATTGCTTCGGAAGATAAGTGGACGTCATAGATCCATCACACGGTCTCGTTTTTTGGATTTTAAAATTTTGACCATTAAGTTTTCTACGATAAACATGTTGTGGTCATTTAAAACCGTAATTTAAAATTATGAGCGAAAAATCTTTTCAAGGTGGATACATTTTAATTCATTCAAGTAGCATCTGATTAGGCAAGTCCGCAGGTTGGCTTGTGATAAGGTTGAGGTTACATTTTACAGGTTTGGATAGGTGTGTTTCTTACAGTGCTTTTAGATCTTAAGGTATCTTAAGCAGACACATAGTCTAAAAGTTCAGTATTTTTCGTACTTTTTCAGTGGCAGAATTTGTACAAGCTACCAGAATGTCTAACTCCTAAAGGATAAAAGTAATAATAATAGGGTGTCCCAGGCACAGCTTATTTTTACATGGCTCTTTTATGTGTAGCTTTTCCAATTCAACGTTGAGTCATGTTTGCTGAAAATATTTTTGTGTATTGTTTGTCAGAAATAAGCTGGTAGAGATGAAACAGAAAATATGTAAAAGCCCTATGATGTGGAGATGAGCATTGTCACAATTTGTACAGTACAGTAAAGCGTTCAAGGTCCCCTGTGGTCTTGTATGTAGTATTGAATCCCTTTGAATATATTGTTTAGCAGTTTAGATCATTATATATTTGTTTCTTGCTCGTCAAAATTGTATGTTAGTAGGTCCTTCAGCAAAACAAGACTAAGATAGTGTTTTTAATTTTTTTAGTTGTCTCCAACTTTCTGCCTCTAAATATTTTGTTTCTTGTAGTTACTAAGCTTAACACAGAAAAACTTCTCAGTATCTCCACCATAGTATACTTCATTGTGTATAACGGTATTCCATCTAACTAGAATATAGTGCTATAAATATTTTCTGCCTTTGAAGATACAGTTAGTAGAATTTAATCTTTTCTAAGTGCACGTTGAAGTTGCCTTTTATGTTCATATTATGTTCATATTTTGTTTGAAAAATCTATTTGTAGCATTTTTATTGTGCTGAAAGCATTAATATTTGCAGCACTTTGTGAGGCAGGCAAAATTATCTTTTTGCTGACTTGAAACTGCAAGAGTTAAAAGACTTGCTTGGAATCACATATGGCAGATAGAGGGTAAGGAAAAGATGGCCTTTCAGTTCCTCATCAGTACCTTGCTCCTACAGTGTCTGAAGATTGATTTCTTACATTCAGCTATGATTTGTTTCACCAAGGTACTGTGTCTTCTTACTGAAGTTGTGTTGGCTGGCGCTTGCCTCTGTTCAGAGGGAACTGAGTTACCTGACTTTATGATGCTGAGAGCCAGGAAGGTACTGGGATCTGGGATCTTAGGCACCTAACCAGTCAAGACTGAACTCCATACTAAGCTGTTTTTCTATGTTAAGACATCAAGAGTAGATGGTTGTCCTGATATTCTGAGATATATTATCTCTGAATTATCTACATAAATAACTGAAACCTTTTCGTGTTATAAAACTAGTCAATCATGTTACCACCTTTTTGGGTGGCACCAAATTTGAGACCCTTACCCCAATTTATTAATAGTTGTTTTCATCACCTAATAGCTAATCACCTAGTGACTCACAGTCATTTTCATCCTGGAAAATGGGAACTAACTTTGACTTTGAAAAGTGCTGTTATTCAATGTGTGACTCATAAGAACTGAGCATATTTTATTATTTTCCTTCAGGATTCAATTTTAATTGACTCCAAATGATGTTATGGTCATTCTGTTTTTCTGATGTGACAGTAGATTGTTCTGAAAACCTGGAATATTCATTGTCTTTATGAATCTAGAATTGACTTTAAATGGTAATTGTTTTTGTCATTTGCGCTAAAAAAAAAAAAAAAAAAAAAAATTGCCCTGGGGAATACCAAACTTCTCAGTACATTCTTGTGGTGTGAAAGTCAAAATTGCCAATTAGGTTCTGTTTTGACCAAATAGTTGAATGTTGTTAGATAGTTGTAAATTTTGAACCTGTTCTAATTTGATTTTGCCAGATGGTGCATTTAACTTTGTGACATATCATGGACTTTCAAGGAACGATTTACTTTTCATCAGATTAAAGTTGAGAAAGGATTTTCTTTCTAAATGCCGAGGCTCTGAATTTCCCAAGTTGGATACCCCAAACAGCTGGAGTGATCTTAAAAGTGACTCTGAGAATTGACTTAGGAAGCATACACATTTATCCAAAACCTGTATTTACTCCTGACTTACATTACAAATACAGAATTTTATTTTTAGAGAAAATTTCAGTAAAAATCTCCATTTAATTAAAATCTACTCAGCATCAAACTTTTTAAAAAGAATATAACCCAATGTCAAGTTCGAGACCAGCCTGGCCAACATAGTGAAATAATGTTTCTACTTAAAAAAAAAAAAAAAAATTAGCTGGGCGTGGTGGCGCGTGCCTGTAGTCCCAGCTCCACAGGAGGCTGAGGCAGTAGAGTCGCTTGAACCCAGGAGGCGGAGGTTGCAGTGAGCCAAGGTCATACCCCTGCACTCCATCCTGGGCAACAGAGAGAGACTCCGTCTCAAAAAAAAAAAAGAAAAGAAATTTCAATAACTGTAGGCTGGGCATGGTGGCTCACAACTGTAATTCCAGCACTTTTGGAGGTCCAAACAGGAGGATCACTTGAGCCCAGGAGTTCAAGACCAGCCTGGGCAACATAGCAAGACCTCATCTCTACTAACAAGAAAAAAAAATTAACTGGGCATGGTGTTGCACACCTGTGATCCCAGCTACACAGGAGGCTGAGGCAAGAGAATCAGTTGAGCCCAAGAGATAGAGGCTGCATGACCCATAATCGAGTCACACTGCACTCCAGCCTGGGCGACAGAGTGAGACACTGTCTCAAAGAAAGAGAGAGAAAAAGAAAATTTAAGTAACTTCTGTTTAGAATTCTAAATATTGGAGATGCCAAGAATTCTGCAGTAAGTGTTAGAAACAGTCAGGATGACAGTATGACTATTATCTGCAACCTGTGAATTATCTTTTCAGGTGTTTCAAGAAACACTGAGTCTGTGTTTTTGATGGGGAGAAGGAAACTAATAATTAAATGCCCATTTTGTTCCAGTTACCATGCTAAAGATTAATGTCTGTCTTCAGAAATAGCACAGTATTTGGACCCTGGTTGCAGTAATTCTCTTTGAGGTGGGGAAACTGAGGTGCAGAGATTTTGCTACTTTTGTATTTGCAAAGTTGACACCCTGTTTTAGAATACCAAGGTTATCAGAACTGTCTTCATATGTTTCTCAGTCCTTTTAATGCCATTTAAAAACAGATTATCATCTCGTTGCTAACTAAGCTTACAGTTAATTTTATTTTAATGGAATAAGAATATGGATACCTGTCTTTAAGAAGAGGGTAAGCAAGTAAACTTTATGAAGAAGCAAGTAAACTTTAAGAAGAGAGTAAGCAAGTAACTTCATGATGCTGGGAGCCGGAAGGTAGTGGGATCCGGGAAGTATCAGGTTGTAGAAACATACGCAGACAATCCTTGCCAAAATCCTGGCAAAGGAATTTGAACCCTGGTGTATGAAAAGTCTGCCCTTTGCATACTCAGGTTTCGCATGCCATGAATGCTGTATTTTTGATCCGCGTACTGTATTTTTTATCTGAGTTTGATTGAAAAAGATCCACATATAAGTGGACCCATACAGCTAAAACCTGGGTTGTTCAAGGGCCAACTATAATAACTTTCATAAACTGGAATTTATATTGAATAACATCAATGATACTTTAGTATTACAACTAAAATTGTACATACTGAGTAGGTAGGATACCAAGTAACTAGATAAAAGGTATACCACCTAGCCTTAGTGATAAATACAGCTGTTTTCAAACTGTCACTCTCTTACCACAGTACCTGTTATATGAAGTTCCTGGTTGGTTCTCAAAATTTTGTGTTTGCATATACATAGATACAGATACTGATATACTGGTTAAATATGTACAGCTAAAATAGCTAAAATTGTCTTTTAAGATTTTTTAAATTAAAAATATTGGCCGGGCATGGTGGCTCACGCCTGTAATCCCAACACTTTGGGAGGCCAAGGCAGGCGATCACCTGAGGTCAGGAGTTCGAGACCAGTCTGGTCAACATGGTGAAACTAAAAATACAAAAATTAGCTGAAAGTGGTGGTGGGCCCCTGTAATCTCAGCTACTCAGGAGGCTGAGGCAGGAAAATCCCTTGAACCCAGACTGCGGAGGTTGCAGTGAGCCGAGATCGCACCATTGCACTCCAGCCTGGGCAACAAAGACTCTGGGGTGGGTGGGTGGGTGTGTGTGTATGTGTGTGTGTGTGTAAAATTAATATTTCGCTCTAGAAAAATTACAAGGAAATGCCATTTTTGATATCTGAGTTCTAAGACTTCTCAGTCTAATGGAGTGGATGCACGTGTCATGCTAAAATAGAAGTAGTTAGACATGTGGAGTTAAATATGGTGATGGTTTCTCAAATGATTAAAATGACTGCCACCAGGTTAAAGTAGTTACAAAGCAGCTTTCTATAATAGCAGCAGAGATTAAAAACTGGGCAACAAGGGTCATAAAGTAGGCAGGAACCAATTTAAAGAAAAAAATATACATTTTATTCATAGTACGGTTTATGTTTTCATAGGACAGAGTGACTTGCTCAGTGAAACAGACTGTATACATTTAGCTCAGAAACAAATAATATACTGAGGTTTTTATCGGTTTACTATATCCCTTGAGAAAGATTAAAGAGGGAAGGCAGGGTGCAGTGGCTCACACCTGTAATGCCAGCACTTTGGAAGGCAGAGGCAGTTGGATTGCTTGAGCCCAGGAGTTCGATACCAGCCTGGGCAGCATGGTGAAATCCCGTCTCTACCAAAAAGTACAAAAATTAGCTGAGTGTGGTGGCACATGCCTGTAGTCCCAGGTACTCAGGAGACTGAGGCTGGGAGGATCACTTGAGCCTGGGAGGTCAAGATTGCAGTGAGCCATGATCGCACCACTGAACTCTGGTCTGGGTGACAGAGCAAGACTGTCTTTAAAAAAAGAAAGCCTGGCACAGTGGCTCACGCCTGTAGTCCCAGCACTTTGGGAGGCCGAGGTGGGCAGATCACCTGAGGTCGGGATTTCAGGACCAACATGGAGAAACCCTGTCTCTACTAAAAATACAAAAAATTAGCCGCGCGTGGTGGCGCATGCCTGTGATCCCAGCTACTCGGGAGGCTGAGGCAGGAGAATCACTTGAACCCAGGAGGTGGAGGTTGCAGTGAGCCAAGATTATGCCATTGCACTCCAGCCTGGGCAACAAGAGTGAAACTCCATCTCCAAAAAAAAAAAGATTAAAAGAGAGAAAGAAGCAAGCCAGTAACCTAGATCAATTTATGATTTTTTCCTCTGAATTCTGCTTTCTTCAACACAATTTACTTAATCTGAAAACCAGGATTTAATAACAGTATGTTTAGAATGTTTCATTTATAAAGTAGAGTTGAGATTGTACATAGTATAAAAAATGCTGTTGGAAGGTTATCTCCTTTTGAGGAATCTCAAAATCAAGTGGGAGAAATCAAGTAGTTTTGGTGTGTGTGTGTTTTGTTTGTTTTAATGAGAGACAGGGTCTTACCATATTGCCCAGGCTCGTTTCAAACTCCTAGGCTCAAGCAGCTCTCCTGCCCCAGCCTCCCAAAATGTTGGGATTACAGGTGTTAGCCACCACACCAGCCTCAAGTAGCTTTCGAGATGGCGCCACAGCACTCCAGCCTGGCAACAGAGTGAGACTCCATCTCAGGAAAAAAAAAAAAAATTCAGTTTAACATACCAAGCTTTTGGTCAAAGTTCTAGTAGTTTAGAATTTATAGTAAGTATGGGTAAGTAAAATAAACCATAAATACTGTAAAGTAAAGGAACATTCGTGACTGTGCTATTAGAAATAATAACTAGGGCTGGGCATGATCCTTGCATGTATAGTCTTAGCTACTTGGGAGCCTGAGGTGAGAAGATGACTTAAGAGTTCAAGACTATCCTGGGCACTCTGGTGGGTCCCTATCTCTTAAGAAAGAAAGAATGAGAATAACTAGTGTAAGAACTAATTTCTTAATTTGTGTAAATTATTAATATGCCAGTTGCAATTTAGATGCTTTTTCAAAAGATCACTGGTACTCAGAACCTGATTCAATTTTTTAATCCTCATAGAATTTTTATATAAAGATTTTATGTTTGTCAGGTTAGCGCTTCATGTTGTATGCTTCTTTTTTCCGACCTTGTATTTTAATGTGATGCTTAAGGTACGTTTATTACACATCTTTTCTTTGTCTTTTTTTATTGTGTGGATTTGTAGAGTTTAATGAATAATAGCTGCTATTAGCATTCATTCTAAAAAATAGCATAATAAAGTGTTCTCTACTTGAATTCATTAACCTATCTTTGAAATGGGGTTAAGTGAATTTTGTATAATAAAGAAGCTAATTTTGAGATGCAAAATATTTGGCATAAAATTAAATACTGTAGGAATATTTTTATTAAGGTGTGACATACCTGTGTATGTGAATTTTTGTTGTTTGTTTGTTTGAGATGGAGTCTCTGTTGCCCAGGCTGGAATGCAGTGGCGTGCCATCTCAGCTCACTGCAACCTCCACCTCCTGGGTTCGGGCAATTCTCCTGCCTCAGTCTCCCTAGTAGCTGGGATTATAGGCGTGTGCCACTACTCCCAGCTAATTTTTTTGTTTTTAGTAGAGACCGGGTTTCACCATGTTGGCCAGGCTTGTCTTGAACCTCTGACCTCAAGTGATCCACCCACCAGCCTCCCAAAATGCTGGGATTACAGACGTGAGCCATCACACCCAGCATATACATATATTTCAAAATATAGGCCGGGCGTGGTGGCTCATGCCTGTAATCCTAGCACTTTGGGAGGCCAAGGCCGGCAGATCGCAAGGTCAGAAGTTCGAGACCAGCCTAACCAACAGGGTGAAACCCCATCTCTACTAAAAATACAAAAACTAGCCAGGTATGGTGGCTCGCACCTGTAGTCCCAGCTACTTGCGGGGCTGAGGCAAGAGAATTGCTTGAACCCAGGAGGCGGAGGTTGCAGTGAGCCGAGATAGCACCACTGCACTTCATCCTGGGCGACACAGTGAGACTGTGTCTCAAAAAAATAAAAATATATAATATATCTAAAAAAAAACTATTGGGCAGTAGTAAATTATGACTGTGGTAGGTACTGCCTTGCTTTAACAACCTAATGCTATAAAAGGAAGACTTAAGCTGGTATTACCCTTTAATAGCCCTTTAGCAACATGGCTAGGATACTACTTGAGGTCAGTATCACGTCTGTGACGAGACTTTCATAGGGGGATTGTAATAGTGTGATGAGAAATTATATTTCTCTTGACCCTTTATGGCGACATCAAATGATTTGAATGGCTGATCAGCTTTTTTATGAGGGAATTTGTAAAAACTACCCAATAACTATAATAATGGAAGATGTTAACAGAGGAAGATCTGGGTGTAGAGTATATAGGAACTCTGTAATATCTTTGCCACTTTTTATAAATCTAAAACTATTTTTAAATTATTTAAATTGTAATTACTCGACAGTAATTTAGTTCACTAATTGATTTGAAAGAGTCAGTATTTTTTGTTCCTACTTTCACTGGAAGAAAATCAATTGAACTTGTTTTCCTCAACTTTTTTTTTAGGATTCAAGATGACCAACGAAGAACCTCTTCCCAAGAAGGTATGGGTTTTGGTTTTGGGTTTTTTGTTTTGTTTTGTTTTGGGTTCTGTTTTGTTTTTTTAAGCAGTTGTAAGCACTTTTTTAAAAAAATAGACTTGAAGGATTATCATTGTTTGCTTATTTCTCATTTCTTTGCCTTTGTAACAATAATAGCATTGGAGTTGTACAATGTGCTAGATATTGTATCTAATATCCAGTATATTTTTAGAATATTTTCAGATTTTGGAAAACTTTAGTTATAATAATATTCCCATGGTCTACTCTTAACGTTCATTATGTGAATATTTCCAGCTACATATATACAAATAACGTCAAAAATGGAAATCATGAGTATATTATTCTTTTCCTAGTGTAAATCCCTTTGATTAAAATTAAAAACTACTTTATTTTTAAAAAATGGTTATAGCTAGTTTTCAAATTCTACTTTTTTCTCTGAAATTTTGTTGTCTAGTCTCAATCTCTCCCTGCTGTGCATTCCTACCTCGAGTTTACTCTTACATACACACACAGTGGACGTTATAAAAGAGCAACATAGTCTCTAGGAGGAATTTGTGATTCAATTGGGAAAGCAGGGCATGTGCTTAACTAAACTGAATATTTAAGTGAATAGATACTACAGAAGTTTCCTGTTGTGGAGTGAAATTACTCATAAAATGAGTAAAGGATTGTACTATACTTTCATAATCTGAGAATTACTACGTGTTCCCTCTGGTAGCCTTTGATTTTCCTCCCTTGGAACAGGGTCTTGCTCTGTTGCCCAGGCTGGAGTGCAGTGGTGCAGTCTCAGCTCACTGCAGTCTCCGCCTCCTGGGCTCAAGTGATCATCCCACCTCAGCCTCCTGAGTATCTGGGGACTACAAGTACGTGCCACCACACCCAGCTAATTTTTGTGTTTCTTGTAGAGATGGGGTTTTGCCATGTTGCCCAGGCTGGTCTCGAACTCCTGGGTTCAAGAGATAGCCACCTGCCTCTGCTTTCCAAAGTGCTGGAATAATAAGCGTGAGCTGCCTTTGGCAGCCTTTTAATATATTACACTACGATAGTCTCCCCCATTCTATTTTATGGTAATACTATTTTACTGGTTAGTATTACAATTTGAAACATTTTTAAGGAAAAAAAATTAAGTGAAATAAGGAAAATACTAATAAAATAAGGAAATACTAATAAAGCCTTTATTTTCTTTTTATTTTTTATTTTCTGAGACAGGGTCTCACTCTGTTGCACATGCTGGAGTACAGTCGTACAATCTTGGCTCATTGTGGCCTCATACCCCAGCTTATGCAATCCTCCCACCTCTGCCCCCCCAAAGTAGCTCAGACTACAGGTGTGCTGCTACGCCTGACTAATTTTTGTATTTTTTGGTAGAGATGGAGTTTTGCCATGTTACCCAGGGTGATCTTGAACTCCTGAGTTTCAAGATATCCTCCTGCCTCAGTCTCCCAAAGTGCAGGAGGCATGAGCCACAATGCCCACCAAAGCCTTAATTTTATACTGAAGTAGGAGAGGTATCTCACCTTTACAGCCTTTATTTGGTATAGTGAATATACTGTTTCTTAATTTTTGAAGCATGTCAGCTTATGCCCTTGTTTCAACTTTTTATTTCCAAATAATTATAGATTCACAGGAAGTTGCAAATAAATGTCCAGAGAGGTTCTGTGCAGCTTTCACTGAGCCTCCTTCATTGTTAACATCTTGCATGACTAGCAGACATCTCTAATAACTGAAAATCAGGGAATTGACATTAGTACAATCCACAGAGCTTATGCACATTTCACGTTATACTTGTACTGTTTGTGGGGGGAGTGGGGAAGAGCTATATGCAATTTTATCATGTCTAGCTTTGTGTAACCATCATTAATCGAGATACATATCTGAACTATTAGCATAAAACTTCATTGAGTTATTCTTTTGTAGCCACATCTACCCCCTCCCTCCCCATGCCTGACCCCTGGCAACCACTAGTTTATCTCTATTTCTATAATTGTTATTTCAGAGTGTTTATATAAACGACATCATGTAGTGTATATCTTTTTGAGACCATTTTACATTCTCACCTGCAATGTAGGAAACTTCAATTTCTCTGAATCCTCACCAGCATTTGGTGTTGCCGCTAATTTTTATTTTAGCCATTCTAATCAGTGTGTGGTGATACCTAGGATTTTAATGTGCATATTCCTAATGATGATGCCCATTGTTAAGATAACAAATAGTTTACCTTAAAAAAAAAAAAAAACTTTTGTAATCAAATAATCTTTTTTTAGTGATAAGTATGTACTGAGCTGTTTAAATCTCACACTCAGGAGATGTTTCATAGGTCTCATAGAGCTTTATGTCTCCAGGAAGATCACTCAATTCATATTGTAATTCTCTTTATAGGTTCGACTGAGTGAAACAGACTTCAAAGTTATGGCAAGAGATGAGTTAATTCTAAGGTAAAATGTTATTTGTTCAAAAATAAGATCTTTGTATAGAACATTGTATTATGCCTCTACACTGTAATTGTCTTTGTGCCAGATACTGTTTTTAATGTTGTTACATCCTCAAATAATTTAATGTACTTTTTGAACATACTATGACCTATTTCTTATATTAACACTGAGGAAAATGTAACACTTTAGAGAACTACTAGGAAGCTATAAGTTTAACAAATATATGGCTTGTTTTGTGTAGTTTTTCTTTTCGTGTTTAACGTTTGAAAAAAAAAGTAATCCTAAAAGATAAACTTATATTTGTGGAAGAAATACATAATTTACTAATGAAGTGAGGTTACTTTTTCTTATTAGTGTGACCAGCTCATTTAACTTCATACTCTTCATTTTCTCATCTGTAAGTTGAAGGGGTTGGGTTAAGTTATTTTTAAAGGTGACTTCCAGTTCTGAATTTCTGTGGTTATCTTATAAATGTCTTACAAAAGCAGATTGTCAGGTACAGCATATAATCTTTATAGATTGTGTAAGAAATCAGGAAGTAGGATGTTCTATGTTTTATAGCTTTGATAACTTTTAGATAAAAATAAAATGAGTATTTTAACAAGCTGAAAGCCGGGGAGAGAAAAGATGTTTTGTGAGATAGAGTAACAGATTTTGTTGTTTCCTACAGTGTGACAATTTCCTACTTTGACCTTTGCACAGCTACTGTATTATGAACACTTTATCTTTTTTTTTTTTTTTTTTTTTGGCCATAATCTCATACATAGGACAGTTTCCATTGCATACCTTTGTCTTCTTGCACATAAAATTTAAATTGTTGGTATTCTAAAACACTCTGTCTTACGCTGAAGTAGATACTTAAGATACACTACTACTCAATGCTGGGTTTTTTGTTTAACTATTAAAACAACAACACATATGTTAAAACAACATATATACATATATATAATGTACATATAAATTATAATAGAGGTGAGGTGTTGCTCAGGCTAGTCTTGAACGCCTGGCCTGAAGTGATTTTCTCACCTTGGCCTCCTGAAGTGCTGGAATTACAGGCATGGGCCACCATGCCCGGCCATGATTTTTTTTTCCCCTACCTCTGGCATTGTACACTTCTTTTTATGCCTTCTTACATAATTGCTCTGGTTAGTCTTTGCAGTCATTTTCTTGATTTAACTGTAGGAGGGGAAAAGTCAGTAATCTTAATAAAGAATCATAGAAATGTTGTATTTTAAGATACCTTTAAGGTTTCTAAATTATATGCAGTGTTATTACCTTGCAGTCAGTTTAACATCTTTCCTTAGGGAATTCTCATGTAAGACTTTTAGGTGGATTTTTTTCTCTTTAATTTCCTTGGTGATTTTAAACCAGCTGCTACTTATTTAACTAGTCTATACCTTCTGTCCTTGTGATATACATGTTCTTGCTTCAGTTTTTATATTTTTCTGTTCTTCTAAAATAAATTGTTCTTTTACAGTCTCCACTGAGACCTTTCTCTTATACATCCCCAAATATTTGGTAAACTGTACGTGTCCTAGGTTGTAAGTGCCATAAAAACAAAGCATGACCTTAGCTTAACAGTAGTGTTTATATAGAAAGTGGATTAGTTTGGTATTAAGAAGGTTTTTCTTTTTTTGAGACAGAGTCTCGCTCTGTCGCCAGGCTGGAATGCAATGGTGCAATCACAGTTCACTGCAACTGCCGCCTCCAGTCAAGTGATTCTCCTGCCTCAGCCTCCCAAGTAGCTGGGACTCCAGGCATGCGCCACCATGCCCTGCTAATTTTTTTGTATTTTCAGTAGAGACGGAATTTCACTGTGTTGGCCAGGATGGTCTCGATTTCTTGACCTCATGATCCGCCCGCCTTGGCCTCCCAAAAAATCCCCTGTTGGGATTACAGGCGTGAGCCTTTTTGTTCATTATGTTGTAACATTATTAACTCATGGCAAGCCTGTTTTTAAGATTATAAAATGGTTTTCTAAAGCCAAATTTTAATTAACTGTACCTGAAGAGCAGCTTGAAAACATGGCTCTTAAGTATGCAGGAGAACAGACATTCAGGGCAGGGTACTTTCCATTAGGAACTGCCTAATTAGGAAAAATCTTTATTGCTAAGAGGACTTAGCAGTGTATATATTCAGGGTAGAGAAGTATAATGAAGAAAAACGGTGCCCTTGTATTCCGATAGCGTGTGGCATGCAGGTTTCTGCCAGTTAGATGTGATTGTTAAATTACAGTCTTGAAAAATGTTGTATTCTCCCCCTGTGTTTACAGGCAGAAATGGATATTACCTTGAGAAGAGTCACATGGTATTTTCACAAAAGAGCCAAAAAACCTTCAATTCTACATAATTAGGCACATTTCTAATATGCCTTTTGTTCTAAGGGGACAACATATGAAAGTAGCAGTAGGATTTTTTTTTCTATAATCCAGGATTATCCTGAACATCACCAGTGATACCAAAGTATCAAACCAAATCTGGAGTTTGATCTCACCCAGAGCACGCTTGGCATGTTCTCAGCAGAAAACACCTTCTCCATATATCTCCTTTTACCTGTTTCCTGTAAAATGGGAAGGAATAATGAGTGGACTACTTTATTATCAGTTAAACTAGATTTGGGCCAGGATGTGGTGACTAAGGCCTGTAATTTCAGCAGTTTGGGAGGCCAAGGTGTGAGGATCATTTGAGCCCAGGAGTTCAAGACCAGCCTGGGCAACAGTGAGACCCCCTCTCTACAAAAAATTAGCCATGTGCCTTTGGTCCCAGCTCTACAGGAAGCTGAGGCAGGGATATCGCTTGAGCCCAGACCCTGTTTGTGCCACTGCACTCCAGCCTGGGGGACAGAGCGAGACTCTGTCTAAGAAAAGGATTTAAAATGAAAAATCATCCAGCAGAATGCTCAGTATTACTAAAATCTGTGAGTTTATAGATATCTTCTAGTTTATTTAATAAAAGCTATTTTATTATAACAACTAATGTATGGATTTTTTTTATTAGATGGAAACAATATGAAGCATATGTACAAGCTTTGGAGGGCAAGTACACAGATCTTAACTGTAAGTTTGAGTTTTAGCTTCTTAAAGACTGAATAATCTCCTTTTGATCGTTATTACAATCAAAAGGGTAATTGGTTTTATTAAAGCAAATGTAATTTTTCTGGTGTTTTATTATAAGAACTATACAGAGGCCCTTTTGGGTGCAAGAAAATATAAAGGTGAATGAGACATAGTCATTGGAGAAAACAGACATGTAATACTCATGTAATGGCGTGACTTAGCAAAATTATATGCAAGGTTCTGAGTATAGATACAGTAACTCAGAACTACTTGAAACTTTTCTTACCTGTCCCTAACCCCTTCTACATAGGAATTTGACTTGAAGCGTGAGTTACTAGTCTAGAAGAGAAATAAATAGAAGCAACTAGTAACAGATTTATGACAGGTTAAATTAATATGTATAACTTAATTGTATGTAATATATAATTACAGATTTTTTAAATCTGCTGAAAATAACAAAGTTTATCATTTTAAGCCATTTTAGTCTCAGTTTTTACTGTTTGAACCACATACTATTTGTTGAGTATAAAAACCAATATATATTGTTTTCTAACTTCAGAAGGGTTAATACCCTGAAATTCTAATTTTACGTGACTGTGTTATCCAAAGAAATCATGAACATTATGAACGATTAAGGCTGGGCACAGTGGCTCACACCTATAATCCCAGCGCTTTGAGAGGCCAAGGTGGGAAGATACTTGAGCCCAGGAGTTTGAGACCAGCATAGGCAGCATAGGGAGACCTTGTCTCTACCAAAAAAAAAAAATGAGTCAGGAGGATCACTTGAGCCTGAGAGGTCAAGGCTACAGTGAGCCCTGATTGTGCCACTGGACTCCTGTCTGGGTAACAGAATAAGATCCTGCCTCAAAGTTTAAAATACAAATTGTCCAGCAGTTACTATCATATTATTTATTTGTTTGTTTATTTGAGACAATCTCGCACCGTCGCCCAGACTGGAATGCAGTGGCACAATTTGGACTTAGTGCAACCTCCACCTCCCAGATTCAAGTCATTCGCCTGCCCCAGCCTCCCAAGTGGCTGGGATTACAGACATGCACCACCACGACCGGCTAATTTTGTATTTTTAGTAGAGATGGTGTTTCACCATGTTGGTCAGGCTGGTCTCAAACTCCTGGCCTCAGGTGATCTACCCGCCTCGCCTCCCAAAGTGCTGGGATTACGGGCGTGAGCCACTGTGCCCAGACAGCATTTTTATATTAAATAGGTTAAAACATACTCATCAGGATTTTGTGCATACTGTAAAACACAAATGTTTCCTGTCTTCTGTTGGGAATAGACGAAACTATGAAAACATAATTCAGTTGGTAGTCATGGAGCACTATGACACCTTGCCTTCTAAATGAGCTGTCATGACCAGGAAATAATTTGCTTGTTATAAAAGTAGTTAGGATGGAAATTAAAGACATGATTAATTTTTTGACCCTAGTTTTTAATTGTTCTTGACAGAAGTATTTGAACTTGATCTTAAAATTATATTTATAATTATTTTTTAAATCATCAGCTAATGATGTAACTGGCCTAAGAGAGTCTGAAGAAAAACTAAAGCAACAACAGCAGGAGTCTGCACGCAGGGAAAACATCCTTGTAATGCGACTAGCAACCAAGGAACAAGAGATGCAAGAGTGTACTGTAAGTATTTCAAGTTATATAAATGTCTTTAGTTGAGGAATTGGTTTTTAGTCTGCCTTATTGCTTGTTAATTTTAAACACCTAATACTAAATATAAGAGGTTTTTTTTTATAGGTATGTACACTTAGAGCTTTAAGTATACCAGGTGAAAAATTTTGATAATGTCTCTTCATTTAAACAAATTTTTTTTTTGGCCAAGAAGGCAGTAGTTTTAAGTTGTGTTTTGAAATTTTCATGCATTGTGAATATTAGTTCATCAATTCCAGACATTTTTCAGATATCTTGGTGTCTGAGGGTATAATCAATAAAAGAGCATTTGCTCCTTCTTGCTTTACTTTCACTGGTTAGGAAAGCCATCTGATGACTTTACCTCTGCTCTCTTGTCCCCTCTATGTATAGAACTGTTTTTCCTAGTGCCAGCAACTTCTTCAACGTGTCCTTTTTAATTGTTAGAACTTTGATGTGTACTGTGTAGTATTTACTATGTCTATGTAGATCTGAAATCTAGTGACATAATTGATCATCCAGCTCTGGTAGTTTAGACTCAATCTTACAGTGTAATTATACAAAATAATTAGAGGCAGCTGTATCCTTGTTTCTGATTTTAAAATCTGAATGTTTCTTCAATTCTTTGGGTACTCTCCATTCATTTGATACATATTGAAGTCTTCTAATGTGTTATTAAAATCTTCTAAGGTAGTATTCTGATCACTGGAGACACCAAAAATCTATGGGCACAGTCCTTTTCCTGTTTGTTTTACCAATAGAGTGTTCCTTAAGGCTCAGTCACAGTCCTTTTACTTCCTGTACAGAGATTGTTTAAATTTCCACAAAAGTACCTATTTACTCTTTCACTTTTTACTAAATGACTTCTTTACATTTTGCTTTGCTAAAGGCTGGCTTTTATCATTTTCTTTCCTTTTTTTTTTTTTTGTTTGTTTTTGTTTTTGTTGTTGTTGTTTTAGTTTGTTGTTATTTCCCCCTTTTCTTGAGACAGGGCCTCTTATCCATGCTGAAGTGCAGTGGTATAATCCTAGCTCACTTCAGCTTCCTGAGTAACTGGGACTATAGTCACGTGCCACCAAGCCTAGCTAATTTTTTAATTTTTGTAGAGATGGGGTCTTCCCTATGTTGCCCAGGTTGAACTCCTGGCCTTTGGCAATCCTTACTCCTTGGCCTCCCAAAACTGTTGGGATTATAGGTGTGAGCCATCACACCTGGCCCATTATCATTTTTTCTACCTTCTCACCACATTTTGTTCTTTTGTTTCTGTCAGTTTTGTTGTAATTCTCACACCACTGATACTTTTTTCTCCAGTTACTTATGAATGTTTTTTAACAAATTTCCCTTTTCACGAAAAATGGATCTTACCTTTAGACTGCTAGTACTTGGGAGATAGATTGTGAATAGATGGTGTTGATGGTAGTATCTCATAGGATCGGAATGTCTTTTTCCTTTTCTGTTCCAGATTCCTACTCTTGACATCATAGTTGATGTGTGCACATCACAATGTGTGTGCTATTCATGCACCTCTGATTCTCCATCTGTCCTATATACACTGGCGGTTTTGATCATATTATGCCTGGTCAGGGCCTTTGGTGATACCTCATCACTCTTGTCTGCTTGACCTGGAATTTTTTTTTTTTTTTTTTTTTTTTTTTTTGAGACAGAGTCTTGCTCTGTCGCCCAGGCTGGAGTGCAGTGGCCGGATCTCAGCTCACTGCAAGTCCGCCTCCCGGGTTCACGCCATTCTCTTGCCTCAGCCTCCCGAGCAGCTGGGACTACAGGCGCCCGCCACCTCGCCCGGCTAGTTTTTTGTATTTTTTAGTAGAGACAGGGTTTCACTGTGTTAGCCAGGATGGTCTCGATCTCCTGACCTCGTGATCCGCCCGTCTCGGCCTCCCAAAGTGCTGGGATTACAGGCTTGAGCCACCGCGCCCGACTGACCTGGATTTTAAGGTTATTTCAACTATAATGGAACCTAACCTTTTCCAGGTTTTTTTTTTTTTTTTCTTTTTCTTTAAACAGCTGTCACCTGCACAGGCCAGCTGAACAACTTCCTATTCTTCCAGTTATAATACAAGTGAGGTTTTGCAGACAGGGCAGGGCAGCAGGAGCAAAATCACAAGGAAAGGGCAAGATTATATATGGCAGATGAGGATGAAGTTTCAGGTGAGAGTGAAAAAACATAAGATCAGGCCTGGAATCTTGGGTATTCTAGAAGAGAGGGGGCCACTGAAGAATTTTTGAGCAAGAGATGTATGTGAGGGTCAGATTTAGATTCACATTTTAGGTAGATCACTCTGGCTTGAGTATGAAAGATGGATTTGAGTGGAACAGGACTTTAAGCAAGAAAACCAATTGTGAGGCTATTAAAATAGTCCAGATGAAATAAATTAAGCCACTGGTAATAGCAGACAGGACAGAGTAGGTGTTTTGGAGGCACAGTCAATAGGAATTGTTTAGTTTGGATGCTGTTGTGGAAGGAATGAAAAAAATCTAGGGAGGAATCACAGCTTCAGGCTTGTCTCGTTTGAGTAACAGTGCACTAGGATAGAGCCTACAAAGATCAAATTTTAAAAGAAGAGTAGTGTGTGGTGTTAGGAAAACTGAGGAAATCCAGCATTCCCTCCTCCTTCCCCAAAATATAAAGTGATTAAAACAAAGGCGTACATAAAGTTCTGTACAATACGAATTTAAAATTGTTCGTTAGATTTGGCAGTTAAGAGGTTGTTGGCCAAGGATGCCAAAAGATTGGATACCCCTGCTCTAGAGGAACTGTCAAGTGGGAAGTGAGAGAAACTGAATTTAAAGAGTAGAAAGAATGGGAGTTGTGTACTATAGGAGGTAGGAGGGAATAGGTTAAGCAAATGGTTGAAAGGATTGGCCCTGAGAAGGAGGGTTTCTTACCCTCTTGCGAGTGAAAAATAGTGGAAAGGTTTGTATTAGGTACTTATCCTTTAAAACAGAGCTGCTGCTTTTACTCTTGGTGTTTCAAATTAAGCTAAGCTTAGAAAAAATAAAATACATCCTCAGGAGTCAATTTGTTTTTGTAGATCTTTTGTTTGTCCAGCATACTAAATCATCTATTTGATTGTCTATGTGCAGTCTTTGCCAAGTACATCAGTAGTCAGTTTTCAGTGTAAGGCATAAGTTAGCCACATAGTTACTATAGTCTTAACTATATACTGTGTTCTTAACTATATTCTATTTTGTTGGTAAGTAAAATCTATCATTTTTGTTCACCTCAGTGGTATTTCTATTTTTCATTTAGTCTTTTGCCAACCAACGCAAAATAGATTTAGGAATAAAACTAACTTTGAAAACACTTTACTCAGTGTTCTCTTCTGTAGAACATGGAATTTATTCTAGTCAGATTCACCTCTTTTTTCATGATTGAAAGTGTTGACTATTGGGTCTTTGTAAAGCTAAATAGTAACTGAGTCTCAGTCAGTGTTGTAGACTGTTTTAATCAGTCCTGTCAGTACGTGGAGTGCACTGTAAGTCATGGTTTATTCTTGCTCTCTTAAGTTATCTTAGCAGCTGGTTTCACATTGACTATGCAGTTGTAGTAGATTTTTGCTCAATGGAACAAATATATTCCCAAACTACTTAGTATATTTGTTCCTTTACTAAATTTATATTAGAAAATTTCAACTGTAATTCTGTTTAAGCCTTAGTATGGAGTTAGATCTTGGGCCGGATCTACTTTGAGTATGAAGAAAATGATGAATTTAATGCTAATAACTATATTTCATATTTTAGAAATGTATTTTTAGTGTTCTAGTAAATAGTACAACTGAAGTCGAAATTGAAGGTTTCATATGTAAGTAGAAGGGTTCCGGTGTGATGGAAAAAGCTCTAGACTGGGAATCAGAAGGCTGGAGAACTAGAGTTCTTATCCCAGCTATGGCACTGAACTAAACAGTTGGGTTATTTAATCTCAAAATAAGCAGTTTGGGTTAGGTTAGTTACTTTCCAGCTTTACAATTCTATGATTCAAATCTATTCAGAGGGAGAAAAAATATGAATTATACTTTATTTTGGCTTAAGGTCCTATAGTTTTGCTTTTATAAAGTTGTAACGGCAACTCTTGTAGCTATGTGTACTGTATATTTTTTCCTTTAGAAATGCAAATGTGTATTTTAAGTTATAATCTTTCACCTGATGTATTTTTAGGGGACTTTACATAGAATAATTTCCATAGGCAAAAAATTAAAATAAGCAAACCAAAAGACTTCATTAACTCTTAGGTAATTAATATTTTAAACTTTGCTTTTTTCCAGTGGGTTGTCAGCATTTTTAGTAAATATAATGTTGATTTTTGTTTGTTTTTTTGGTAATTTTGGATTGTAAAGTAAAATGTATGTAGCCCCTTTAAGATCCAGATTTGGAGACGTAATCAAATGGCCTCAATTCCTAAATGAATAACCTTAGTTATTTTTTAATTGACAAATAATTTTTGTACATATTCAAGGACTACTAGTGATGTTTCAATACATATAATGTGTAGTGATCAGATTGGGGTAATTAGCATATTCATCAAATAGTTTTTAATCTGTACTTTTTCGAGAAAGTTTTAAGATTTTTCTAGAGAATTTCAGGATGAAAGAGGGGAGGACTTAATGAAAGAGTTGGTAAATCAAGTGAATGGAGGGAGTTTTCCCCCACCTTCTTATGTATGTTTCCTTTGATTTGGTTGTAATTGTTTCTTTTGCTTTGCACAGACTCAAATCCAGTACCTCAAGCAAGTCCAGCAGCCGAGCGTTGCCCAACTGAGATCAACAATGGTAGACCCAGCGATCAACTTGTTTTTCCTAAAAATGAAAGGTGAACTGGAACAGACTAAAGACAAACTGGAACAAGCCCAAAATGAACTGAGTGCCTGGAAGTTTACGCCTGATAGGTAAACAAATCATACTCCCCAGTCAAGACTTCCCTGACAGTCCCACTACGAGAAAGCTGTGGTGGGACAGCCAAGTACTCGTTTCCACACCAAGACTCAGACTTTTTGAGCCAAAAAAAGCCACATTCTTACACTGTCCAGCTTGTAATGGTTAATGTAAAACTTACCAGATGAACCTTGTGTTTCAGCTTTTTTCTTTTCCCCTTCCCCTTGCTTCAGAGGCCTGATGGCGTCGGACTATTCCGAAGAAGTGGCCACCTCCGAAAAATTCCCCTTCTAGAACATGTAGACACTTGAGAAATGTTTCTGTTTGAAGAAAATAGAGGGAGAAACAGAAGTCTTAAGTCTGTGGCACACTGTGTCTTCAGACAGTTTGAAGGAATGAAAACCTAGAGATTTTAAATCATGAATTGAACATGTAAAATTCCAGTAAAATGTAAAAATGGAATATGCATCGCTCTTAACCTTGAGCATAGTGACTTAGAGACACTGTGTATCAGTTTTGCCAATAAGACTGTGGACTTCATGATTGTTGTTGAACTTCTGGGTCAAAACTCAAATGAGGTGAATTTTGCCTTTAAAGGGTTTATTTGCTGAGAACCAACTTTTAATAGTCACGAGAGAATCAAATAATAGATGTCCGTACAAGTAGCGCATATATTTAACCATTTAGTTTGGGGCTCTATATTACTTGCTTGAGCCTTAATCAATGTGGTTTTATTCAATGGTTTGTTCTTTGAATGGTTGCAAAACTGTAGATTATCTTACTGAGGACTGTACAAACGTGAAGGTGTGGTATCAAACTTCAGGTTGAAACTGTTTGAAGCATTATAAACATTCATTTCACAACTAGATTGTATAAGGATATTAGCTGTGATGAGACTCACTGCATTATTTTTTTAGTGAATTTTATGAAATCCCCATTCCATTCAACAGGCACATGTTTAAAAGAGCATTGTCGTTGGTGTTAATGGGGGAATGTGTTCCTTCATTGTATTTGGGCCTTTTGTATTGCACTCTTGATATTAAATTAAATGTGCCTTGAAATAGTTGGTTTTTTTTTTTTTAAGTTCAAAGAATATTATGATGATTTTGTTGTACTCTAACATTTTAATTTGGGGGGGGGGCCTGTGGAGAGCAGATTCATTTTGGAAATACTGTTGCTGTGCTCTTCAAAGTGAAGGAAAAGGCGCTGTGCCTCATTTTTAAAAGACCTACATAAAAGACAAGGAGACTTGACACTGGTTACTTTTATGACACTTTGTCCCAGGGTACTGCAGTAGAAAGTAATTGCGGGACAGCTTCACAGGGTGCCTGCCAGAAGATAATGTGTTGGAACTGTGGGCTGGCCTAAGTAAGACATTTTGTGAATTGAAAAAAGGTATAGTGATCATTTCTAGTAAATTCATTTAATCATTTAGATAAATGAGGCATTATTTTCTTCATGCTTCCATCCAATCCTGGAGGTGAATTTTTTCCGTCAGATCATTCTATAAGTCACCAATTCAAATTTTCGCTTGGTGATAATGGAGTCTAAGATGAGTGGAAGATAAATGTTCCAGCTTGTCCCAACGTTTAAGTGCAGTTTTAACAAGGGTGACTTAAGTTCTCTCTTAATCATTCAAATCAATTGTAAGTATCTTATATATGTTTGTGCTTTAGGGAACTGATTGTGGGGCAGAGGGTGGGTTGAAGAAGTGGTTTGTGTGACTTTTCAGCAAGAAACCTGCTTCTAAAATTCTCACTATTTGTGAGGGTTGGAGGGTAAGTAACCGGATCTGTTTGAAATTAGCTTATGTGATTGCATTAACGCTTTTGTATATATTTTATGCCATTTTAAGTTCACAGTAGAAATGGCCTAAGTATCTTTTTAGTAGAATTTAGTAGAAAAGTAATTCATAAAATGTATTATTAACATGTACTCAAATTTAGCAGGCATCTTTCTTTGCCACTTAGATAACAGTCATGAGTTCTATGGGTTTTTTTCTTGTCATTGTTAAAATTTTCTCTTTTAATAATAAGATAATACATGCTTGTATATAAAATTGAAATACTATAGAGAAAGGGGGAGATGAAAAGTGAGTGTCACTCTCTGATGTTACCTGGACATCCTCATTCTGTTCTCCAGGAGCAGTAACTGCTATTACTTTTTCTTGGGTATCATCAAGATAATTTCTATGCATATACAGTCATTTTATGTATATTATTTTAAACAAATGTGATCATACCATAAACACAGATGAGTTGCACCTTTTTTTTTAGTTGGTCTCTTCGGCATTTTTCCATTTTTTAGTGTATCTAGACTACTACATTTTTAATGGTTGCATAGTGTATTTCCATTATATTAAGGAATCATAATTTATTTAAATCACTTATAAATTGATTTTTTTCTGTAAAATTGGCTGTAAGCCAGAGTATATCAGGTACTATAAATACATCACTAATTTGAAACAAATAATGGCTCAGGCAATCCCCTGTCTGGAATATTTCCAGTAGTGGAATGGGTTTTGCTTTGGGGTGTGTGCGTGCGCACGTGTGTCTTCGCTTTACTGTTTTTTTGTTTTAATTTTGAGGAAGAAAGATTCTCAGAAATAACCTGTCCAGTTCAGTTAAAATATTTCATTCATGTGAGAATGCACACATTTTAGAGTGTTTAGAGGTATATCTTTCAACGTGCTTTCTATTATGTTTGTGGGTTAATTGATTTTAGGAATGGGTTTTTTTGTTTGTAATTTTAAAAAATTATTTCAGAAACAATTACTTGTAATTAAATTATTTTTTCAAAGCTGTGGTTTTGTTAAAATTTATTTCAGTAATCACTAGTTTTAAATGTGATACGATTATCTTAGCTTAGACATTTATTTATTAAAAGGTATGACTTTTTAAACGAACCCCTTTTTTGCATTAGAATTTGTGACATTTTTATATGGGGTTAAGTCAGGTCACAAATTAATGTCTCTTATAGTTGTCTTTTTCCACTCTTTAAAATTCATATAATAACAAGGTTAGTTGTAAACACCAATGAAATAGATATACTTTGCAAGAAGATAGTTTTGAGCGCATAGGCAGGAATTCCATCGCTTTTGACAATCTTGCATATCTCTCATTTTCCCACTGTTTAATTTCTAAGTGGATGTTCAGTGGAGGCTAACGCCTGAGAGTGCTTATGGGAAATGGTGGAAATCTGGAGCTACAGTAGCAACGAACAAGAACACCAGCTAATAATGTTATGAAAGAATAAAGCCTTTACCACATGCTCACTGGTGACCTTTCACCCTTCGGCTCCTCTGAGCAGTAGTAACCCAGGTTTAACTCTTCACATATTTTCTGGAAGAAAGCTTAATTACAAACTTCCTTGAATTACATTAGGTTAGAAAACATGAGGCCAGGCACGGTGGCTCATACCTGTAATCCCAACACTTTGGAAGGCTGAGGTAGGCAGATCACTTGAGCTTAGTTAGGAGTTTGAGACCAGCCTAGGCAACATGGTGAAACCCCATCTCTACTAAAACTCCAAAAATTAGCTGGGGGTGCTGGTGCACACCTATCGTCCCAGCTACTCTTGAGGCTGAGGTGGGAGGATCATCTGAGCCTGGGGACATCAAGGCTCCAGTGAGCTGAGATCACGCCACTGCACTCCAGTCTGGGCAACACAGTGAGACCCCCATCTCAAAAAAAAAAAATTATGCTGTAGGTGAAAGAACCGTGCAACACTTCTTCAAAGACTGACAATTATTTACAAAATGCTCTCATTTTTAAAGTTCTAAGGCATACTGAAGTAGTGTGTCAGGCAAGTGAAAGCCTCACTAGGAGAAGGAAAGACTAGAATTTAAAAAACATTTTAACCAATAAGGTCATTCTGAACTTACCCCAAGGACAAGAATGTCACACTGTCTTTATCCAAGTCTCAAAGGTAAATATCACGATTATTAGATCCCTTTAAAAGTGATCATTTTTTTCTTCTTGTCTTCATAAATAATTACAAGAACAAGCAAATAATTTCTCCTTTTATTGCTGAGGCTAAAGAAAAGCAGTAAAATTTTATTGGGAAACATTTGAGCTTTTCATTACATATTTGCAATTGCTCTGTATGTGCACATAGGTTCCACTAGCATTTGGAACTAATTTGTGGAAAGTGTGACACTCCTAGATTGGCAGATATTTGCATGTTTGAATTGTGGTACGTGACCACTGGTCTTATTTTTGTGTCAAAAGGATGATGTTTTCTGTTAATAAAGTCTTAAAAAAAAAAAAACTTAATTGTTGAATGTGCCTCAATTAATATAATAGATATATTCTTGAGAGTTATGGAAGATGGATGTACCATAAACTTCTCTCTTTCCTCCTTTTTTTTGAGACAGGGTCCCTGTTTCCCAGGCTGGAATGCAGTGGCATGGTCACAGCATCAACCACTTGGGCTTAAGCAATCCTCTCACCTCAGCCTTTCCAGAGGCTGGCACTACAAGCATGTGTGCCTGGCTAATTTTTTAAAAAAAATTTTTGTAGAGTTGGGGTCTCACTATGTTGCCCATGCTGGAGGACTTCCTGTTAAGGAAAATCCTTATTAAATTTTTTTTCTAGCAAGAATAAATATACTCTCATGCATTTTTATTTGTAGGTACTGATTTTCATAGAGAAGCATTTGTGATTGATGTTGCATGTACCTTTTCAAGAACTTTTCTGATAAAGCACTAGATTCCTTAGTGTAATAATATTGGTATAGCCAAGGTGTGTGTTAAAACTGGCTCTGTTTCCATTTCAGATGATAATTTGAGATGAAAACAGATGGATTTCAGAATTGATTATTGATATAATAGAAACAAGGTGTAGCTGTTTGGGCACTTTTTGTTCAGGGTTTATTTTTGCTGCTGTGTTGGCAAAATACTGAAATGCAGAAGATGGATGTGTCCCAGAAAAGAAGATGGTAATTATGGGGAAGCATCTGCTGTGATATAGTTATGTTTGTATGTGTGACATCTATCACTGTAATAATTGTAAGCAAAGACAGAGTTTTGTCTTCATTTTGTGATGGATGGCTCTTTCCTTTGTAGCCAAACAGGGAAAAAGTTAATGGCGAAGTGTCGAATGCTTATCCAGGAGAATCAAGAGCTTGGAAGGCAGCTGTCCCAGGGACGTATTGCACAACTTGAAGCAGAGTTGGCTTTACAGAAGAAATATAGTGAGGAGCTTAAAAGCAGTCAGGATGGTAAGGGTTTTTTTGTTGTGTTGTGTTTTGTTTTGTTGAAAAGTTCTCTTTGCATTGGCTTTTTAAAACTGCCAGTCGTGAATATTATAGGTTAGATTCTCTACATTGTTAACCTCTGCCTGTGATTGTATATTATTGTGAATGAAACATTTTTAGTTGAGTCAGCAAAAAAAGCCATATAATTTTATTGTGTTTATCCCCACCCTCCTAATTCTTTATCAAAATTTCTTAAGTTTTTGTTTTTAGTCGGGGGTAGGAGTTGGTAAAAGATAAAAGGGTGTTGTATTATTTAACAAGATGGATAAATTTGTATTCAGTGTTTGAAAGGAAGATATATCTTTAACCATTTCTCATTAATTGTGAATCTTAGAAACATGGGCAGTTTTCAGCGATCTGAAAGTAATATCGTTGATTGTATCTGTGAAGATTTTATTAGTGAATAAGAGATTTAATCTTTAAATTTGCTGAGATAAACAAAACTTGTCAGCCTCCATCCTTTTTAGTGCAAGTGTAGCTGCATCTCTCCTGTTTCTCCTCTCTGTTTTTTTTTTGTTTTTTGTTTTTTTTTTTAAGACAGGGTCTCACTCTGTGTTACCCAGGCTGGAGTGCAGTGGCTTGACCTCAGCTCACTGCTACCTCCACCTCCCGGGTTCAAGCGATTCTCCTGCCTCAGCCTCCCAAGTAGCTGGGATTACAGGCGCCCGCCACTGCTCCCGGCTAATTTTTGTATTTTTAGTAGAGATGGGGTTTCACTATGTTGGCCAGGATGGTCTCGAACTCCTGACCTCAGGTGGTCTGCCCGCCTCGGTCTCCCAAAGTTCTGGGATTACAGGCGTGAGCCACCGCACCCAGCCTCTCCTCTCTGTAAGGTGCATTATTAGTAAGGAAAATATCCAGATTCTTTGAAATTTTAAATTGAAAATTAGTGTCTCAGGTTAATTGCAAAGATGATCAGTAGCCAAGTAATTTCTTCTAAACCACCTACCTTTTCAAAATCTTCAGGAATTATTTCCTGTGACTTTTGTCCTTATATGTATAACAGTCCTTGGTTGAGAACATGGGCCTCTTTGGAGTGTTATAGAGGACCACGCTGTCCTTAAGGGCCAGAGCTGCATGGAACTAAGGCACTGGGTCAGGAATATGGCCATAGTGGGTCCATAGGTAAACGTGAGTCAAACTTTGGGGCTGTAATCAGGCGTATGGCAAGATGGACTAAAACAATTCTAACTTGGTTGCTTAATACAGTTGCCCTCGGTATCCATGGTGGATTGGTATCAGGACCTCCCACAGATAAGCCCCTCATATAAAATGATGTATTTACATACAAACCGATGTACATCTTCCCATTTGAGCCATCTCTAAATTACTTAACAGTACCTAATGCAATCTAAATGCTATGAAAATAGTTGTTTTACTGTATTGTTTTGGGGATAATGACAAGAAAAAAAAATCTGTACATGTTCAGTATAGACCCAGTTTTTTCTTCCTTGAATATTTTCCTTCTACAGTTGGTTGAATCCATGGGTGCATGTGGAGGGCCAACTGTGTATTATTTTAAGTATCTGACTTCCCTCAAAACAAACTCAGTCATATTTTAAGATTCCAAGCAAAATTGTTAAATGTAGTGCGATTTTAGAATTGTATTTGTTGGCCAGGCGCAGTGGCTCAAGCCTGTAATCCCAGCACTTGGGGAGGCCGAGATGGGCGGATCACGAAGTCAGGAGATCGAGACCATCCTGGCTAACATGGTGAAACCCCGTCTCTACTAAAAAATACAAAAAACTAGCCGGGTGAGGTGGCGGGCGCCTGTAGTCCCAGCTACTCAGGAGGCTGAGGCACGAGAATGGCATAAACCCAGCTGAGATCCGGCCACTGCACTCTAGCCTGGGCGACAGAGCGAGACTCCGTCTCAAAGAAAAAAAAAAAAAAGAATTGTATTTGTTTACTTAGGCATTTATTGACTGCCTTGCTTTGTGGCAGGCACTAAAGAAACATTTTTCAATGTTATAAGCGATATTAAACTTGGTTTGACTCTCCTTTGCACAGAACTGAATGACTTCATCATCCAGCTTGATGAAGAAGTAGAGGGTATGCAGAGTACCATTCTCGTTCTGCAGCAGCAGCTGAAGGAGACACGCCAGCAGTTGGCTCAGTACCAGCAGCAGCAGTCTCAGGCCTCTGCCCCAAGTACCAGCAGGACTACAGCTTCTGAACCTGTAGAACAGTTGGAGGCCACAAGTAAAGACTGCAGTCGTCTGACAAACGGACCAAGTAATGGTAGCTCCTCCCGCCAGAGGACGTCTGGGTCTGGATTTCACAGGGAGGGCAACACAACCGAAGATGACTTTCCTTCTTCTCCAGGGAATGGTAATAAGTCCTCCAACAGCTCAGAGGAGAGAACTGGCAGAGGAGGTAGTGGTTACGTAAATCAACTCAGTGCGGGGTATGAAAGTGTAGACTCTCCCACGGGCAGTGAAAACTCTCTCACACACCAATCAAATGACACAGACTCCAATCATGACCCTCAAGAGGAGAAAGCAGTGAGTGGGAAAGGTAACCGAACTGTGGGTTCCCGCCACGTTCAGAATGGCTTGGACTCAAGTGTAAATGTACAGGGTTCAGTTTTGTAATATTTTTTCAGCAAATTTTTATACAGTGTCATTTAATTTGGGAGAGGATACTGTCCAGAAAATTAATGCAAACTTTTGTCACAATTTGCCTTTTTGTGGGTGTACGTTTTGGTTTTTTGTTGTTGTTTTCTCTTTGTTTTTTCTTTTTTTTTTCTTTTTTTTTTTCTTTTTTTTGCTTCAATACCTCTGCCACTTTGGAAATTGTAACAGTTAATTACTTTGAATGTTGCTAAAAGAACATTTTGTGTAGGGTCAAGTTATTTTTATATGAGTTAATGTGAAATTGTAAATGGAAATTTTTCCTTAAAATATAACACAATGACGTCTGTATAAATCTATGTCTGTTTAGAACCTGTGCTGTGTAAGGGCATTCTTCCTCATGCTGTTACTGTACTTATGCACCATTCAGACTTGTTAGAGTAGATGTGGGTTTATGACTGCCAAGTTTGCCCAGTACAGTAGTTTTTTATCACTAAAAGTTGGACTCATTGATGGAGTCCTGTAGTAGTTTCAGTGTTAGATACAGTTTTTTCCACCATACATCTGTGCATTTTCTCTTTAGGTGACTGAATGTTTAAGAAATTTGTGTGCATAGTTACTCAGTTTTTATGAACTGTTGTATCCTGTTAATGCATATTGCTCTGTGACTCCAGTATATCTTACCTGTACTGACCAAACCTAAATAAAGATTTTTATTGTAACTCCTTAATTAGCGTTTTTGTTTTGTTTTGGGTGTCTGTTTAGCATTTGTCATTGATTTTCACTGAGTCACTGAATTTCTACTCATTATCTTTCAAGTACTACAACAGTGAAACTTAAGACTAAGCATCGATTTTGATTTTGCACTTAATTTTTAATTTATGCCTTATTTTGCAAAATGGAGCTGGAGTTTAGGTCTACACTTAAAATTTTTTCTTGACTTATAATTGTTACAAAATATTTGAAAATACAGAGAAGTATAAAGAAAATAGTCATCCAAATATTTCTTAGGGGTTTTTTAATTTTTATTTATTTATTTTAAATTGAGACAGGGTCTCACTTTGTCACCCAGACTCAAGTGCAGTGGTGCAGTCATGGCTCACTGCAGCCTCCAAGTCCTAGGCTCAAGTGATCCTCCCACCTCAGCCTTCTGAGTACATGGGACTATAGGCATACACTACCACACCCAGCTACATTTATTTTATTTTTAGTAGAGACAAAGTCTTGCTGTGTTGCACATGCTGGCCTCAAGGGATCCTTCTGCCTTGGCCTCCCAACGTGTTGGGATTGCAGGAGTGAGCCACAGCTCCTGGCCCTTTTTGAGTTTTAATTGAAAAGCAGGATTTGTTTTTTGTGACCTGATTTTAAGTAGAGTATCTTTGTAGTCAGTGATGTTTGTTTTAAAACACTTGCCAGTACTACTGATTTTTACTAACAACATACCTGGTAACATTACATGAGTAAGGGGTGTTAGAATGTAGGTAGGAGAGAATGTTTTTAAGGTGGAAGAATCTCAAAGTTTGCTCCATTTTCTCAGAGGTAATTAAGTATAAAGTCTATGATATTGAATGGCCTTAAAAATGTGTAGCTTTCATACATGGTTGAAATAAAATTCCATTTCTGCTAAAAGAAAAAAGTATTGTTTTAGACATAAAAAGTATTGTTATGTCTAAAACATAAAAAGTATTGTTTTAGACATAACTTGTAATACAATCCAGGAACCCTGGAAGTGGAATTATAATACTTGAAAATTGAGGTACAACTTATTTGAAAGTAACTGCTGCTTTTGCTTGTTTAGCTGATAGAGGTATGTCCAGTCTTCAGAAGTATATTAAATACTGTACTGTCTCTTGATTAACCTTTTCTTTTCTGTTTTTTGTTTTTTGCAACAGAGTCTTGCTCTGCCACCCAGGCTAGAGTGCAGTGGCACCATCGCGGCTCACTGCAACCTCCGCCTCTCGGATTCAAGCAATTCTGCCTCAGACTCCTGAGTAGCTGGGATTACAGGCACATGCCACCATGCTTGGCTTATTTTTGTATTTTTAGTAGAGACGGGGTTTCACCATGTTGGCCAGGCTGGTCTCAAACTCCTGACCTCGTGAGCCACCGTGCCCTGCCTTGATTAACCTTTTCTACAATGTGCTCGAGTGCATAAAAAATCCTGTATTTGCATATGATTAAACATTTTGGTGTTTGATATATCAAATATTGTGGCTTTTGTTATGTACATCCTTCAACTTGACCAATTTAAACAAAAATGGAATTTCTCTGCCCTGTTGGTGTAATCATGAGTTGTGACAGGAAATTAAATTTTTCAACAGTGATATAATTTTATGACTGAATTTAATATTGACCTGTTAATGTGACATTTTCATGTTTCTGTTGAGTCTGCCTTGATGAATAACTCAGAGCACTTATGCTGTGGTACATAGTATTTCTCATTTCTGGAACTGGATGCTTTATTTTCTGGTATGACTATGATAAGAGAGGTGATAGAGTGGCTTCTGCATCTAATTGGTTTGAATCCTGGCATTACACTGATTTGTGGCTCGATGTTTTGTTCTTCTCCCCTGTAAGAGCACTTACTACTGTCTTAGCTCGGGCGGCTATTGGGAAAAAAAAAAAGACTGGGTGGCTTTTACACACTCATTCCTCACTATTTTTGGAGCCTGGGAAGTCTAAGATCACAGTGCCCGGATTGGTGCCCCAGTTTGGTTCCTGGTAGGAGTCTTCATTCAGAGAGTGCAATAGATGTCAGTTTCCTTGGCTCCTCAGCTGTATTGGATTCAACTAACTACTCCAGTTTTTGAGACACTTTTGCAAAACGATGTAAAGCCATTCCTTCTGACAACTTTGTCTCTCGGATGTTCCCTCTTTTCATGAGTAGTTATGCGCTGTACTCAATCATTGCCTGCTGCTCTACAACACTGTCTTGGGAGTTCACCTATCCCTGTAGTTACAGTGAACCTTTCATAGCCCCAGGTAATGTCATTAACTCTGATCTGGACCCACCATGGGGTGGCTGTGCTGAGGCAGTGTTGAGCCACCCCTAGTGGTAAGGAGCACATTGCTGACCTCCATCCTATGGCAAATCCAATTTGGTGATTCACTGTTTCCTTCATGGAGACCAAGGAGGAATTTGCTACATGGTAGGTTGGTGAATCCAGCCTCTGGCTAAGACCTGGCCTGGACTCCTGCAACTCTTTATGAAACTTAACCAAGAATGACTGCATCTTTACACGGGGCGGAGGGGGAAGATGCTGAGAAGGCCCCCTCAGGATAAACTGGCTCCATAGCTCTGCTATAATGGTGGCTCCTCATGAGTAAGCACTTGGAGATTTGTGTGGCTTCCTGCCCACTCACCCTGCTCACCAGTCCAGGTATTTATGATTCGAGATCTAGACATAATTTTTTTTTTTTTTTGAGACGGAGTTTCACTCCTGTTGCCCAGGCTGGAGTGCAATGGCGCAATCTCGGCTCACTGCAACCTCTACCTCCTGGGTTCAAGTGATTCTCCTGCCTCAGCCTCCTGAGTAGCTGGGATTACAGGCATGTGCCACCACGCCCAGCTAATTTTGTATTTTTAGTAGAGACGAGGTTTCTCCATATTGGTCAGGCTGGTCTCGAACTCACAACCTCAGGTGATCTGCCTGCCTCGGCCTCCCAAAGTGCTGGGATTACAGGCGTGGGCCACCGCACCCAGCCAAGACGTAATTTTTAAAATTACCTTCCAGCTGGCTGGGCGCGGTGGTTCACACCTGTAATCCCAGCACTTTGGGAGGTGGGCAGACCACAAGGTCAAGAGTTTGAGACCAGCCTGACCAACATGGTGAAACCCCGTCTTTACTAAAAATACAAAAATTAGCTGGTCATAGTGGCACAGGCCTGTAATCCCAGCTACTCGGGAGGCTGAGGCAGAAGAATCGCTTGAACCTGGGAGGTGGAGGTTGCGGTGAACCAAGATCGTGCCACTGTACTCCAGCTTGGGCGACAGAGTGAGACTCCATCTCAAAAGAAAAAAAAAAATTCCTCTTCTTTCCTTTATTCGTTATTCTTAGCCCCCATCTAGCCCATATAAGTAGGTAATAATATGAGTAGCTATAATGAGGACCCCTCAGGGAACAGATGCTGTTTGGCCACTCAACAGAAGCATGCAATTACCTTCTCAAGATTTGCTCCTAAACTTACTCTACATAGAGCCTTCAGGCAGGAAACAATATATTTCTTGTCTCCAGAAGAATATATTCATACTCATTCAAATGTGCTAGGCACTGGCCATAAAGAATGTATTGGTGTTCATTCATAATAAAGCAGTGTAACAGGATCATCTTGCAAAGCTTATATAGTCTGGTAGAGGAGACAGATAAACGAGGAATTATATGGTAAGTTGAAAGAGGAAGTTAGGGGTAAGATGCTGCACCAAATCCAGGAGATTGGAAGGTTTTTCTAGAAGAAGTAATGTTTAAGAGGAGTTTCAGAGGTAAATTTCTGGCTTGGTTAACAGAGAATAGTTACACTGCTCACTGAGATTAGAGAAGAAACAGGCTGGAAGAGTTTGGTTTCAATGTCAAATTTGAGGTGCTTATAGGAAATTTTATTTGTTTATTTATTTATGAGACACAGTTTCTCTCTGTCGCCCAGGCTGGAGTGCAGTGGTGTGATCTCGGCTCACTGAAACCTCTGCCTCCCAGGTTCAAGCGATTCTCCTATATCAGCCTCCCCAGTAGCTGGGATTACAGGCGCACGCCACCATGCCCGGCTAATTTTTGCATTTTATGGTAGAAATGGGATATCACCATGTTCGCCAGGCTGGTCTCAAACTGCTGATCTCAAATGATCCGCCCTCCTCGGCCTCCCAAAGTGCTGGGATTACAGGTGTGAGCCAGGGTGCCCGACCTGCTGCGCTTGTAAGAATTTAAATGAAGAGGGTCAGTTTAGGAGACTAGGTTAGATGTAAAGATTTCAGACTTGTCAGTATACAGGTGGTGACTGACGCTGTGGGAAGGACTGGTATTACCCAGGGAGCTGGTGCAAAGTAGGAGCCTTGGGGAACATGTTAAGGGGATGTCAGAGTAACCCCACAAAGCCTCAGAAGTGGCCAGAGAGTAAGGGGAAAATGGGATAGAATAGAGCAAAAGCCACGGGAGGCATTCCTTGAATTCCTTGGACTCAGATATGTTAGGGGACAGGAAACACATTCAAGATAACTGAAGAGACTTAAGTATGCTGCTGAGTTCTTAGCAGGGGAGGCAGCTGATTTCACCACTATTCCAGACCCTAAAGATTTCTCCTGAAATTGCACTGTTATGCAACTTTTTTCCTTCTCTATTGCCCCACCTCTGGGGCGTACACTCTAGTTTATCTTCTCTGATTTATCTGACTCATCCACATATCTCTGCAAAGTCTTAATGTAGGTTTCCAGGATTTAATGATTCTTTCAATCTACTTTAAAGTTCTTCAGGAAGATTCTCCAGGTCCGTCAACAGTTTTCCCCTTCATGACTTTGTGACCAAGTTTTCTTGTTCCACTATCCAGGTGTTCCCAACAAGGTGCTGTAACGGTGGCCCTGATAAGCTTGCCTAGAACCCTAGAAAGCTCAGAAAAATTATGAACTTTGCCCAGTAAGAGGCTGGGAAGTCAGCAAGGGTTTTAAACAAAACTGACCCCACTTGTTATATGCTTTCACTGTCCAAACGTCAACCAAGGTAACTTTTCACTGTGGGACGTTAAGACGCTGCCGGCGTCCTCACCCCTTCACCACCAGAGCTGATCTTCGAAGGCCAGAGGGCGCCAGACCCACGGGGGCTCGCACCGAGACGCTCCCAGCAAGCCCCGTACGGGCCGGGCTCTCACTCGAGATTCTCGCCCGTGGGATTCCAGTCCTGGGCTGAACGAGAGTGAGTCTTTTGTCACACCCCACTCTTTACTGTTTCGAAAAACTCTAAGGTTAAAACAAAAAAGCCCAAAACGTCAAGACGGGGGACTCCAACACTGGGGTGTCTAGAAACACTGGGGTCTTCAGAAGCTCTGCACATGCGTCCGAGGTCCCCGGTTCTGCCCGCAGCCCCAGACCCCAACCTCACTTCCGCCCTGCGCCCCTCGAGCCTCGGCCCGCCCTGGCTCTGGCCTTGCGCCTGCGCACAGTGGGATGCGCGAGGAGGCGGGGGGCAGGGGGCGGGGCTACCTCAGGTCCCGCCCGTGGCGCGGCCTGTGGGCTGCGAGGAGGAGCCTTGCCTAACTTGCAGGCAGCGCAGGGCAGACGGCGGCAGGAGAAGCGGTCGTGGGCAGGATGAATGCAGGCTCAGATCCCGTGGTCATCGTCTCGGCGGCGCGGACCATCATAGGTGAGCGGCCGGCGGGCCTCGCGCAGAGTCCAAGGCGCCTGCTGCTTCGGCAGGAGCGCCGAGGGCCGGACTTGTGTAGGAGAGGAGCGTATGTGGAGGAAGCCGCTCAGGCCAAGCCTGGAGGACCTGCGGGATCCTTGGAACCCCGGGCCTCCCGCGTTCCCTGACCTGGCGCGACAGCCCCACCTTCTCCTCTCCCGATGTGCGCACTCCGTCCCTCGTGCTCTGATTGGCTCCCAGGGTAGAGCCATCGCGTGGCCTGCGTCTCCCATTGGTTGGCGTAGGAAGGCGTTCTTCTGCGGGTCCCCTGATTGGCCGACTCCGGGAGGCGCCATCGGTAATGCCTGTGGCAGGGGCGTAACTGCTAGGTGGTCTGAGCAGGGCTTTGGGCTGGGGTCCGGCTGTCACACAATGGCTGGAAGTCGCGACTTCGTCTCCTTCGTGCCACATGGTTTTCAAAGCCCTTGATCCGCCAGTTCCTTTTGTTTGGGAACCATGGGGCCGCATCCAGTCGTTCGGATTTGGGGAAATAGAAGGGGTACAGCGGCGTCCCTAGGCCGTTCCGAAGGTCGCTTGTCTGGCCCTCGGCCACTGCGAGTCCTGGCACCCACCTTGACCTTTGCTCAGACCAGCAGGTGTGGGAACGTGTGGGAGGAGGGGCACTGCCTCCTCGCGGTGGCCTTGCCAAACAGCGTCATGAGGCCCCGCTGCTCCTCGGTGGTTTCTACATTACCCACAGGTTTGTGATGTCCGCGCTCTCCGCCTTTCTACTGCAGGTTCCTTCAATGGTGCCTTAGCTACTGTTCCTGTCCAGGACCTGGGCGCAACTGTCATCAAAGAAGTCTTGAAGAGGGCCACTGTGGTTCCAGAAGATGTGTCTGAGGTCATCTTTGGACATGTTTTGGCAGCAGGTAACTCTCAGTGATTCCAGGAGAAGTCAAGCTTATTAGAAACAGCCCATAAACGCGCACACGCACACACACACACACACACACACACACACACACACACACACACTCTCACTCAAGTTCTTGCCTCCATGCTTTTGCTCAGAGTTCCCTCTGTTAAGATTCCTCTTGTGGCCCCTTCTTCCAGCCCTGTCAGTAGCTTCTATCCAGTTTGAGACTCAGCTTCTTGGCCAGGCAGGGTGGCTCCCACCTGTAATCCCAGCACTTTGGGAGGCCGAGGAGGAAGGATCACTTGAGGCCAGAAGTTTGAGATCAGCCTGGGCAACAAAGCAAGACCCTGTCTCTACAAAAAATAAAATAATTAGCCAGGCATGATGGTCTGTGCCTCCCAACTACTGGAGAGGCTGAGGTGGGAGGATCACTTGAGCCCAGGAGTTTGAATCTGCAGTGATTGTGTCACTCACTGCATTCCATCCTGGGTGACAGACTGAGACCCTTTCTCTAAACAAACAAAAAGTCTTCGCTTCATTAATATGCTTTTTGTGAATGAACTTAGACCACTGACCTATACTGCCTTTTCATTCTTAAGACGCAGGGCCAGCCAGGCATGGTGGCTCATGCCTGTAATCCCAGCACTTTGGGAGGCCAAGGCGGGTGGACCATGAGGTCAGGAGATCAAGACCATCCTGGCTAACACGGTGAAACCCTGTGTCTACTAAAAATACAAAAAATTGGCCGGGCGTGGTGGCGGGTGCCTGTAGTCTCAGCTACTCGGGAGGCTGAGACAGGAGAATGGCGTGAACCCGGGAGGCAGAGCTTGCACTGAGCTGAGATTGTGCCCCTGCACTCCAGTCTGGGCGACACAGTGAGACTCCGTCTCAAAAAAAAAAAAAAAAAAAAAAAAAAAGCAGGGCCAGCCTGATGCATTGGAAAGTATGCCTGCTCCTCCTTATTACCTCAGAGTGTCAGTCATTCACCAAAAACTTATTCAGTTCCTCCTGTGTGCCCCATATTGTGCTTAGTGCTGGGAGTATGGCTCCAACAATACAGGTAAGTTCCCTGCCCCTCTTAGGACTCAGTTCTGAGCTTGGAAAATAGGTGCCACATCATGCCCCTTGCAAATGGGGCATAATACTCCCTAGAGGAATATAACTGAGTCCTGAGAGTGCCCCCATCTTCTGATTCTTTGGGTTTCAACACTCCTAATTAATTAATTATTATTATTATTTAAAGAGACAGGGTCTTACTCTGTCATTCAGGCTGGAATGCAGTGGTGTAATAAATCAGAGCCCACTATAACCTCAAACTCCTGGACTCAAGGTATCCTCCCACCTGAGCCTCTGGAATAGCTGGGATTACAAGAGCAGGCCACCACACCTGGTTAATTTTTTAAATTATTTTGTAGAAGTGGAGTCTCTGTCTGTTGCCAAGGCACGTGTGCAGTGGCTGTTCACAGGCACAATCATGGTGCACCATGGCCTTGAACTTCTGAGCTAACTGGGACTACCGGTGCATGTCTACTAAGTTTAAGGCTTTTAAAGCACTGTGCTGAGTGCTTTCCTTTCATTACCTCATTTAATCTTCCCCACAAGTCTGTTATATCCTATTATCTTCATTTTACAAATGAATAAATGAGAGTTTGAGAGGTTAAATGACTTACCAGGGTTGCAGTTTGAAGTGGAGCTAGCACTTGAACTTAGATCAGTCTTATTCCTTAAGCCAGATACCTTCTACAATCATGTAACAAATGTTTATTGAGCACCTACTTTGTGCCAGGCACTATTTTAGCAGCTGGAGATAAGCAGTGCTCATATCAGACAGAAATTCTCATTCTCACGAAGCTCATAGTATGCTAAATGTTAGCATTATTAATTATGTTAGCACCTCATTTTTTTTTTTTGAGATGGAGTCACGCTCTGTCGCCTAAGCTGGTGGAGTGTAGCCGTACGATCTTAGCTCACTGCAACCTCCGTCTCTCAGGTTCAAACAATTCTCCTGCCTCAGCCTCCTGAGTAGCTGGGATTACAGGCACTTACCACCATGCCCAGCTAATTTTTGTATTTGTAGTAGAGACGGGTTTCACCATGTTGGCCAGGCTGGTCTTGAACTCCTGACCTCAAGTAATCTGCCCCGGTTGGCGACCCAACGTGCCGGGATTACAGGCGTGAGCCACTGCTCCCAGCCTAAGGCGCTGCGCCCGGCCTGTCTTTTTAATATGTATGTGATCCCGCATATATTTTCAGTCTCAAGTAACCTTACCTGTTTTTAGTTTCCAGCCTAATCCCAGATTGATAACATTGTGATGAATATAATCTCTAAGTTTTTGTCAGTAACTTATTTGCTAGTTCTTCCTCACAAACTCACCAAGGAAGGGTGGTAGGTATGAATATATCTGAAACTTGGAATAGAGTAATCACTGTATAGACATTTACCGTTGACTCTGATAACAGACAATGGTGATTGAGAATATTTGAAACTTTTAACTCCATTTTATTCTGTGCTACTTTAAGTAAATTATGTATTTTTTCCCAACTAAATGAAGTCCCGTAGTTGAATTATAAAAAGGTATTTGTGTTTCGGTACTCAGAATAAGAAAAAAAAGGTATTTGTGAATTCTGAGTTTGTATATATCTTGTTATATAACCATTTAAGCATAGTGTGATGGATACTAAGCAAGAACAGAACTGCTTATTGTCAAAGGTTTTCCTTTTTAAGTAACCTCTTTTCTTCTCAAGTGTCTTAAGCCATGATCCTGGGAGCAAATGGCGCTAGTTAGAAACACTGATAATGCCTAGGTTATATCCTGTGTTTATTAGACATAGGTTTGATAATGCTTATTTAAGCCCTATCTTTTTTTTTTTTTTCCTTTTTTTAAGACGGAGTTTCACTCTTGTTGCCCAGGTTGGAGTGCAGTGGCGCAATCTCGGCTCACCACAACCTCCGCCTACCGGGTTCAAGCAATTCTCCTGCCTCAGCCTCCCAAGTAACTGAGATTACAGGCATGCGCCACCACGCCTGGCTAATTTTGTATTTTTAGTAGAAACAGAGTTTCTCCATGTTGGTCAGGCTGGTCTCGAACTCCCGACCTCAGGTGATCTGCCCTCCTTGGCCTCCCAAAGTGCTGGGATTACAGGCGTGAGCCACCGCGCCTGGCTATTTAAACCCTATCAAAAGATGAGGATGACACCTCTTTCTTAAGGTATTAATGACTTCTTTATGGAGGAGAAAGCCTATATCTATGAAATACCTACAGAGCAGCACAAGACAGTATATATTCAAGGGCTAGAGTATGACAGGTGGAGATTGTAGACAGGCCTTTTTGCCTCCAGTGGGCACTTAACTGACCTGTAGGCTTTCAGAAGTGGCAGGTAACCCAGCTGGTAATTTTACACACACTTTCACTGTGACATTTTGTCTTTCTCCCTGATTGCTAAGAGTTCTCTGTGTTCCTCTGTGTTCCTCTTTCTAGGCTGTGGGCAGAATCCTGTTAGACAAGCCAGTGTGGGTGCAGGAATTCCCTACTCTGTGCCAGCATGGAGCTGCCAGATGATCTGTGGGTCAGGCCTAAAAGCTGTGTGCCTTGCAGCCCAGTCAATAGGGATAGGAGACTCCAGCATTGTGGTTGCCGGAGGCATGGAAAATATGAGCAAGGTAAGGCCTCTCTGATGAGATGGCTTTCACTGACCTCACACCAAGAAACTCATGTCTGTGCCAGAACAGAGTAAACTGATGCATATCAAAGCTGGAACCAGTGAACAAATGCACAGAAATGACACCCTTGATCCCTACTTGAATGTGAATTATTCTTCAGTTTGGGTGGGAAGTCTAGGTTAATGAAAAAGTTTATCAACCAGTGTGATTGGAACCCAATATACTTTTTCTAAACTATTAATGAAGCATATAATATTTTCTGAATTAAATTCATAATATTAGTTGCTTGATGTCCTTGGTTTTAAATTTCTTTCCCATTGTGAGTAAAAGGCAAAACACAAATGTTGCCACTTACCTTCTTGGTGCCCTTCTCCAGTAGGCTTGCCAGGCACGATTTGTTTCACCAAGTTCCATACCTCAAACTGGCATAGCGGTTGAAAGAAAAAGTATATTCCCTCCGTCCTACTGAGGCAGCTCAGGGGCTGAGCAGCACATTCCCTAGATAGAAGCTGATTCAGCCCAGCCATTGCTGAGGTTCAGGAGGAGGCAGGCTAATGGTAGCAAAAATCATCGGAATGATTTTGATGGGATGACACTGACATCTGTGTAGCACTTTACCAGGTGCTCTTGTACATGTATTCACAACAGCCCCACATAGGGTAGATGATATCATTCCCAGTTTACAGGTTAGGAAACTGAGGCCCAGAGCCAGCATTCAAATACAACTCTTCCAACTGTAAGTCCCATCAGTAACTCTTTCCATTCTAATATACCTGAGATTGAGTTGGTGAGAGTTAAGACTGGCCGCTACTCAGAAATCCCTCCCCATCATTTAGTTAGGCAGCCTGATTATTCTCACTGTAGATATCATATCATCCATTAAAATGGGTAACAATTGCTGGCTTTACTTAAGCCCTTAGAAGGTTTCTTCATTTAACAGATAATTAATTGCCTCGATGGAAAGAATAAATGGGACTCTTAAGGAAACAGGACACAGAATGGGTAGTTTTGAGGGAGAATTGGAAATGGGTAGGTAGGAGACTAATGGTTCCCAACAACAGGAAAGATGAAGTCTGCTAATTCCAGGGGTCTTTAGACCCTGGCCTGGCTGAGAACCTGGAACTGGGGAGAAGCGCTGCAAAGGGGCCTAGATGAAGACTTAGGAAATATTAGTTTTGAGTTGTGTTCTGGGGAAAAGACTAATTACAACTAAGCCTAAATCCATTTTTATTTCTGACTTCTAGGCTCCTCACTTGGCTCACTTGAGAACAGGAGTAAAGATAGGTGAGATGCCGCTGACTGACAGTATACTCTGTGATGGTCTTACAGATGCATTTCACAACTATCATATGGGTATTACAGGTAAGGCAGACATAGCTGAAACTTTATTCACTTTGAAAAGGTTAAAAAGACCATATAATAATCTGCTTCTTAGGTGCTTTCATCCTTATCGCCAGAGACTGTCTTAAGGATTTTTGTATCTCTTCTTTGATTAACTGAAGTGAAGTGAGTATTCTCTTCTTTGTGAACCCTTGATTATCAGAGAATGTTAGAAGTGGGAAGTACCTCAGAGTTCTTCTGGATCACCCCGTCATTTTACCAAATGAAGGAACAGGGCCCACAAATAGTGAGAGGTAGTAACAGAGATAAACCAGTTTTTGTTTTTGTTTTTGTTTTTTTGATACCTAACTGTATTTTTTGTACTATACAGTTGGGTTATTGGTCATTCATGTTGAAGGGTCCTGTGGTCTAGGTTTAAGGCAAAGCAACTGGGAAATCAAAGGAACTCATTTCTTTAGTATACATGTAAAAGTTAGGAAACAGAATAGACATTTTAGAGTTAAAGAATCAAACCCTGAGAACTTAAGCACCTTGCTCCAATGCTTGCAGCAGTGGTTCTGGTTCCATGTAACATATAAATACGTGAAAAAGGTAATGGGGAAAAGTACAAGATTCCAAGAAGAGGGAACTGTGTGCATGAATGCAAGGCAGGAAGGAAGGGCTTAGAGATATGGGAAGCAGTGAGAAGCTCAAGGCATCTTGGCCACTTCTCAGTTTAGAGCCACAACAGAGAAGGCTATAAGAACACAAGCAGACCATGGAAGATACTGTGTGACCAACTGCCTCAACCATAACTAGAGGTGGTCATTAAAAATGCTGATCCCGAGCCCTTTCCAAGGTGTACTGTGGATTGAATTGTACTCTTCCAGCCTCCAGAACTGTGAGAAAATAAATTGCTCGTTTAGAGAAAAAAAAAAAAAAAAAGCTCAGGTCATGATGGAGTAATTGACAAAGATTAGACTTCCTACTATAAACAAGCATAAAATTTGTGAAAATATATGAAGCCACTGCTTTCAGGTGTTGACTAATACTCATGTAAGACTGAGATCTTGAGAGAAAGGAAAACCCCACGGTCACTGTCTCTAGCTGGGACACTTCCCGAACTCATGGAGAGGCAGAGCCTGAGCTGGGAACAGTGGTCTCCGTGATCTGAAGAGGCAGAGAATTTGAGGCTTCTGAGATGGCTGGAGTTTGTGGGGCAGAATAAGGGGGAGAAGAAAAAAAGAACCCCAGAAATCTGCAGAAGGGTCCCCTTAAGTCTTTGATCAAATACTAAACTTGTAGATAACAGCTTATAAGGCCTAGTAGAAAAGAGCTACAAGGGAGAGGTGAACTGGAGATTTTATAGATGATAGCTTTTATAGGGTGCAGTGGCAGGTGCCTATAGTCCCAGCTACTAGGGAGGCTGTGGTGGGAGGATCACTTGAGGCCAGCAGTTTGAGGTTGTGTAGTATACTATGATTTTGCCTGTTAGTAGCTGCTACACTCCAGCCTGGTCAACATAGTGAGTCCTCATCCAAAAAAAAAAAAAAAAGAGGAAGAATAGCTTGGTAAGTAAAGACAAGACATGGAACGCAAAGCAATAACTTTTTTATTTTTTGGTGGAGACAGGGGTCTCACTCTGTCACCCAGATTGAAGTGCAGTTGCTCAATGTTGGCTCACTGCAACCCCCTGAGCCACCTCAGCCTCCTGAGTAGCTGGGACCACAGGTGCACACCACCATGCCTGGCTAATTTTTTGTACTTTTTGTAGAAATAGGGTTTCACCATGCTGCCCAGGCTGGCCTCAAACTCCTGAGCTCAAGGGATCCTCCTGCCTCAGGCTCCCAAAGTGCTAGGATTACAGGTGTGACCCACCACACCTGACCAATTCTCACATTTGTAGAAGAGAGTTACAAATATGGAAAGAGAGAAGAATGTAGCTTGTGGTGTGAGGTTGCATTTTGGAGAACTCAAAATGCAGTATGAACTCAAGGTGAGTGTGTGTGCATATGTAAAATTATAAATTACACATATGGAAGTTTCTACTGAAGAGACCTAGAAACAATGACAAACCATTCACAACAAGCGGTCCTGACACCCAGATCTTCTAAAAACATTTCTCCACTAAAAGGAACTAAGGTTGTTTGGAGAAATGACCAAATTTTCCAAGGCTGGGGAAAAAATGCTAAAAAATTAAGGACATGCTCGGGGACATGTCGAAAGTACACAGGAGGTGGCCTACAGGGCTTCCACTTTCCTGTAGTGGAATTTTGAACAATGTGAGCATCAAAGTCAGTAATGATAGTAATGGGTTATAACTGCCCAAATTTTGAACAATTTGAGCATGCAAGTAAGTAATGATACTAATGGGTTATAACTGCCCAAGTTTTGAACAATTTCAGCATCAAAGTAAGTAATGATAGTAATGAGTTATAACTTGTTCAATAAAATGAAAATGTATGAGTCCATCCTGATATAAATAACTGAATAAATGGGAGAAAAGGAACAGCTTTTTTTTATGGTAAAATGCAATTAATACCTTACCAATAGAAGGAATGTTGGAGTTAGAAAATCATGAATGAATGCTAAAACTAGTGGGTGAAAATATGATGGGGAAGAATATATTTTGATAATCTAAAAAGAGCCTCCCATAAATTATTGATTACTTATAAATGAAAAAATGGTACCTTTAAAAGCTAGAAACCTGGTGAATACCAAACTGTTTTAACCAAGTGATCAAAGATGACATCACCTGGGATAAACTGATTGTCATTTATGTCCTAATAAGATTCACTGAGAAGGCCAGGCGCGGTGGCTTAAGCCTGTAATCCCAGCACTTTGGGAGGCCGAGACGGGCAGATCACGAGGTCAGGAGATCGAGACCATCCTGGCTAACGCGGTGAAACCCTGTCTCGACTAAAAATAAAAAAATTAGCCAGGCCTGGTGGCGGGCGCCTGTAGTCCCAGCTACTCAGGAGGCTGAGGCAGGAGAATGGTGTGAACCTGGGAGGTGGAGCTTGCAGTGAGTGGAGATCGCGCCACTGCACTCCAGCCTGGGTGACAGAGCCAGACTCTGTCTCAAAAAAAAAAAAAAAAAAAAAAAAGATTCACTGAGAAAAAGCATACTATCATTCAGTGGTATACCTCCCTTTTGGCAGAATCTTAATCTAATCCTGAGGAAACATCAGACAAATCAAAATTGATATCCTTAACAAAAGAACTGGTCCATGTTCTTCAAAAATATCAATCTTAGGAAGCATAGTCTGAAGAACTGTTACAGATAAAAGCAAACTAGAGAGATTGGTAGTTGAGTACATGCATGCTTCTTTATTGGCTCCTGGACTGAACAAATAAAGGAGCTAGAAGGACATTACTGGGATAATAGGTGAAATTTGAATGTGGACCAAAGATTAGATAATAGTGTTTGATTCATGTTAAATTTCCTGATTTTTGTTTTGTTTTGTGAGACGGGGTCACCCAGGCTGGAGTACAGAGGTGCGATCATGGCTTGCTGCAGCTTTGAACTCCTAGGCCCAAGTGATCCTCCTGCCTTAGCCTCCCAAGCAGCTAGGACGGCTAGCTACATGGCACACACACCGTGCCCAGATAAGTTTATTTTTAATGGAGACAGAGTCTCACCGTGCCCAGGCTGGTCTCAAACTCCTGGGCTCAAGTGATCCTACTGCCTCAGCCTCCCAAAGTGCTGGGATTACAGGTGTGACCCACTACACTTCGCCCAATTTCCTGAGTTTTATAACTGTGCTTATGTAAAAAAGTGGCCTTGTTTTGGGGAAGTATACACTGAAATTAAAATTTAAGAGTAAAAAGGCATTGTATCTCCAACTTTCTCTCAAATGGTTCAGAAAGAAAATGTTAAAGCAAATGGAGGGGAAATATACCTGGTGACTCTAGGTGAAGGAAATGTCTGTTAAGTTTACAATTATATAGAAAGGGAAGGAGAGAAGTATGACTCCTGAGAGTCTCTGCAACACTTCTAGACCCACTGTCGGTGGCAGGCAGGGCCACCCCACACAGAGCATTGCACAGGCCACCATGAGCCTGCTAGCATGTGTGGTCAGTCAGCGCTTGGTCAAATATGGGCAACTTGATCTATCAAATGCCAGTTCATGAAAATGTTGGTTTTTTGCTCTTTTTCTCCTTTTCCAGCTGAAAATGTAGCCAAAAAATGGCAAGTGAGTAGAGAAGATCAGGACAAGGTTGCAGTTCTGTCTCAGAATAGGACAGAGAATGCACAGAAAGCTGGCCATTTTGACAAAGAGATTGTACCAGTTTTGGTGTCATCTAGAAAAGGTGAGTATATCATAATGGTTTAATTAAACATCAACCTATTTATAGGTAAGAGTAACATCTAAAAGAGTAATACGTAGGAATCTTTAGAAATTATATCTTAGTTATATTTTTCAGGTTGCAAAGATATGTCCTGGATACATGAAGGTAGGGAGGGGGTATGCTGGGTTTACAGGACACAGTAACATGGGAACTGTGTCAGCGCTCAGGCACCCTTGGTTCCAGAGTGTCCATGACTGCTGTGCACATACAGCAGGTTTCATGAGACACTGGAGCACTGGCTCATGGTTGTTAGGAGGCACCAGCTGACCTGTTTCCTGTATAGGCTCAACCTCCTCAGAAGTGGACACCCATTACTTCTCGCTGCTTCTGTGTGATCTCCCTTTCCCATTTCTAAAGGGTGGATCTTTTGGGGTCACTTGCTATTTTCTAATACAGAGTGCTTCCATCAAGCTCCCTTATTGATAACTGACATCTCTTATGGCCAGCCAGCAGTGCAGGATTGACTTTGAGACTCCCTGATCCACTCACTTGTAACCAGTCAAGTACTATGACCCAAACCATAGCAGAATTTGGCACAAACAGGTCCCTGGTAGCTACTTTCCTCAGGAAGGCCTATGGATTTGGAAAACACAGGTGTCTTATAAGGACATACTCATACATTGTTTTCATGTACAATAATTCTTGTGTGTACTTTCCTCCTGTTGTAATCAAAGTGGTTATATATTAAAACTTTTCTGCTAAATATGAATCCTCATGTTTCATGTCAGAGAAACCCACCATTCCCAGCACACTTCTGTCCCTGGACTAATCTTGAGTAATTGGTTTTCCTTTGTTTAGGTCTTATTGAAGTTAAAACAGATGAGTTTCCTCGCCACGGGAGCAACATAGAAGACATGTCCAAGCTAAAGCCTTACTTTCTTACCGATGGAACGGGAACCGTCACCCCAGCCAATGCTTCAGGTTAGATTTTCTGAAGGAAATACTTCATCTGGGGGAATACTACGTTCTATAAGGTCTACCAAGTGAATATTTTTCTCTTTATTTATATACAAAAGTACTGTTTTTTTGAGACAGGGACTCACTCTGCCAGCCAGGCTGGAGTGCAGCAATATGATCTTTGCTCACTTGCAGTCTCAAACTCCTGGCTGGGCTCAAGTGAGCCCCTGCCTTAACCTCCCAAGTAGCTGGGGGACTACAGGCATGAGCCACCACACCCAACTCATATTTATATACAAAATTATTCTTAAAACAGTTTAAGGAAACATATCATTTCTCTGTATTTGATCATTGACTTAACCTATACTGAAAGAATTAATTTGGTTTCTTGACATCCCAACTAGACTTGCAAATGAAGAAGTAAATTAGGGAACTTGTTTATCGACCTTTGTATTTTTCCAGTACCAGAAACTCCCAATACTTCCTTGTGAGGCCCGGGCTTATTCTTCCATTTCCTGTCAGAGATCTCTCCTCCCCAACTGCTGTAATTTTTTTTTTTTATATATATAATTTTTTTTTCTTTTTTTTTTTTGGAGACGGAGTCTTGCTCTGTCGCCCAGGCTGGAGTGCAGTTGCGCAATTGCACTTGGCTCACTGCAACATCAGCCTCCCAGCATCAAGCAATTCTCCTGTCTCAGCCTCCTGAGTGGCTGGGACTACAGGCGCACGCCACCACGCTGGCTAATTTTTCTATTTTCAGTAGAGACAGGTTTCACCATATTGGCCAGGCTGGTCTCAAACTCCTGACCTTGGGTGATCCATTCTTCTCCACCTCCCAAAGTGCTGGGATAACAGGTGTGAGCCACCACGCCCAGCCCTGACTACTATAATCCTATCACTTTCTCTAGTTGGAAAGTTTTGTGGTCACTCTAATTGCCAAACATGATTTCTGTGTATAAAGTCTGTTCAGTTACAGTAAATGCCTTAGCCAACAGGTAAAACCATTTAGCTCATGTCTTCAGGTGGTAAAGACACAGATATGTAACTGAAGTTAATAAGCACGGTAGAAATCAAGTCACTCATATTTTACAGGAATAAATGATGGTGCTGCAGCTGTGGTTCTTATGAAGAAGTCAGAAGCTGATAAACGTGGGCTTACACCTTTAGCACAAATAGTTTCCTGGTCCCAGGTGGGTGTGGAGCCTTCCATTATGGGAATAGGACCAATTCCAGCCATAAAGCAAGCTGTGAGTATAACCCTGTTCCCCTTTATGAAATTTGTCTTCCTGTTAGCCTTAAATGAGCTTATTCATGTAGTTACCTTTCCCTACCAGAACAGTAACCAAGAGCATTTATTTCTATTTTTGACACAAGGTCTTGCTCTGTTGTCCAGGCTGGAGTGCAGTGGCATCATCACAGCTCACTGCAGACTCAAAACTCCTGGGCTCAAATATTCCTCCTGCCTCAGCTCCCCAAGTTACCTTGAACTACAGGTGCACCACCATGCCTAACTTCTTAATTTTGTAGAGACAAGGTCTCACTATGTTGCCCAGGCTAGTTTTGAACTTCTCAGTTCAAGTGATCCTCTGGCCTTAGGCTCCCCAAGTGTTGAGATTTCAGGTGTGAGCCACTACCCCCAGCCACTGAAAGCATTTAGATCATATGCTTTTTAGGGGAACTGATTCTGTTACATTACCCTTAAATACATATAACAGATGCTACTGGTTCAAAATTTAAGACAATTTAGAATTTCTAAGGGATCTTTTAGATCACATCCTTAACCTTTTGGATGGAATGGGTGTCACTAAGGCAAAAATGTGTGAGAATGTCACTGTATTAACCTAAGAACAAACGAAAGTAGCAATTAAGAGATCAGTATCATGCAGCATATTTCATATTTATGTTGACAAAGGATGTTTTGGCCTTTCCACCCAAGTTTAGACATCTTTTCTATGAATCTGTCTTCTAGGTTACAAAAGCAGGTTGGTCACTGGAGGATGTTGATGTATTTGAAATCAATGAAGCCTTTGCAGCCCTCTCTGTTGCAATAGTTAAAGAACTTGGATTAAACCCACAGAAGGTAAAGATGCACAAGTAACCCTGAGTGCTTACCAGTGAATTTCACAATGCTATTTTAAGATACCATCTTCCAGGTGTTGGCCACGTGGGTAATAAAGAAATACTAGTTACTAGGACTGAGTTCACGTATTTTGTTACTTCCCATGGTTTAAAAAAAAAAAAAAAAAGCTTACTTGGCATAAAAAGAATAAGGTAACATAGGCAGGGATGAATTTTCACAAAGGTGTAAATTTATTCCTAAACAGTTAAAATGAAAATTTGAGTTTGAAAGGGTAGCATGCTGATACATTAAGAGAAAAAAGACAAGTTTAGGATTTTAAACTGTGCCCACAGAAGAATAAACAATCTAAATCTTTTCTTCCCCTTAGGTCAACATTGAAGGAGGGGCTATAGCCTTGGGCCACCCTCTTGGAGCATCTGGCTGTCGAATTCTTGTGACCCTGTTACACACACTGGAGAGAACGGGCGGAATTCGTGGTGTTGCGGCCCTGTGCATTGGGGGTGGGATGGGAATAGCAATGTGTGTTCAGAGAGGATGAATTGCTTAAACTTTGAACAACCTCAATTTCTTTTTAAACTAATAAAGTACTAGGTTGTTATATGTGAAATCAGAGGACCAAAACACAGATGGAAACCATTTCCTGTATCACAAAAACCCAAGTTTACAGCTTGTTGTACTTTAATGTGTAATACTTAAGTCAAGGTACAAGACAATTCCATTTAACATTGTTATAAATAAAAGAGACATCAGATCAATCATTAAGGGCTCCAGAGTGAACAGCATCTTCATAACTTCCATGTTTATCATCTTTACTTTCTGGATGTAATTTAATAAGATCATCAATTCGAAGAATGGTAATTGCAGCTTCTGTTGCAAATTTCAAACTCTTAACTTTAACTATGGTTGGTTCAAACACCCCTGCTTGTTTGTTGTCTCGAGGTTTACCATTGCTCAAATCAAGACCAATCCTGCAATTAAGAAAGAACTATTAAAATGGCCGCTTACAACTTAATTAGGTGACCCATTAACTCCAGCATTTCATTCAAGTATTAAGCTTGATTTTTAAGTCAGACTAGAGATCTTGTAGGTTGTCTTTCTACCCAAAGCAGCAGGGAGAGATTAGCAATCAGAGTTGTTAACTAAGGCATACCAGTGCTAATAATTAGTCATTATCCCTTGAATTACAGTGACTAACAACAAATGCTTGCTGTGAAGTTTTTCATGTTAAGTAGTTGACAAGTCTGTTATTTATGTTTGCTGACATGTAACTGACTACTATCCTTTTTAATGGAAACTGTTTTGCAGAGGTTAACAAAGGGCTAAGAAGATGTCTAAAAAGAGGGAAATTGTATGCTTACCATTTTAGATTTTTACGTTCTGGGTTAACCTGAGCCTCATTATGAAAAGCTCTTAATTTTGCAACCAGATCTGTGGAGTCCTGGGCAGCATTAACTGCTAGTGTATTGGGAATAACAAGAAGTGATCTTGCAAACTCTGCAATAGCAAGCTGTTCCCGAGACCCCTAGGAAAAAAGGACAGTTAGGTGACTTCACAAAAGGGAAAAAAAATTAAAGCCCACAGCTACTGCTCTCGGGCCTCTAAGACAAGGAATAACTGTTCTTACCATGCTGGTTGCATAGTTTTCAAGGTATATGGAAAGGGCTGCTTCTACAGCACCTCCACCGGGAACCACGGATTTTGACTCCAAAACTCTCTTCACTACACAAAGTGCATCATGTAACGAGCGCTCCATCTCATCACACATGAAATCATTTGCCCCACGTAAGATAATCGATGCAGATGTACGAGCCTTAGTGCTGTTCAAAAAAAAAAAGTGAAATTCTTGTAATAGCATTTTTTAAATGTTTTTTTTTTTCCAACACCATCAATTTCTCCAAAAAATGGCATTTTAATAAGTCTACATAAAGTGCCCTTAAGTCCTGCCTACACAAGATATTTAGATACACTATACAGAAACAATGTCTAGTCTATGCAGAAGAGATGAAAATGGTTACTTCATCTCAATTCACAGTGACCCAATGTTATTTTATCCCACGCGTATAACTGCTCATATCACTGTGAGACTATAAGCAGCAAATAAATGGGAAGAAAACCTACTTTTACTTAACAAAATCTGTATAACTTTACAATTTTAGAAAGTAGCTCTTACTTTTTGATTAAGATCAGCTCATCATCACAAATTCTCTCCTGTACCACTTCTTCTGCCTGTCCCAACATTGCAGCTTCAAAAGTTTCTTCACCTTCCAAATTGGCCAGGGTTGACAGAATAGTTGCTATTAAGAGTTACAAGGGATCTGTAAGTATCACTCTTTCGTGATTTTAATATCCTTTAGACTCAGTAGCATTTGTGATAGAAGTGCTATGTTACAAGTTTAGAATTTAGTTAGGCAGCACACACTAACTCCTTTTATCCTAAGATAGAACTACATCATTTTTGAAGTGAACAAATTCAGAATTTCCAACAAACTTAATGAATTTCTCCAGTTACATGAAAAATGGCTCTATAAATGTGTTGGCAGCACAAAGCATTAAGAGGATATAAACGTTTTTGAAGCTGTTTCTTACCAATATTCCAATGTAAAAAGACCTTTGATGGGGTCAGGTATAATGAAAGTCTTTTACGTGACAGCCAGCACAAGACATACCTCCAGAAGCTTTCGCAATGCGTTTAAGGTCCCTTTTTAAAACTCTTCTAACTGCCATAGCACCAGCCTCCACAAAATACTTCAGACACATATCATCAATTCCACCAGTGGTTAGAATAACATTGGCACCAGTCGCCAGGATCTTCTGAATTCTCTCCTTGGTGATATCTGATTCTCTGCAAAGTATTTTTGTAACCCAGAGTTACCTTCTGTGATTTTTAAAAATAATTTAGCTTTAACTTCCATTAAGTATTTATCACAAGATAATCATAGACTAAATTGTATTAACCTTTGTTATCTCTGACCAGAATTTACATTAGTCCAATTCATGGAATATTAGAAGGAATTAAAAATTACCACTTAGCTCTCCCCAACCTGAATTTGAATTACTAATCGAGAACTATGGTAAAACAGGGAACATAGGTCCTGCCTGCCTTCAAGGATCCAGTGGGGAGAGGGATTACCAATCACACTCCAGGGCAAGCGTCACTAAAGTGGTATGCAGAGACTACAAGCATATAAAAGACATAAATTTAGCCTAGGAGGCAGATAATGAAGTCAAGAGGAGTCCAGGCCGAGTGCAGTGGCTCACACCTGTAATCCCAGCACTTTGGGAAGCTGAAGTGGGCAGATCACCTGAGGTCAGGAGTTCGAGACTAGCCTGGCCAACACGATTCAACACTCTACTAAAAATACAAAAAATTAGTTGGGCCTGGTGGTGGGCCCCTGTAATCCCAGATACTCAGGAGACTGAGGCAGGATAATCACTTAAACCCAGGAGGCGGAGGTCGCAGTGAGCTGAGATCGTGCCACTATACTCCAGCCTGGGCAACAAGCGCAAAACTCCTTCTCAAAAAAACAAAAACAAACAAAAAAAAACACCAGGAGTCCAGAGTTGGAAGCGCAAAAGAAGACAGAACCAGAAAAGTGAAAAACCTTGTAGGTTACACCAAACAGTCTAGATACTAAGAAGGTTAACATTTTTAAGCAAGACTAGTATAATGTTATCTGCGTTTTCAAAAGGATTCCCTGGTATCAATGTGGAAATTGCACTGAATGGCTTAAGACAAGGAGATAGTAACATCAGATATAAGCTGACAGACAACCTAAACAGAAGTCAAATTTAATGGCTTGGGTGACTCCTGGAGTAAAATAAATAGCAACAGTTTGGGGGGCAGGATGGGAAATCAGAGTTCAGTTTGGGACAAGATTAAGTTTGAAGTCTCTGTTGTTACTCAGATGAAGCTCCCAGAAGGTAGTCACTTAACATCATGGAAACCACAAACTATGGGAGATACAGATTTGAAGAGACAATATGAGTGAAGCCATGTGAATAGATCATTCGAATAATTTTTAAAGTAAAATGAATTACAGATCAACCTCAAAGGCAGCTTATCTACTGAACAAGTACTGTGTGCTATACACTGTACTAAGGATGGGGCTACGATGCCAATGGAATCATTCTGTCTCTACCATTAGAGCTTACAATTCATGAGTTGTATAAACTCACAGTAAAAACTGTAGTAAGCCCCAGGAAGATAAAATACAGGAAGTTACAAAAGAATATAATTTAGATTGCAGAAGAAAGAAAAGTTTCTCTAAGAGACTAGCTTGGGTGTGTTTCTACAACAGTCTAGGCAAGAAAATGAAATGTAGGCAAATTTAATTTGGAGGTAGAAATCAAGTGGTGTTGGTGACAGATTAGGAGAAAAGCTGTTGGTAAAAAGGAGGAGTTAAGGACATTTCCTAGTTTTCTGCCTGTGTGGAGAAGTCCCCATCACTAAAATGGTCAAGAGCAGATTTGCGGTATTATCACAAGTTCAGAGACATGTTTACTTTGAGATGCTTGAAAAGCATTCTATTAGATAGAGGTGTGTGACTTTGGAGCTCAGAGAAACAGCTTAAACAGTCTCTGGCATAGAGAGATAATACATGAAGTCATGGGAACAAGGGGCTATTCTGGAGAATATTGTGAGATGGTGGCCCAGACAAAGCAGTATCACAAAGCATTTCAAGAAGGACGTAATCAAAGGGTTGCTAAAGGTCAAGTAAGAGGAAGGCTGAAAATGTCTTCCGAATTTCACACTAGAGACCTTAACATGCAGTCCCTCAAATGGAGAACAGGGCTGAAAAGGGATGAGAAGAAAAGCACCAGAAAAGTTTTGTGTAGTAAATCACTCATGACATCTGGCTGTAAGGATGTAGGATAGGGAGTACCTACAGCAGGAGGATGTACAAAGAAGCCTGAAGGGACAAAAGAGCCACATGAAGATTCCAGGAAAGAGCATAATTAGTAGGTATGAAAGAAGAATCAAAGACAAGGCTCTAGAGCAGAAGGAAACAGATTCTGGAACACTTACTGTAGAGCGACTGGCTTTGATGGAAGAAAGGACACTTTGTTGTATCAGGAAGGAAGGAAAAAAGAATACGCATGCAGATTGATTTAAAAGATGAGAGCACATTTCTTACCCTCGGCAAAGCTTTCTTGTAGGTTTGGTTTAACTTCTGTTTAAACTATTCATTGTGGTTTTGTTTGTTTTTTTAGACAGGTTCTCGCTGTCACCCAGGATGGAGTGCAGTGGTCCAATCACAGCTCACTGCAGCCTCGACCTCCTGGGCTTCAGATTCTTACCACCTCAGCCTCTCAAAGTGTTGCGATTACAGGCATGAGCCACTGTGCCCAGCCTAAACCATTTATTGTTTTAAGTGACTATTAGGCAGTCTAATCTATAGCAGTGGTCACACTACCTCCACCATTAGCTCTTCAACCACTAATATCACCTGTACCTCCAGTATCTAGCAAACAGTAGGCTACAGTCAATACCACACTGCTGAGTTCTGTACTGCTGAGGAAATTAGATTCCTGTCTTTTATATCTTTAATATTAACAGACTCATACAATCAAAATTTCACAAAAAGACAATTTTCATATAGGTTGTATAACCCCAAATCCCTCTAAAAACACCACCAGGCTAATTTTTCTGGAAGTTTAAGTAAAATAGTTTGACTTGGCTAAAAATGTTAAAGTCCTCCAAGACACTCACACTTAAAAGCCCAAAAATAATCTCTCAACATACCTCTGTCTAATTTGGTCCAGTTTTTCAGGGTCTGTAATGACCACCTGTACACCAAGCTTCATTTTTGTTTTTTGCAGGCTAAAGTCAAGGCAAGCAATTTTTGCATTTACGATTCTCTTGGGCATGCCTACAATAGAACATAAGATTAATACGTCTATCCTTAAAAGCATAATAAAGAGTACCCATAATTGATTGTATGTAAATACACAAATTTAGACTGTAATTCATTACATTTTCTCTTAGAAAAACTTTATGGCATTACATGCACGTAATTTGTTTTAATTCACATTCCTTCTAACATGTTGTATGTGCTTTAAATTACAAAAAGATGTACTGCACATAATCCACAAGTTAGTTTTTTTTTTGAGACGGAGTCTCACTCTGTGGCCCAGGCTAGAGTGCAGTGGTGTGATCTTGGCTCACTGCAATCTCTGCCTCCCAGGTTCAAGTGATTTTCCTGCCTCAGTCTCTGGAGTAGCTGGGACTACAGACACGCGCCACTATGCCTAGCTGATTTTTGTATTTTTTACTAGAGATGGGGTTTCACCGCATCGGACAGGCTGGTCTCAAACTCCCGACCTCATGATCCACCTGCCTCGGCCTCCCAAAGTGCTGGGATTACAGGCACGAAGCACTGCGTCCCGCTGAAGAAAAAAAAAAGCTAGTTTTAATCTGTAGCAATCTCATTGTATAAACCAAATCCCAAACCTTACCCTGGGATCCCACCACACAGTTGAGTGCATAGCCACTGATGAGCATACTCTCCATTTGACTTCTCCCATGGGCTTTCAAAATATTAACAGAATTGACTGGATAGCGTGGCTGGCCTCTTGTGTCTGTGTATTTAATAGCAAGTACAGCATCTACTACCATGTTAGCAAAGAAATCACCATTTCTAAGCCAAAAGTTAAGGACGGTAACAGGCTTGGAATGGACAAAGGGTACACAAGTGAAAAATCAAGGATAATTTGAAAGGACTTCCTTTTAGTAACCTAACCTATTAAAGAAGCAAGCATTACGTCACCAAAATATTACATTATCACTATCTGCAATTCTTATCACTTTTAGACATGCTTTTCATTACCTTTTCACCCTAAAAAAGCAGGGAAAGCAACAGGCAATTTCAATACAGCATTACTCCTCCCTATTGATATCAATTTGCATAAAATTGGTATTTAAAATTTTACTGCACAAAATTGATTGCTGCTGCTACTACAGGCGCGCGCTTATGCACACACCCCCACTCCCGAGACAGGGTCTTGCTATGTTGCCCACATTGGACTGAAACTCCTGGGTTCAATTAATCCTCCTGCCTCAGCCTCCATAGTAGCTGGGACTACAGGCACACACCACCATGCCCATCTCAAAGTCTTATGTTTTAAAAAGCCTAAATTTTATCTGACAACCACAAGGATACATTCCAATGATTTTGGAAGACATGGATGTCTTAGCAGCATTAATCAGGCAATCTCTTCCCAGTTCATCTGTGTTAACAATTAGGTTTTCATTGATATAACGCACTGCTTCCCTGTTTAAAAGTATGGGGGAGAAAAACGTTTACAAAGTCACTACTCAAACTCTTTGCAATCATCATGCTTAACACAGAGCCAAAATGTCGTAAGTAATATCTGTTCAGCCATTTCATATAGGAGGAGGACATGAAAAAACCCTCCCTCTTCAGATCATGGCAAGTTTAATCTATCCCATAAGCATAACCACTAAAATCTATGATTAGGAGAAAATGTGGTAGTCAAATGGGAAAAAAGATACCGGTCCAAGTTTTTAACTTCAAATATTACTACTTAAATGCTAAAACATTTAAATAGAATGTTTTCAAATTAAAATTTAGTTATTAATCAAAACATTAAGACAACACACTTTACAACTATTACATCAAAAAAAATTTTCTCTCTATGCAAACAATCTTACTTGCAAGCAAGTCGATAGCCACTAATAACTGATGTGGGATGAATTTTCTGTTTGACTAATTCATCTGCATTTTTTAGGAGTTCTGCGGCAATAATAACCTGTTGAGAAAACATTCACTGATCTGAGTATGCCAGATATTCAACATGCGCAATACACATGAAATGACACTAAAATGGCCATCTATTAGCCAAAATGGTGGTGGTGAAATGAATTAACTGGTTATTAGAAACCTGGGGGGTGAAGGGAGAAGAACGCTACAAAACACTTGAAGTCCTCAATGTTACTCATAAATTCTTGGAAACTGCCACTTTAAGCAAAACAACGGACAGCAATTTCTCAAATACAGTTGTTTATTGTTAACGCTGATGGGGGGAGGAAAATTTATTTTTTTATACATCGTTTTTCCTCTTAAAGTCAGTTTCCACGAATCCATTGTGGAGTGAGGTCTTACTGTATTATAAATGCAAATGGCCAAAACTGGGTAGGAGCCAGAAAAACATTCTAAGAAACTAGTACACCCAATACAATCGTGAAAGACAACACACCTATTACCTTTAGAGGGAGTGCTCAATAGAAGCTAAACCGTGTGACTATTCATACGACCTATATTAGGCTATTATATTATTAAAAACAGTTCTTATAAGTTGATATGAAACAGTAACAAATACTTTTAAACTAAGAAGACTTAAAATCTTGTCAGCTTCTTATGGGAAGAAAACTACACTTGTTAAGTCACATTATCATAAGTTAGAAAAAGATCATATTCATATTTTAGGAGTACATTCCATTCTTTCATGGCTGAACTTTAATCTAGAAATACATATTCCCCACAAACTTTCTCGTTTCTCCAGAATTAACATCTTTCTCACCAAACAAGTGTTTCTATACCAGCATGCTGGATGATCTATGAAGTTTATACTGTATATCACGTTTACTGACTCGAAAAGATCACACTGTCCTATCATGATGTATTTATTAATTTCTCACACTCCTATTTTGAATTCCTGAGATTACCTGTCAGGATTTAAAAAATAAAACAGGCTTAGTGCAGCAGCTCATGCTTGTAATCCCAGCACTACAGAGGCTGAGAAGGGAGGATCACATGAGGCCGGGAGGATCACGTGAGGCCAGGAGCTCAAGACCAGCCTGGGCAACATAGTGAGACCCTGTCTCTACCGAAAAAAAAGAAAAGAAAAAAAAAAAGATTTTTAATTATTTGGTTGTGGTGGCATATGCCGGCAATCCCAAGCACTCTGGGAGGCTAAGGCGGGAGGATTACTTGAGCCCAGGTGTTCCAGGCTGCAGTGAGATATGACAGCACTGCAGCACTTCAGCCTGTGCTACACATGGTCTCTTAAAAAAATAACACAAAAACATTGTTTCTCCCCCAAACTGGTAACATTTTGTTCTCTAAATAATTATACTTTAGAGCTTTCCAAGTCTCAAGGGGTGATGCGGGAGGAAACAAGATTTTTTGAGAGACCATAAAAAAATCTGTGTGATGTCTGAACACTGCCATAAAGGGAAAAATAAGCCCTCAAAACTTGTGAATACCAACATTTAAAACAATGGGGCTATGTTAAATGAACTCAAATTCTTTCCTACTTAAACTGTACAAACAAGCTATAACTACCAACTTACAAATTGTGTTTCTGAATCTGTACCTAAGAAGCTTATTTTCCCTCTTAAATGTGTAACTTCTTTTGTTTTTTCTCTTTGCTCAATCATCTGGGCATTCAGAATATGTAACTTATTTCTGACCCAGCACAAATGACCCACTTATGGCTTCAACTTTCTGAAAGTCGGTTGTTTTTAGAAAAATGATCATTCTTTAGCCAGTCTACCTACCACTGATGTAGTTCCATCTCCAACTTCTTTGTCTTGCAGATCAGCCAGCTCACAAAGAACTTTAGCTGCAGGATGTTCAACTTCCAGTAACTTGAGGATGGTTGCACCATCGTTAGTAATGGTCACATCCTAAGAAATTAGCAGGAAAAAATATGAACCACTCATAGAAATCAACACAGCCCCATTATAATACACATTCACCTTTAATATCACCTTCCAGTACCTGGATTCTGATAAAATCAAAGAATGAACACAGCAAAACACTGAAAATAGTTTTACTTTAAGGCAACTAACACAACAGTTAACGTGTACTTACACCGATATCATCCACCAGCATTTTATCCAAGCCAACAGGACCAAGAGAACTTTTTACAATATTGGCAATCGAAGCTGCAGCCATAACTGTAGACAATTAAAAACACAAATAAAAAAGAAATAAGAATCCACAACTCTGAAAGACAGTAATTTCAGCCTAAAGGTAAATGACATCCAACAGCCCCTGTATTTCCCAAATGTACAAATCTGCGTTATTTAAAAACCACCTACTAGGAACCTAAATGGGGCGGACACTGTGGCTCACAACTGTAATCCCAACACTGAGATGCTGAGGCAGGAGGATAGCTTGATGACAGGAGTTCGAGACCCCCTTGGGCAACACAGCGAAACCCATTTCTACAAAAAATAAAAACAAAGCCGATGTGGTGGCGCGGGCCTGTGCTTGGAGACTGCAGTGAGCTATGCTGGCACTCCCGTCTGGGCGACAAGTGGGACCCTGTCCCTAAATAAAGCGAGCCTATTTGGCACAGCTTTGATGAGGGGGTGGAATCTGATGGCGGGAGAAAAAAAGTAATAACCACAATTTCATGTTCTGCCACTTCGTACAGCTATGCCTTTTCCTTCAGATCCTGCAAGTTTTTTGCTCATTAGAACTCTTTTTATCTGTGAGGAGAGAAATCGGTAGCCAACGGGGAAGGTACTTTCAGATTTGTTTACGAAAAAAAATTACGAATCTATCAAAAAACAGTGCGCTCTGTAGGTATACAAAGGCCCGACAGCAAACGCTCTGCTAAGTTGGCGCTGCCGTCTCCTGGGGTCAACTGCACTCCAGTGGCGTTTCCTGTGCTAACTCTACTTTAAGATGCTATCAACCGAGAGAGAGCCGGACGCCGGGCGCCCGACCCCGACTGCAGCTACGGGCGGAAAGGGCACCGGGCTCATCCGCAGGGGCGCGGATGAACCTACTTTTTCTGGTAAATGGTCCTGAAACGAAACCCGGCGTTTAACATGGACGCTCAGGGGGCCGCCCTGAAACAAAAGATGCGAGGCGTGGCCCGCACGTGCAAGTCCGGGAGGCCCGCTTTCCCGCGGAGGGGCGCGTTTCCAGCGCCGCCCCGGACACCACATCCACGCGGTGCCGGTCTCAAAACCCTGCTGCGCGCTCCGGGGCTCCTCCCCGCTGTGGGGAGAGGGGTCGACAGCGCCCTGCCCCAGAGAACGGCGGGTGGGCCGGGTCCGGCTGCGGGGCCTCGAGGCCCTTTCTGCAGAGGTAAAGGAGAAGAGGCACGAAGCGGTCAGCCGGGGTCCGGTCGCGATGGGACTCGGCCCTCCCAGCCCGCCAGCCCGACCCAGGCCCGGCCCTCCCTTACCGTTCTGGGAGCGGATCGCTTCCCCAGTGCTGCGGTCACCGAACACGGACAAAGGCCCCTCCATCTTCGCGGCAGCGATACACGTTGAATTCTGCTCACAACGCGGGCGACCAGTATCGCGGTCCCTCGGCTGACTGGCGACCACAGCAGTGGCTGCGACGGCGTGGAGAGTACCCGAGCGATGCCCCAGGAGCTGCTGGGTAACACCGCCCTACCCGCTTCCCGGCTGCCCCGGCCCGGCCGCGGGGCACGGCGGGAAGGAAAAAAAGGCGGGGGCAACAGGAAGAGAAACGGGAGCGTGCCGGAAGTGAGGCTCTAGGGAAGGGGCGGGATCGGCATTTTTATCCAATTAGATAGCCGATGGGAAGGGCGCGAAAGCGGAGAACGGAAGTCGGATCTTGGACCGCTGGAAAGAGGCGGAACCTTCGGTGCAAACAACCTTGCGCAGACGCAGTGGGCCATTCTAGTGCCTTCTAGAAAGGTTGTAGGCGGGTGGAGCTTGGAGCTGGGGTGTAACTGGAGGGGCGGGCCCTTCTCCAAGGTAGAGTTGAGGTTCTGAGCGAGTCTTGCGTTTTAGCTTTAATGTCTTTTCCTCGTCCCTGCTCGGGGAGCGTAAGGCAAATCGGCCGGCTTTGCTCCAGGCCTCAGGAGTATAAGTTTAGGGGCGCGAACCTGGGTGGGACGGGGCAGTTTTTCCAGCGGGCCATACGGGAAAATTTTTGGTTCGAGGAAGACAACTACCCTTTTTAAAGCGAAAACTGCACCATGCCCTGCCTCATTTCTACGCGGTGCCCAGTAGGGGTGTGTATGGACCAGTCAATGACCGCCCAAGATCTCTTAGTAGACAACTCAAATACGGTTAGGTGAAGTTGTGGGTGCTTTTGACCCTGGACTTCAGCAAAAAGCGTGGTCGTGGGCGTAGCCACGAGGTGATTGGTGGGTTCCAGGGCCTGCGTGCCCCTCCACGTGAGCGGTGATTGGCGTTGCCGGATAACAGAGCCTCCTCCTGGCCACTCAGTGGCGGAGGACTTTCTACTTCCGGGTCGGGGGCGTCTGGCGTGGAGAGTTTGGGGATCTACGGCAACCAAAGGCTCTGACTTCGTATGATTGCGGCAGGCGAGCGAGTGAGTCGTGCGTGAGGAAAAAGAGGCAAGGCTTTTCCGAGATCGTCTCAGCGATGGCGCTTCGGTCGCGGTTCTGGGGGTTCTCCGTTTGCAGGAACCCTGGTAATTAGTCTTGGCCCCCTTCGCCCAGCTGATTGGCCAGGGTCTGCACAGTACTTTGGAACGTGCGGATTCTATTGTATATTCGACGTGCCGGGTCGAAATAAGAGTTCGCAGCACTGCGAACACCTCAGTAGGAAGTTAAGGACGGGGTCAGTGCTGATTCCACCCTGTGGGCACACGTATTTTTCGTCCCCTGGGCCTGAAGACTGGGGGTGTGAAAGGGGATAGACGTTAGAGCGAGTTCGTGCGCTGTCCGTATCCGTCATTTTTAAGCCCCGTGCGGTTGTTTCCGTTGCCCAGGGTGCAGGTTCGCAGCCCTCTCAACCAGCTCCAAGCCGGCGGCGAAGCCTGAAGTGCACCCTGTGGAAAATGAAGCTGTCGCCCCAGAGTTCACCAATCGGAACCCCCGGAACCTGGAGCTTCTATCTGTAGCCAGGAAAGAGCGGGGCTGGCGGACGGTGTGGCCCTCCCGTGAGTTCTGGCACAGGTAATTAAATCTGCTTGTGATTGACAGAGAAGGACACTGCACCCTACGGACTATTTTAATTCGTTCAACGCCAGGCTGTCTCCCAGGTAGCTGCCATGCGGTGGGTAGAGACAGGGTTCGCGGAGGGGCTGGAACAAACAGCAAATAGGTGTGATGGCGGATATTTAAAGAGGATGTTAGAGTAGCGGACAGGATACCTACTAAGGCCTGTCTGAGGAGGTGACATTTAAGAAGCTGAGATCTGAAAGGAAGAAGCCGAGTCATCTGCCAGAAAGAGCATTCCTAGCAGAGGAAACTGCTGGGGTGTTTGAGGAACTGAAGGACTTGTGGATGTGAAGCTCAATGGGCAGAGGGTGAATGGCCTGAGATGAACATGGAGGGGTAAGGAGGCGACAGATCATTAACTTTGTAAGTCAGGATGAGCACTTTAGACTTTATTTTCATTGTAGTGGGAAACGACGAGAGGATTTAAAGCTTGACCCCGAACTAGTTTTGCAAGATCTTTCTGACTGGGCGCGGTGTCTCATGCCTGTAATCCCAGCACTTTAGGAAGCCAGCCAGGGAAGGCGAATCATCTGAGGTCAGGAGTTTGAGACCAGCCTGGCCAACATGGTGAAACCCCGTCTCTACTAAAAATACAAAAATTAGACGGGCATAGTGGTGCACGCTGTAATCCCAGCTACTCCAGTGGCTGAGGCACGAGAATCACTTGAACCCAGGAGGTGGAGGTTGCAGAGATCTGAGATCGCACCAGTGCACTCCAGCCTGGGCGACACGGCAAGATTCTGTCTTTAAAAAATAAATAAATAAATAAAAATCATTCTGGCTGGTTTTTGGAAGACTAAATTTTTAAGGGAACAGGAATAGAAGAAAGACCAGCTAGGAATCTAGCATGACATGAGATACTTTGTTATAAAGGTGGTTGTTTAATGAACACTTATATTTGCCAGGAATTATGCTACTTGCTTTATATTTTCTCATTTAATCCTTAAAATTACATCATGAAGCAGTTATTTCCCCCATTTTACAGGAGCAAAGAAATTGAGGTTTAGGGAGACATGATTAATAAGTGCCAGAGCTAAGATTCATGTATGTTCTGACTGACCTCAGAGCCAGGACGTTAAGTTATTACGACTATACTACAGCATGTAGGTGTTTATCAGGTTTCTCTGCTGCTGATCTCCTTGGTGAGGATTTGTTAGAATTTCTTAAGGACTTTAAGGGCTATATAAAGGTATAAGAGTAAGTTGGAAATCATAACTATGTGATGTATTATTTATTTATTGACCAAACATTGTACCTATATCACTTGCTGGGCATTGTGTTAGATTCAGGAGGCACAAAGATAAAGTAGAAGTTATCCCTGTCACCAAAAGTCTTAAGTTTCATAGTGGAAAGTGGAATGGGGATAATGATGTGTTACAGTTGCTGTGATACATTTTTACTCATAGAGGAGGGAGTCTTTCAAGAAAGGGATAGGCAGTTCAATTTTTAAATAATCTGGATCTTAAGGCTAAAGATCTTTTGAAACACCCAACCTATTACTTTCTTTTTTGTTTGTTTTTGAGACAGGGTCTGGGTCTGTTGCCCAGGCTAGAATGCAGTGGTATGATAACCTGCTTACTGCATCCTTGACTTCCCTGGGCTCAAGCAATCCTCCCACCTCAGCCTCCTGAGTGACTGGGACTACAGGCGCATGCTAATTTGTTTTATTTTGTTTGAGACAAGGTCTGGCTGTGTCACCCAGGCTGGAGTGCAGTGGTGCAGTATCAGCTCACTGTGACCTCCGCGTCCCAGGCTCAAGCAATTCTCCCATCTCAGCCTCCTGAGCATCTGGAACTGCAGGCACGCACCACCATGGCCGGCTAATTCATTTATTTATTTATTATTATTATTTTGCTATTTTTTGTAGAGATGGGGTTTCACCACTGCCCAGGCTGGTCTCGAACTTGTGAGCTCAAGAGATCTGCGTGGCTCAGCCTCCCAAAGTGCTGTGATTACAGGCATGAACCACTGCGCCCAGGCCCAACGTATTACTTTCACTTAATATTTGGATCATTTAAATAACTAGAGATATATTTTCTTTTTTTTCTCTGTCTGCCCTACTCGCAATATTAAAAGCAGAGAATTTCAGAATGTTATAGTAGGAAATGACCTTTGACATAATGAATCAGGCCCTTCATTGAACAAATGGTTTAAGATGGGTCAGCAGACTATGGCCCATGGGCCAAAGATAGCTTGTGAGCTAAAAAATAATTTTTACTTTTTTAAGTTAAAAAAAAATCAAAATAATATTTTTTGACTTGTGAAAATTAAATGAAAACCAAATTTCATTGCCCACAAGTTCTTAGAACACAGTTAGGACATAGCTGTACCCATTCTCATTTGTTTACACATCACTTGGCTGTTCTAGCACTACAGTGGCTGAGTTGAACAGTTTCAACAGAAGCTGTGTGGCCTAGAAAGCCTAAAATATTTACTATTTGGCACTTTGTGGAAAAAGATCATTGACTCCTGGTTTAAGAGATTGTGATTTTTCTCTACCCTAAGACACAGACAGACCCTGTCTCAAAAAAAAAAAAAAAAAAAAAAAAGACCATATGAAGCTGGACACAGTGGCTCATGCCTGTAATCCCGGTGCTTTGGGAAGTTGAGAAGGGTGGGTTGCTTGAGGCCAGGAGTTTGATACCAGCCTGGGTAACATAGTGAGACCTTGTCTCTTCAAAATAAAAATTAGCTTGGTGCAGTGGCATGCACCTGTAATGCCAACTACTTGGGAGACTAAGGAAGGAGAGTTGCTTGAGCCTAGGAGTTTGAGGCTACAGTGAGCTGTGGTTGCACTACTGTACTCCAAACTGGGTGACAGTGAGAGACCCTGTCTCTGAAAAATAAAGCCATATGACATGGTTTGATGTCATATTTAAATATGCATACCTGAGATTATTTAAAAAAATCTAATGTTTTCTGCTAGTACTGTTATGATTTCAGTTTTTACATTTAAATTTTTGCTCTGTCTTATATTTATTTTGGTACTAGCTGTAAAATAAAAGCAAGGAGTAAGTATATCCACATCATGCGTAGGTTCAGTAACTTAGGTCTGCCTCTTCAAATCTCTTTTTGAAGTATATCTGTAAGTAAAAACTCAGCTCTTCAGAAACAAATTTCTTCATGATAATTGAACTATTTAGTTTGTTATTATTGAGTATATTCTCATAAAGGCAGAGGAAAAACACTTCCCAAGCAAAATCCAAGTTAAATATGTTGAAGTAAATTAACCAAACGCTGGATTGTTGAAAAATATTTAGTCATTTATTCACCTGAATTAATGTAACTTTAGGATACAGATTCTTCTGTGATTTTTTTATCTTCTCACCCCATTTAGGTTGCGAGTTATAAGGACTCAGCGTCATGTAGAAGCACTTGTGGAGCATCAAAATGGCAAGGTTGTGGTTTCGGCATCCACTCGTGAATGGGCTATTAAAAAGCACCTTTATAGTACCAGAAATGTGGTGGCTTGTGAGAGTATAGGACGAGTACTGGCACAGAGATGCTTAGAGGCGGGAATCAACTTCATGGTCTACCAACCAACCCCATGGGAGGCAGCCTCAGACTCGGTATTTTTGTTTTCATGTACTTATTGAAAAGGTATTGTGTTAATTCTTGGCATTAGATAACTTACATAATAATAACAGTTTTTACTTAGCAAATACTTTCCATGTGTCAGACCCTTTGGTGAGTACTCAACAGTGCTACTTAATTTAATCCTCACATCAGTCCATGGGGTAGGGACTAGTATTCTCATTCTATACAGAAATAAACTGAGGCTTACTTGCCCAGAGTCAATGTATGGTGGATTTCAAACCCAGGGTGACTGAATCTGTAGTCCATGATGTCAGCCACTATATTTCCTGTTCATATATTGACATCTTGTCCATACGATATTTTGAAATGCTACTGAACCTTGACATCTCTACATTTCCTTTTTACTTAATTATGTCATTATTAAGATTACTTTCTGAAAAACCATTGTAGGCTGGGAAGTTAGCAAGAACAAATCAATTTATTTCTGTCTTTTGGAAAGTGAAAGTATTTTCAGCCTACTGGTGCTGCTGACTTAATCTTTTCTTTTTTTTTCTGATCTTCAAAACCAGATGAAACGACTACAAAGTGCCATGACAGAAGGTGGTGTGGTTCTACGGGAACCTCAGAGAATCTATGAATAAATGAATAAATGGAAGCATTAATTGTTTTGAACATGTAAATATAAAACTGTCAGCCACTACAGCCATCAAAAGAGAGCATCTGGAAGAACAGCCAGCTTGGAAGTTTTACAGCAATAATGTTGCAGTGGAATATTATTTGTAGTTAAGGTCATCCTCCTCCCCTTTCTGTTTTCTTAAATCAAGAACTACATTCTGCCCCTGTCTTGGGCTTCAGAAGCATCTAAGAAAAGCAGTCATCAATTATAATTAACTTTCAAAGGGCAAGTCAGAAGTTGTTTATAAATTACAAAATAAAGGCATCTTATGAACTCTTATTTTCTGGTTATATGACATTTTGTGTCTGAGCTCACTGTGGCAGTGGAGCATATACGAGGTTTTATGTAAAGTACTTATTACCGTGTCTAGTTCATGGCGAGTGATCTCAGTGAATGATAGTTGTTTGCTGCTCAGAGTGTGGGGTGTTTTTTAAAATAGGAAATGTCAACATCAGTCTAAGCTTATTATAGAACAGGCAGTATGTGAAGATGAAAGGACCAAATGCCAACCTCACTTGGACTCTTGGTTCCCAACAGTAAGAGAAACAAATTTGAAAGTGGAAGGAGGTGGCATGAGGAACTGAAAGCAGAGGTGGAATGGATGGGGTTAGTGGGCGCTCAATTTGCCATGAAGTGAACATTTTATTAGGAGATGAAACTTGAAATGCATGCAAGTTAATCTAAACTTTGAGCTTGGGTCGATGGGAATCATGGCAGTTCTCTGAAAGGAGCTGATGAAGGTGTTAATTTTTGGCTATTTGATAAATGTGAGGAAAAAACCTGTAGGCAGTTAAGGTGGCTTCTAGAGCATTATTTTCCAATTTTTTAAATGTATACCCCAATTACACGTTTGTTTAGAAGTGAAATATGTTACTTCTGCCAATTTGAGTATTCATTGTGTTATTTTAAATAGAATACAAATCTCTATGAAGTAGGATTGGTTCTGAGAGGCCTCAGAATCATATGGCTTAATACTCCCCTTTTGCTTACTTAATGTCCCGGGGAGGCATTTAAAAGTATAACTGAAGATCGGATGCAGTGCCTCACACCTGTAATCCCAGCACTTTAGGAAGCTGAGGCAGTTGAATCACTTGAGGCCAGGAGTTCGAGACCAGCCTGGCCAATATGGTTTAACCGTATCTCTACTAAAAACAAAAATGAGTTGGGCGTGGTGGTGCATGCCTATAATCTCAGATGTTCCGGAGGCTTAGCTGAAAGAATCGCTTGAACTCAGGAGGTGGAGGTTGCAGTGAGACAAGATGGCACCACTGGACTCTGGCCTGGGTGACAGAGGGAGACTGTCTCAAAAGGAAAAAATAAAAAAGTATAATGGTAATGTTTTCTCCCCTAACCTTAAAGATTGATTTGAGCACCTCACTTTGAGGACCATAGTTCCAAAATAATAGAAGCCTAGAATTCAAGGCAGGACACTGTAAGGAAGACCATAGACTAGTTGCACTGGAAACAGTAACAAAAGTAAAAATTAAGTTCACATGTAAGTGAAGGTGTAGGTAGGGATTTCTGCAAGGAGTGAGTGCACGAGATAATCCCTGGGGACCAAGGATTCCTTCAATTTAATGGGCAGTTCTTGAGGCTTTGCAAAGTTTGATTGTAGGTGTTAAGACAGTGGTAAGGTGGACAGCAGAATGAGGAAAAAGATGTCCAGGGGCGTGGGAGAGGGAATGGGGACAGACTAATATTGGAAGTGATGGAGAAGTTGGGAAGAGGTGATTTAGAAGACCGTGAGCTGCAGCAAAGAATCTGCTTGTTGCAGTTGCGTTCGGGGTTGTTCCTGCTCCGCTTTTCTGCTTTCACCCTTTCTGGGGACTCTGTCTTCCTCTCCTGGCACGCCTCTTAACATTCTAAGTCCATGTAAATGACATTTTCACGTTAAGGGCTGCAAAGAAATTGCTGAGGAGCCAGGTAAACAGGCATTGATTGCAATTGCAATCAAACCTCTGTAGCAAACCGTACAATTAAAACACCCGCAAGCAGGTGTGCGCGACGCCAGCCGCAAACCGGGAAGCTATGCACGTGGGGCGGAGGCGCCTGCCTGGTTTCCACGCGCGCGCCCTTTAAGACCCGGCTGCGCGACGGCAGCGCGTGGGCAGCACGTGATAGCCCTGCGCGACTCGGCAGAGCTGCGCGGCCATGGACTTGGGCGCCGACGAGTTCGAGGAGAGCCTTCCTCTGCTGCAGGAGCTCGTCCAGGAGGCGGACTTCGTGGGTGAGGTGCCTGGGATTCGCGGCTGTGCCGGACAGAGCCCCTTGCTCCGGGCGAGCTTGGGGAGGGGGTGGCGGGACGGTTGCCAGGCCACAGGGGCTCAGAGAGGGCCTCAGGAAGGACGGGGGCTTCCTTCTCCAGCCCCGGGGCGGTGGGACTTCGAGCAGCAAGTACACTCCGAGCCCCACGTGTCTTTTGGCCAGAGCCCGGTGCGCCCAGGTGCAACCCGGGGCGGGGGTGCCTGGCTGCTCCTTGCCTCGGTTCCTCCATTTTCCCTTCCTGACCTCCCCTGGCTTCTTGAGCACAGGGGTGAGCCCAGGTGCCTCGGCCGCCTGCAGATCTACAGTGTGTGGAGTGCTGGCCATGTTCTGCACCCGAGAGCTGGTATTTTTTGCCTTCCCGGCAGGTCTGGACATAGAGTTCACGGGCCTTCGATCCAACCTGTCTGGACCCCAGCAGATCAGGTAAAACTAAAACTGTGTCCCCTCTGTATAAGATCCTGGCCAGACCAGCATTGTTTCTGGCCAGCAGCCTGTTGGCATTTGGGGGGCAGGACGTTTTGTGTGGCTTGCTCCTACGTGTTGGGGAACCTTGCTTTTTCCACTCAATGATAGTAGTGTTCCCTAGTTGTTGTAACAAGGAAAAAATCCTCCCCGGTTGAGAGTGGTGATCCTGCCGCGGAGGCCATAGTGCCGGGATGGGATGTCATTGCTCGTGGAATGAGATGCCTGTTTGTTCACAGTCTTTTTGATTTGCCATCGGAGTGGTACCTAAAGACCCGTCAGAGCGTTCAGCAATTTACAATCTGTCAGATTGGTGAGTTTAATATCCAGCTGTTAGAGTTTTTCAAGAAGGTATTTTTATTGTCTTTGTGTTTCCTACTGTAAAAACAGCTCTGAGATTTTTCAAGAATATATTGACTTTGCGTTTCCTACTGTAAAAACAGCTCTGAGATTTTTCAAGGATATTGAGTATCATTTTGTATGCTTGTTTTGTTTTGGGCCATTTTATACATATGGAATGTTTTGGGCCATTTTATACATATGGAATCAACACTTCGGAGCAAACAAACTTTAGCGGCATTGTTTCCATGCTTAAATAAGTCAGTGTTAAGGAACAATCACTCTTACTCTTTCAAGTAAAACTGTGTGTGTGCGATTTTTATTTTATTTTATTTTTTTGAGACAGGGTCTTGCTCTGTCACCAAGGCTGGAGTGCAGTAGCATGGTCTCAGCTCACTGCAGCCTAGACCTCCTGGGCTCAAGTGATCCTAGCATGTCAGCCTCCTGAGTAAACTGAGACTACAGGCTCACCACCACCCCCAGCTAATTTTTAAAATTTTTCAGGTAGGTTTTTGCCATGTTGCCCAGGCTGGTCTTGACTTCCTGGGCTCAAGCAGTCTTTCTGCCTCTGCCTCTCAAAGTGGTGGAATTATAAGCATGAGCAACCACACGTAGCCTGTGATTTTTTTCTTTTAAGAAAATTTACACACAAAAATAATTTTTTTAAGGTCATCCCAGCTTCAGAAACTTTTTTTTTTTTCCTTGATGGGGTTTGGAGATCTTTCTATATCAGCTCATACAGGTCTGTTTGTTGATTTATTTATTTATTTTCTGAGATGGAGTCTCGCTCTGTTGCCCAGGCTGGAGTGCAGTAGCGTGATGTGGGCTCACTGCAACCTCCACCTCCCAGGTTCAGGCAATTCTCCCGCTCAGCCTCCCGAGCAGCTGGGATTACAGGCATCAGCCACCAGGCCCAGCTAATTCTTGTATTTTTAGTAGCCGTGGGGTTTCACCATTGTTGGCCAGGCTGGTCAAGACAGAGCTGTTAACAGTTGCATATTGTGGTTTCTTTTACAACTATTCAATCCTGCTTTTGTAATGTGAAATTAGCTGTAGATAATACATGAACAAGTGAGCATGGCTCCATTCCAGTAAAATGTTGTTATATTTACAGAAACAGACCCTGGGTCAGATTTTACTTTTCTGGGTTTGTCTGTGCCCTCCCCTGGCACCATGGGATTTTGCTATGTTGCCCAGGCTGGGCTCAAACTTTTGGGCTCTGGATATCCTCCAGTCTCAGTTTCTCAAGTAGCTGGGAGAGCTGCCATGCCCAACCCCTGCTTTTACTATGAACGATGCTGAACGTGTGTGTGTGTTCTTCTCTATCCTGATCCTTTACTAGTATTCTGTTATAGTTTTTTGTTGTTGTTGTTCGTTTGTTTTTAATTATAAGACCTCTTTGAGAAGTATGGGAAACAGTTGTAGTTATGTTTCCATTGTTGTACCCAAATTTCAGGTCCTTTTTTGGAGGGTGGTGGGAGAAGACAGAGTCTTGCTCTGTTGCCCAGGCTGGAGTGCAATAGCTCAATCTGGGCTCACTGCAGTACCCCCACCCCCCAGGCCCAAGCGATTCTCCTGCCTCAGCCTCCTGAGTAGCTGGGATTACAGGCGTGCACCAACACACCTAGCTAACTTTTGTGTTTTTAGTAGAGACAGGGTTTCACCATGTTGGTCAGGCTGGTCTCGAACTCCTGACCTCAAGTGATCCACCTGCCTAGTCTCCCAGTGTCAGGATTACAGGCGTGAACCACCGTGCCCAGCCTGAAGTCTTTTTTTACTTTGCGTATGGTTTTCTTTGAGAGGGGAGGAATAGACATTTTAAATGAGTTAAATATATACATCTTAATGGTTTTTGGTATTTTCTGTGGTTAGTTTTAAAACTATGAGAATGTCACTTTAATATTTACTTCTGTATTTGAAGAACAGGCCACGATTAGATTTTAGCAAATTCAGTGTGAATTACAATTTGACATTTCTCATGCTTCTAGTCTGTCTTTTCTTGTTTGTTTGTCGTTAAAGATGTTATCCTGTTGTAGAGCCCACCTAGTATCTGTGGGCCCAAAGTACCGTTTGAATTGTTTTGTCTTTGTAGTGAAATTCAGGGCGCTTTTCCTTGGCATTCATTCCCTCTACGGTCATTCTTTCAGGATTGTCTGTGTTTTCTGCTATTGAAGGAGAAGCAAACAAGTACGTATTAAGAGCTTCTGCAAAGGATGTTGCTTGCCCACTTACATTCCACAGCTGCCCCCTTCAAATTCGGCCTCAGGTGCCCCGATCACTTTTGCCCTGGATGTTCTGTCTTCTCTCCTGGGTCTGTTTCTCCGCTCGCTCTGCCCTCTGTGGATTCCATGTTGTCTTTGGCGTCTCTCTGGAAGTAGTACCTTTCGCGCCAGATTCGCTGTGTACCTTAAGTGCTCCTGTCCCCATTTCTATCGTTTCCAGTATGCACCTATATTAATAAAAGCACCTGACACAGTGTTGTATAATGAAAGGGAGGTTTGAACTGCCTGACACAGTAGGCAGAAAGGATGCCCCAACTATCAGGATGTCTGCTCACCCCCCATGAGTAGTTGAGGGTGCCAGCCTGCATGCCCTAACCTGGCATCCCTGGGCGACTTGTGGAGGGGCTGTCTCTGTGGTAGGCCCTGGCCCTGAAGGCAGGCTCTCTGCCTTTTTCATTTAGCACCCCCCAGTGCCAATCATAGCTCCTGAAACACAGCAGACACTCAGGCACACTCCGATTCTTCTTACCTAAAAGAAAGTGCCCACCCTGAAGCCTGCCCTGGGAACCAGAGTTTTTTTAGATGGTTGTGACTTTTTTTCTGTATGTTTCTTTTATTATAGGTATATAGCCCATTCGTGTAACTTTTTTCTCTTCCCCACAACGTTTGGGATTTTGGACTCAGAATTCTCTTTCCAGGCTTCCAGTGTTCAGTTTTTGAATCAGTATGGCTTCAACTATAACAAGGTATGGCATTGGAGGAGGGGAACGGGAATGTCTTTTGTTTGTTTGTTTGTTTGTTTTTTGAGATAGAGTCTTGCTCTGTTGTCCAGGCTGGAGTGCAGTGGTACAATCTTCGCCTCCCAGGTTCAAGTGATTTTCCTGCTTCAGCCTCCTGAGTAGCTGGGATTACAGGCATCCGCCACCATGCCCAGCTAATTCTTTTTGTATTTTTAGTAGAGACGGGGTTTCCCCATGTTGGTCAGGCTGGTCTTGAACTCCTAACATCAAGCAATCTACCTGCCTCGGCCTCCCAAAGTGCTGGGATTATAGGCATGAGCCACCGCACCCGGCTTGGGAATGTCTTAAAAGTGATCTAGACCAACTGGCCTATACAGCCCGTCTCCTTTCCCCTTTCTATCTGTCCTCGTGAGATCAGGCACAGAGGATCCCTCTGACTTGTCTCCTTGTTCTGTTTCTGTCTTAAGTTTCTCAAAAACGGAATCCCATATATGAATGAAGAACAGGAGAAGAAAATTCGACACGATATCCTGACTGGGAACTGGAGAGTCCGCAGGTATGGCCTGTTTCTCCAGGTGCCTTTTGTTTCCTTGTTGCTGTTGTCTGCATTTCCCTTGGGCGGGCATGCTGTTTCCAGGAACGTGGCGACCTCCATCCAAACCCGGCGGGGATGGCTTCAGTCGCCAGTGCGACTGGTGCTGCTCTCCGTGTGGCTGAGCTGAGAACGGCTTTCACCTGTCTCCATCATGTGCCACTCCCTCATGAACCTCTTACTGCGTCGAGTGTGAGTTTCCGTGTTGAAAAAGAAACTGACTCCTAATCTGGAACTCAAAGGAACAAGAATTCCATTCCAGTGCTAGAGGGGAAGAAATGGCTCTGTTGGACTTGCTGTGAGATGTTATGTTGATCCCCCACGTGATCTTCTGAGGGATTTTTCAAGGATATCTCACGGGCAATCTTGACTGTACCAGTCATACTGGGCACTGACTTCAGATGTGTGCCTTAGTTAGGCTGTGTCTGCCCCACCGTGCCTGACCCTGCTGCCCTAGGCCGGAGGCCGGGAACTCTGCCTTTTTACTTTGGCTATCTGTGCCAGCCCAGTCTCCGAAACCTCGTATTCCTGTAGAGCTGGGGTCAGGAGTGACCACAGTGAGAGCAACAGCATTGTGGGTAGACGGGCCAGGGGCCTTGGGGCTGGCACCCTCACCTGGAGCCAAGTGCTGTCAGCTAGGTGTGGGTTTGAACAAGGCATGGAAGCTCTTTGCCTTTATCAGGAAAGGGGAGATTAAATGAACAACTGAAATGAGATGAGTGATGATCTCTTCCAGATAATTCTGTTATGTTGGAGGAATTTTTGTCTCTTTGTATTTTTCCTGCTGGTTTTCATATAAAAATGTAGCTTTTTGTAAGGGAAAAACAAGTTGAATTTTTAACCTTCTTTTATTGTCAAGAGTTAGAGAAAGCCTTTTCCTTATCTCAAAATGACATTAGGTTCTGTGTCTGACGCAAGAGACGATGTGTTTACCAAAGTCCTTGTCTTTTCCTGATTGACCCAGATAGGGACTTTATCACCCCTGAAAGCTGAATAAAGAAGACGGTCCTGATAGCAATGCTTGGTATTGGCTGGATCCCAATAGCTTTTCCTCCACACATCCTAGTGAAGCAGGAGGGGATTGAATATATGCCTGGATCCTATGGAAGGGTGTGGGCTATTCTTCTGATTGTTTGGCTTCCTATTGCATAAGAGCATCAGAGAAGAAATCGTCTTCTTTGGGTTCATTTTCTTTGTAGATTGCAACATGAAAACTAGAGGGCTCAGAAACTGCTCTCATATTAACATAGTCTTGGGTTTCTGATGTGTTTTTCTCTGACATTTTCACTTTTCATGCGCCCATTTTCAGCTCTCCAGATAAAGACCAAATCAAGGCGGTGATTGACAAAGTGACACGGTGGCTGGACCTGGCCAAGGAAGGTGACTGGATGACTCTTCCTGGGATCGCTGGTAGGCAGGGGCTGTTCCTCCCAGCGCAGGAGCATTGGGACAGGTCACTGTCACCTGCCAGGAGTTGGGGGAAACACACCCTTTCTTGGGATCCTGGTCCCAAATGCCTCATGACTGAGTCTGATGCCAGCCAGCATTTGTTCGGGAGATACATAGTCTTTGTGGTTAAAGCTCTGACCTGCATTCACATGTTGAAGGCTTTCAACGTACTTTGGGTTTCAAGACTGAGAAGGTCAAGTTCCATTCCTGAGCCATCCCTTTTATCTCAGTCCTGCATACCCTGTATTATTTTGACTTTTGTTAATCTCTAAACTTTTCCCCCACCATGTGGTGTGGAGCCACAGTGAATGTGCCATAGCTTAGCAGCTCTCAGAGGCTGGTCTGTGGATCCTAGAGTCTCTGGGACCTTTTCCAATGGGTCTATGAGGTCAGAACAGTTTTCCAAGCATCCCTCAGCTGTACTTGCTATTGTCATTGTGCCATTTTGGTGCCCAAGCAATGTCGGACAAAGCTGTTGGCACCTCAGCACAAATTAAGGCAGGAGCATCATACCATGTTCTTCGTTACCACTTACTCTCAGTTAAAAACGGAAAAGCCAATCTTACTAGCAGCCTCCTTAGTGAAAAAGTAATATTCTTGGTTGTATTAAATCTCAATCTTTTGATTACTCATCTTTTAAATATTATATGTCAATATAGGTATGTAAAAAATAAGTATGCATAAAACATTGCTTGGCTGTGTGCCAAAATACAGTGATTGTGTCAAGGAAAAGTGCTTGTGCATGCGGTCTTTTGAGTTGAGAGTTGAGAGCTGAATTAGCTGCTTTTTTTTTTTTTTTTTTTTTTGATATAGTTTTGCTCTTGTTGCCCAGAATAGAGTGCAATGGCACGATCCTGGCTCACTGCAACCTCCGCCTCCCAGGTTCAAGTGATTCTCCTGCCTCAGCCTCCTGAGTGGCTGGGATTACAGGTGCCCGCCACCATGCCCGGCTAATTTTTGCATTTTTAGTAGAGACGGGGTTTAACCATGGTGGCCAGGTTGGTCTCGAACTCTTGACCTCAGATGATCCTCCCAAAGTGCTGGGATAACAGGCATGAGTCACCGCACCCGGCCCCATGAAATATCATTTTTACTGGAAAGAACTGATTGGTTGCTCAGACTTGAAGGTTTCACAATCATTTTCTCAATGAAAAAAGCTTGTTGGCCGGGCACAGTGGATCATGCTTGTAATCCCAGCATTCTGGGAGGCCGAGGCAGTTAGCCGAGATGATGCCACTGCACTCCAGCCTGAGCAACACAACAAGACTCTGTTTCAAAGAAAAAAAAAAAAAAAAGCCTGTCACTTCAAGGAAGATAACTCGCAGTATTTCCTAGTGATAAAATCACAGCTTTCAATCCAAAACTGGAATTTTGAAGAATTTACATGTGCCTCCATAAGCTTGATAGCTTCCCAGTGCCACAGCCTTTCTGATGAGATCAGTGATCATATTTTCCAGCGTCTTCTGTTGTTCCAGCTATTATTACACAATAACATGTGCAAACATTCGAGAGACCTACATAACCCTGCCAACCAGTATTTTCCAAACTACTAGCACATGATGTTACTATTGTGCACTATCTTTTCTCATGGATAAGAGATCTATTCTAGGTATGAGATAGGCCAGTGGATTGTAATGTAGCAGTACAAGAAAACTCTTTAATGATGGTTTCAGATTCCACATTGCAATTAATCTTTAAGAAACTACCACTTGTTGAATTTGGTACAGTTTTAAAGAATATCCAAAGTCATTTAATAAGGCTGGTAATTCTGTTCCCTTTTCCACCTACATATGTGCTTGAGGCTGGATTTTCTTTTTCTTTTTCTTTTTTTTTTTTTTTTTTGAGACGGAGTCTCACTCTTGTTGCCCAAGCTGGAGTGCAGTGGCACCATCTCGGCTCACTGCAACCTCCGCCTCCCAGGTTCAAGGGATTCTCCTGCCTCAGCCTCCTGAGTGCTGGGATTACAGGCACCTGCCACCATGCCTGGCTAATTTTTGTATTTTTAGTAGAGTCAGGGTTTCACCACGTTGGCCATGTTGGTCTCGAACTCCTGCCTCAGGTGATCTGTCCTCCTTAGCCTCTGAAAGTGCTGGGATTACAGGCATGAGCCACCACGCCCAGCCTTGAGGCTGGATTTTCTTCTGTTTCAACGATCACATTCCAGCCAAATGTTAGAGATTTGCAAAAATGTAAAACAGTGTCACTTTTCTCTCTAAAGTTTTTGTTTTAGAAAATAGTTATTTTTCATAAGTGTTACTTTTGTTCTTGTATACTGGGTTTTTGTTATTTAAAAAACATTTTTTAAATGTAAGAGTTTTAAATTCTAACAGGCTTAATATCAATAGCTGTGACTCACATAAACACAGACTCTGTGGCATCCCCTACTTAAGAGTGGCCCTGAGATAAAAAACTCTTAGAATGCTGCTCCAGATCCCGTCATGACAGGCCAGGCCCTGCCACATGGCTCGTGGGCTTAGACACCCTTCAAGCTGCCTTTCCACCTGACCTCTCCATCTCTTAGCTTCTGCTCCTCCGGGGCTTCTCTTGGGAACATGCCATAAGGTTCCAGGTACTGTGTGCCCCTGTGTTTCCCTGCTGCAGGCTTCCAGGCCTTTGAGGTCCAACTGGTGCTGAGGCAGGCCCTCCCCGACATCTGGACGGTGCTGAAAGATGAGGGGGTGAGTTTTCACCTGAGACCAGGGCGTCAGTGGCTCCATCGTTTCTCTCTCATTTGGCCAAATCTGGCCTCTGAAAAGCTTTTCTCTTGCACGCTGTTTTTCCCGCTTTCCTTTTGTTTTGAGATGCAGAGCCGTTTCTTTAGGCCTCATTCCCAGTAACCCAGGATTCAGGGCATTTGTCCCTGCTTTTCAGGTGGTAGTGAAGAAAGTGAGTAAACAACATCGCTGGTATCTTCAGAACACCTCTTGTGACCGAGAGAGCTGTTGGAAGGAAAAGATTCTTCTCTCTGCAAGGGGTTTTTCTGTCTTTTTCCAAATGCTGGTGAAAGCCCAGAAGGTAGGAAAACATGTCTCTCTTCTCGGCCTAAAGGCAAGTATCTTTTGTATTTCTGGTCAGAGATACTGAAAGCTCCTTCAACAACAAGATAAAATTCCTTAAGATAAGTGATTCCTTCTCATTAATGTTTTTCACGTTTTACTTTCAGACAGGGTCTCACCTGTCACCCAGGCAGGACAGAGTGCGGTGGCACGAACACGGCTCACTGCAGCCTTGAGCTCCCAGGCTTAAGTGAGACTCACACCTCAGCTTCCCGAGTAGCTGGGACTACAGGCACATGCCACTATACCTGGCTAATTTTTGTTCTGTTTTTGTTTTTGTTTTTTTTTGTAGAGACGGAATCTTGCAGTGTTGCCCAGGGTGGTCTCGAACCCCTGGGATCAAGTAATCTACCTGCGTTGGCCTCCCAGAATGGTGGGATTACAGGCGTGAGCCACTGCACCTGGCCTTCCTTCTCATTTATAACTAGCTTCGTGGATCTAACCTTGCTTTCACCAAATCATGATAGGTTAATTTGGGGCAAGAGTATCCATAAGAAACAGTACTACTTCTTTGCTCCTTTCCGTAACGCAGGAATTTCAGTACTAACTGATCTAAAACTACTTGGGAAACTGCAAGCGCCTGCCTCACAGTATAGATTTCCAGCGCAGACCCTGCCTTACGTGCCTCCTACTTGCGAATTATTTTCTTTTTTCTTTTTGTTGGCATTTAAGCGGTTGAACTACCTTTCATGGAGGCAAAGGAAGGTTAGGATGGAACTGTCAAGTGATCAGAATTGCAGTGGGTTCTAATGCTACATCTTTTGCAAGAAACTGTTAGTCTGTAGTGTCTGTATTACATTTTTTATTTTCTCTCACTTGTTGATTTACTCCCAAGTAGCCCTTAGTGGGACATAATATGATGATGGACCTGCTGCACCTCCATGAGAAGTTCTTCAGACCCCTCCCAGGTAGGGGCAAACCTGTCATTTCTCTTCCTTCATGCTAGTTTGCCATCTGGCAGAGGGACGGGTCCAGGATCGTACTCCTGAGGCAGCCCCTAAAATGCACATTCCTCCCCAGTGTCTGCAGGTTTCCGGAGAGTTCGGGCAGAGGCCTGTACTCTGATCTGTTACTGTCTCCACAGAGTGGAAAACCAAGAGACTTTGTCAAGGGGAAAAAAAATTCAATTTGAATTGATACCTCTCTCCCCATTAGTGAAGCTCTTCAGAGTTACTGTATAAAACTTGACAAAATCCGAAATGCGTGAAGTCAGAAGTCACCTTTAATCAGCTAGTAGCCTGAATTTTTTACATATCTGATTACACTGTAAATATGTAAATATATATAAAAATGTAAATATGTATGTAAAGATTTGATTTTTGTTTGACTTTTTTTCACTTACCCAAAGCATTATTTTATGTTGTTAGAAACCTAATAGGCCGGGCGCGGTGGCTCAAGCCTGTAATCCCAGCACTTTGGGAGGCCGAGACGGGCGGATCACGAGGTCAGGAGATCGAGACCATCCTGGCTAACACGGTGAAACGCCGTCTCTACTAAAAATACAAAAAACTAGCCGGGCGCGGGCGCCTGTAGTCCCAGCTACTCGGGAGGCTGAGGCAGGAGAATGGCGTGAACCCGGGAGGCGGAGCTTGCAGTGAGCTGAGATCCGGCCACTGCACTCCAGCCCGGGCGACAGAGCGAGACTCCGTCTCAAAAAATAAAGAAAAAGAAAAACCTAATAAGTGCTGCTTCAGTGTCATGTGACACTGTCTTCTGGCTGTCCCCTGCTCTTCCATGGTTGATTCCATTATTGGACACGCAGTGGTGCAGCCTAGTGGGTAAAAGTGGGGACTCGAACCTTGGTAATCTCCTCCGTCCCACACTCACGACGTGTGTAGTCACCAGCGAGTTGACATTACCTTAATTGTAAGATTGGGATAATAGTGCCAATATCAGAGTGGTTGTGAGATTAAATGGATTAATGTACAAAGAACACTAATCTAGATTAAAAGGGGTAAGAAAGTTTTAGGAGACGTTTCCCCAAGAAACAAGAAAACACCTGAGTTTAGGCATATTGAGAGAGTTGGAGGAGAATTAGTGGTGAAATTAATAATATGTATTCACCAAAAAACTAAGTGCGACAAAATAATCGCTGGAGAACAAAAGCTGTGCAAGAAAGGAGAAGTCATTGTAGCCACCACAGAGCCTTTTGTGAATGACGTGCGTGGGGGCGACAGAGATGAGCACGTGGTTGGAGGTGGAATGAGAGGGGTCATTACCCTGTCAGCTGGTGGGAGGTCAGGAGTGAGGTGTCTAACACTGCACCGCGCATGTGCTAGAGAGATGAGAATAAATACCAAAAAAAGGAACGGCAAGTGGTTGCCTTTGGGGAGTAGGAAATGGGAGAGTAGTGGGAAGAGAACACAGGGTTTTGTTTTTTAGTGTGTGTTTTGCAATAACCCTCTTTAGATGCAGGTATAATTTTACCAACTGAGTTCTTACATAAATTTTCTTTTACCAGGACACTTTGCTAGTTATAATTTTTAGTTGATTTTTTTTCTTGGATTTTTCTCTGAGCAGTTATTTATAAAGGATTTCATGTCTGTCTTTCTGATAATACTTCTATTTTTAAGTCTTACCCCATCGGCTAGAACTTCACAAACTACGTTAACTAAGGTTGGCAATAGAATGCATCCTGAATTTAAAAGAAAACCATTCGGCCTTTACTATAAAAGTGGTGATGGCAGGTTGATCTGAGTTTAGAAATCCTTAGTGGCTAGGATTAATGGTGTTTTCAATTCCTGTTTTGTTTCAGTTTGCTTTATTAATCAGTGCCGGTGGCAAGCTAGGTTCAAGACGTTCCTTCCCATTTTTGCCAACAAACAAATTCACTGTTGACTACCTGGTTTTTCCCCTCAGAAAGCTACGATCAATTTAAGCAGAATATCCACAGCCTATTTCCTGTTCTCATTGACACCAAGAATGTAACAAAGGATATCTGGAAGGTAATGAATAGAATTGCTTCGGGTTAAGGACTGTTTTTTCCATACCAGTGACACTTGGCTTTCTCTTTTGGGTTTTTTTTTCTTGTTTTTGTTTTATTTTGTTTCCTGGTTTTTTTGGTTTTTTTTTTTTTTTTTTGAGAGGGAGTCTTTCTCTGTCACCCAGGCTGGAGTGCAATGGTGCGATCTTGGCTCACTGCAACCTCCGCCTCCCTTGTTCAAGCGATTCTCCTGCCTCAGCCTCCTGAGTAGCTGGGATTACAGGTGCGCACCACCATGCCCTGCTAATTTTTTGTATTTTTAGTAAAGACGGGGTTTCACCATGTTAGCCAGGATGGTCTCGATCTCCTGACCTCATGATCTGCCCGCCTTGGCCTCCCACAGTGCAGGGATTACAGGGGTGAGCCACCACGCCCAGCCTCCCACAGTGCTGGGATTACAGGGGTGAGCCACCGCGCCTGGCCTCTCACAGTGCTGGGATTACAGGGGTGAACCACCGCGCCCGGCCAGCCACTTGTGTTTTTTAAAGTTGTTCCTTGATGCTTTTCTGTCTTCAAACCAGTATCAGTTGCCTTTTGTATTTTGGCACCTGTGGGTCATTGTATTAGCTTATGTATGACTTTTATTCCCTTCCTCTCATTCCAGTGGAAACATTTTGTGGAATGTGGAAACATTTTGACTTATTTGTATAGAGTTTCTGTGTTTAGATCAGACAACAGAACAACTTATTTTAGAACCTGATGCATGCCTTGGGAATATTTGCAACATGTGTACAGAGCACAGCGGGAGGAGGTTCCCTCCTGAAGAATCTTGAGAAAAGCTCTTCTTTCTTGAGCCCCCCAGCCACGGGTTCTCAGCCCCAACGACATGTTAGAATCACGTGGGAAGTTGAAAATGCTGATGGCCAGGCTGCACTGGCAGCTTCTTGTCTGACCTAGAGTGAGGCCAGGTGATATTTCTAAAGCTCCCCCGGTGATTCTGTTGTGGGGTCGAGGCTATGCACCATGTGTAGAGAAGAGAGACCCAACTGGTTTACATACTGCTTAGAAATGAAACAGAATAGCCAGGCACAGTGGCTCACACCTGTAATCCCAGCATTTTGGGAGGCGGAGGTGGGTGAGTGGCTTGAGCCCAGGAGTTTTGAGACCAGTCTGAGCAATGTGGATGAAACTCCATCTCTACAAAAAGTACAAAAATTAGCGGGGCATGTCGGTGCACGCCTGTAGTCCTGGCTACTTGGGAGGCGTAAGTGGGAGGATCGCTTAAAGCCCGGGAGGCGGAGGTTGCAGTGAGCTGAGATTGCACCACTGTCCTCCAGCCTGGGCAACAGGGAGACCCTGTTTCAAGGGGGAAAAAAAAACAACAACTGAGGAACAGAGAAGGGAGCATCAGATCAATGTTGTGAAGCCTTAGGGTGATCCCTTAGAGTGAATTATCCAGGAAGGGAGCCACACAGATGGGAGTGGGGTTTGTGGTCTGTGTCTGCCCAGAGGCTGTTATTATTTGTACTTGGCATATTTCCAGCTACTATGAACTTTTAGGGTTTAGTAACTAGGCATTGCCCCTAGGCCCTCGAGGCCTTAGAATGACTGTATTCTACATGTATGTCCCTGGCCTTTGTCCTAGTGCCTTGCTTTCCTTTGTTTATAGATAATCTCTTGAACACATCTTCTGAGGGAGATGGTGTGTGTAGAGTTTTTTCCTAGCCTGAGTTTTTGGGAGCCCTTCTAGGAAACCCAGGGATACTGGGGTACCCTGACCTCTTAACTAAGGAATAAGGATAGTTGCACTATTTGAAGAGAAAGAGGAGGTTGTAGGAGCGAGCATTTTCCAGGCTGTTTTAATGACCATTTGGTCCTGCCTGAAATAGAGAATAACAAAAGCGCAGATGTTTTCCTCTGGTTTGTTTTCCATCATTGTAGGAGATGAATTTCCCGAGGGTGTCGAATCTTTCCGAAGTCTATGAAGTCCTGAACAGGTGAGGACGGCCATTCCTGGAGCTGCTGCTGGAGCAGGGTCTGCAGCTGTGGCGGCCTCCCTGTGCCCCGCAGGGCTTTGGGCTCTCTAGGCACGCTCACCCTTCACAGTGATGCCTGCTTGGGACTTGGTCTCCTCCAGCTCCTCCTGCTTCGTGGCCCTCTTCCTCCGATGACCCTCTTGCCTCAGTTTCCAAAGAGAGAGAAGGCAGAGACAGGAAATCTCTCAACCCCTGCCTCTCAAACAGTTGTACGCGCCCCTGTTTCATTGTCTCGCCCCTGTCACCAGCAAGTGGGGCACCTTCCCTGTCTGAGGCCAGGCAGGAGGAGCTGCCACCTACTCGTCACCTTCACCCTTGCTGAGTGGCTCCCCACCCCTACCTGCCCCTTCCTGGGGTGTCTCCACCTCTTTTTGTCTCCCTCTCATTTCCTTCCACATCAACAAGTGTTCTCCTAACTTAACAAAATGCCTTGAACTCTTCGTGCTCTTCTTCCCCACAGCCTGTGGCAGGCAGGGCCTTGTCTCCTTCACTTCTGCTCTCTGCAGGGGCACCCAGAGCCACGGGTCTGTCCCCACTCAGCAGGACGCGGCACAAGAGGCGTTTGGAACAGGGGTGGCACCCTGTTCTGGATGTGCGTGTGCAATTTTTTAAAACCCATTCCTTGTGGTTCGTGTTCTCTACCTGTCTCCTAAGTTTTCCCTCAAGGGCCCCTCCTCAGCCCTCTTCCTGCTCATTCCCAGGCTCCCGAGTGGCCTAGTCCACCCGCTGGGCTTCAACTCCCAGCAACTGTGTGTGGCTGCAGTCCAGACCTCAGCATCTAGGATGCTGCGTTTACAGTGTCTTGTTGATGTTCCCACCCTGCATGACTTACAGGCATCTTCAACCTGACACTCCTGTCTGTCCCTCAGGCACACTCCAGTGCCTGGAAACTTGGAAGTCTTGATGGTACCAGGCGTGATACTGGGGGCTGTGTGTGCATGAGAGGGTGAAGGGCAGAGGGAGTTTTGTTGTAAATGCACAGGCTCTGATTCCAGACTTCCTAGGTTTAAATCACAGCTTTGCCACTCACTGGTTTTGTGAGTGACCTTGAGAGAATTACTCAATCTCTCTGTGCCTCAGTTTAACCATCTGTGAGATGAGAAAATCGTGTGTCACTCCAAGGTTGTCGTGAGGATTAAATGAGTTCGTAGATGTGGAAGGACTTAGCCCCTGGCATGGAGTCCAGGTCTGTTGAATCTTAGCTACCGCTGTTGACAACTATCCCGATCCTAACGGACAGCTCAGGCCACACCCACGGCGACAATGCCTGTTTGACAGATGGGGACATTAGGGCTCAGGGAGGCTAAGCACATGAGGTTCCAGAACATCTTATTGAAAACCAGTGAAATGAAGGTTTGCTTGTCATACGCCGTCTCCATTCACCCAGGTCCCAGAGCCAAGACCTAGAAGGGGTCACAGAGTTGAGTTGCTCACGTCTATTGAGTCGAGTTTTATGGACTGGACCCTGTAAATCTCTCAAACCTCTCCTTTCTCTGCATTCTCAGGATTATTATCTTTTCATTCCAACCACGGAACTGTGGTAGTAGCCCCGGAGTGGTGTCCCAGCCTTGTGGCCTGCCCTCTTCATACCCCACACCACTCTTGAATGATGACCTAGAATGTGAATTTGAATGAGCTGTTTTTTTCTGGTCAGAGTCTTTCTGTGGCTTCTGAAGTCCCTGTCTGTGGTAGGGGCTCTTCCCTACCCTCTGGCCCTCCCTTCACACACAAGCTTCAGCCCCACTTCTCACCTCATAGCTCCTGGGGTCAGACGTCCTTCTTTTCCTCACTGCCTTTGCCTGCTCGAAATGCCTGCCATCTTCCCATTCCTTGAACCCCGTTGGTTCCTGTGGTTTGGGACTCTCCATGAGTGCTGTCTGCTTCCAGAAGCCTGCAGGGTCCTGGCATGGCTGTCATACCTCAGGCCTGGCGTTTACAAGAGACAGGCGTAATTGTCTCTGTAGTTGTCACTGGACAGGCCACTGGACAGCTCCGGAGGACAGAGACCGTGTCTTGTCTGTCTTGGTGCCTGGGCTCAAGGGAAGCATTTGATAAATGCCCCTCCTGCACCATTGTTCTTTCCCCTGTCCTGTTGCCCAGTTACCAAGACGTTACCTGTCCATGCCTAGATGCGCACCTTGAAGATATGTCCCCAGTACATTTAAAAAAATTTATATTAACTTAAGGGACTGAGGAGAAAACAAGGGATTACTTTCAGCAAATTGTTTTTTATTCTATTTTTCTTTTCTAATAGTGACTTGAATCCCACCAAGAATTCTGGACCAGAGATTGTTCACGCAAGCAGGTGTGAGAAATACGGTACGTTCCCATGAGCCACACTCCTTGCACGGTCGGCAGAGTGCTGAGGTGCTCAGCTGAGCTTGTCCTTGACCCTGGTTCCCCCGCCCCACCCACCCCCTCGCCCCCCACCCCCACCCCATCCCCGGCCCGGACAGCAATGGAGCGGGAGGTTTGTGTGGGGTTTTCCTTTGCTTACTCCACGTAACTCCTGCCCCAAATGAGCGAGCCCAGAATGCATCCAGGAGCCCTGGGAGTTGTCCGTTTCCTCCTTAACATGGTCTTTAGTCTATAAGGCAACTCTGAGCTTGGGGCTTTCTCCACCACGGGGAGGACCAAGGTGAATTTGGTGTGTGGGCCCGCAGAAGGGTGTGCAGGACCATGGGGAGGTTGTATGAGCTGCTGCTGCCGTGGATAGTGAGCTAGGATGGGGCGGGTTTCTCATGACTGCTCAACTCTCTCTCCTCCTGGTGGAAAATGCCTCAGTTAAGACAAAGTGCCCCCACGAAGCTGCGTATGATGCCTTCCTCTGTGGGTCAGGTAAGGATTGTGGTTCCTTTAAAAGGAAACTGTCTTTCTTTCTTTTTTTTTTTTTTTTGTGAGGCGGTCTCACTTTGTTGCCCAGGCTAGAGTTCTGTGATGAGGATCTCAGCTCACTGCAGCCTCTACCTCCTGGGCTCAAGCAATCCTCCCAAGTAGCTGGGACTACAGGTGCATGCCACTACACCTGGCTAATTTTTGTATTTTTTGTAGAGATGGTTTCACCATGCTGCCCAGGCTGGTCTCAGACTCCCGGGTTTGAGCAATCTGCCTGCCTCGGCCTCCCAATGTCCTGGGGTTACAGGCATGAGCCACTACACCCAGCTGGAAACTTACTTTTTGTTGGCACTATGCCCCTGCTGTCCCTAGATTCTGCGTTTATTTCAGATTGGCTTGCACATAATGAGAGAAAGCATGAGCATGCACATTTTGATAAGCTCTGTTGCACTTCTTTTTTCCATCCTAGTTCTTTTGAAAGTGGCACACTTGCTTCTACAGAAGATACATGGGTAAGTGTTCTTTCTTTTCATCCTGCTATTCAATCAGTGGTCAGGATTTATTGAGCCTTTGCTGGAAGCCAGCACCTCCCCAGTCCCAGGGTCCTGCCAAAGAATGGAGAATGTGAAGTGTCGCTGGTATAGAAATCTTGTCCCTGACTGGGCAACAGCCCACAAATGGCCCTGTGCCACAGGAGTAGCCCTTCCTACCACCCCTGCACCTGCCTGTATGAGTCGTGGCCCCTCATCCCCACAGATGTCAGGAGGCCAAGGCAGTGGGGTTAGGCTTAGGTTCTGACACCTGTCTCAGTCCTTCCCAGCCTGGTGTGTGTGCTTTATCTGTTTCTGACTTGTTTTCTTATAGCCACGTAAGCAACAATGAGGTACGAGGAGAAAGTGTTCAGGTCAATGAATGACATATCCATTGTTGGGGGGCACATAGGCTGGGGAGAGATGAATGGAACCCCACATTGGAATCTTCTGTGCATTTCCCCATGGCAATACCATCCTTGATGCCTGCAGCCCTGGGCACATAGGCACCAGAAACACATTTGCAGTGTACACGCTACAGCACCGTCCTTGGCATGCACATTTGTTATGTAGGACTTAGCCGGCCAGGTGAAGGAGCCAGTCAGAATTCTAATGTGTGCCTTGGGATTGATGTAGAAACATCTTTTTGGATTATAATCTATTAACTTGGGTCTTGCCTATATTTGTCCATTTTGGCAGTGGATGTTATAAATACAAACGTTCTGTGACACATGGATGGGAAGCTTATTTCTTAAATAAGAAATGTGCCAGCCTCACCCTCTTTCTTGTGGTTTGGCTGTTTATGGGCCCCTGGTGAGTATGTGTGTGCTGGACAGGGAAGGCGCTGGCAGTAGTGGAGCACCTCAGTGCCCCGGGTCACACATCTTCTATTTCTTTTAATCCCCGTGGCCTAAAAGCCCTCCCTGCCTGTCTGTGTGGCCCGTGGTTTTGCTGGGGCCTGTGCTCGGGTGTGTGTGCTCCCTGGACACTGCATGGCCTGTGGTTTTGCTGGGGCCTGGGCTCGGGTGTGTGTGCTCCTGACTATGTCGTGTTTGCTGCTGTGCTGGTATGTGCTCCCTGGACACTGCTGGCCCGTGGTTTTGCTGGGGGGCTGGGTGTGTGCTCTGACACGGTGGTGTTTGCTGGGCCTGGGCTCGGGTGTGTGTGCTGCCTGGACAGAGGGGGCGCTGGCAGTGGGAGGAGGCTGTGGGATGAGGGATGCCCTTTTGAAATCAAGGTTGATGTCATGCCAAGTGGGGACAGCATGGGGCTTTCTCTGAATCGTGGTCTCGCGCTGATTCTCTGAGCCTGTTGCTGTTTGTCAGCAGTGGGACCCTCACCAAGCCATCACCAGCAGATGGTGACTGTCCGGAAGCTCTGTTTCCGTGTGGGCCACTGAGAATGCTTTAAGGTCGGCCAGCTGGGGAAGCACCCAACCAGAGCCCCAAGACTTGTGAGGGCGGGAGGGGCAGAGAGCCGTCCGAGGCAGTGTCCTTCTCCTGTTCTGTCACCGGATTCTTGGCTGTGACCGAGGAAATGGATGAACTTCCATGTGCCCAACAGCTTTGGGGTTTTCTGTCCTTGCAGCATCGACCCCGTGCCCGAGTCGTCCTTTCCTCAGTACCTCGACGTGCTGGCTCCTTACGTGAACCAAGTGAACCTCATCCGCGCGGGGGTCCCAAAGATCGTGAGTTGGTCTCATTTAGCCTCCTTGCCCTGTTCAGAGTTCAGAGCCTTCGCTGAGAAGCGGCCAGTACTCTCTGGTACTCGTGAGAGGGATTTCAGTGGTTGAAGAAATAAGAGCTGGCTTTTCCTTTCCTCTCATGTTTCTCCACCAAGGCCAACATGGACTCATCCTCCCTTCTCTTCCCCTCCCTACCCCAAGCAGAGCCTTTCCTAGTTTCTCTTGAGATCTTCGGACTGGATAAGAAGTCAGGAAGCACTGTGGAAAATCTCTTGTGTTCTGCATGTTTTCTAGAATTTTTCTGGTCCAGATTATCCCAGTATCCGACCTCCCATCCTCATCCTCAGCATCAAAAGGTGGCCCGGGGTCAGCGAGCAGCAAGTCTACCATAAGTTTCAGAATCTCTGCAAGTTTGATGTCAGGCGACTCACAAGAAGCCAGTTCTTACTCCTGACCAATAAGTTTAAGGAGTAGGTGCCTCTAAGTCCGCGTCCCCCATGCCTCCTGCATTCATCCCTGTATGTCTCTGACTCCACCCGCCTGATCACAGCAGGCGGCGTGATCCTGTTGCCTGGCTGACCACGGCAAACTTGTTTTGGCAGCGCGCGGAACGTCCTGAAGGAGTACCGGGGCCACCCGACCCTGTGCATCTCCCTGTACCGCTACTGGAGGCACTCCCCAGACGTCAACTGCGTGCTCCAGTAAGTGCTGGGCTGAGGCCGCCTGCCTGTCCCGGGGTCCCAGCATCCCAGCGTGGTCTGACTCGAGCACAGCTCGCTCACTGGTGTGTGTTGCCAAGGGGGTTGTTGACGAGTGTGGTGCCCTGAGCGTCATTCAGTGATACTCACCGCTTGTCTGTGGAGCACCGGTGTGCTGGGCACCATCGTAGTTCTGGGGCCTCGTCAGTGAAACAGAAGATCCCCGCTCTCATGGAGTTTACGTGCTGGGGGAGATAAACAGGATAAACAAGTGTACCCTGTAACGTATTGGGTGACAAGTGTTTATTAAAAATGAGAGAAGGGTCAGGGGTGAGTGGCAGGCTGCAGTTCAGAGGAGCTGATGGGGGTCCCCATTAGAGACTTGGAGTGAGCCAGACAGAGGGGACAGCAGGGCGGGGCCTTCCAGTCAGGAGGCGCCAGGAGAGTCACAGGGAGAGGCCGCTGTGAGCAGAACAGCAAGGAGGGGACACGGGAGAAGGAACCGGGGCCCCCCAGGTGGGGGCCACCCAGGGAGGACTGGGCTTCTCTCAGGAGAGAGGGAATTGCGGAAGTTACGGCAAGAAGGTCGATGACCCGACTCAGGTTGTCTTCCGTGTGGGGTAGACCGTAGAGGCAACGCCGTGAGAGCGGTCAGGAAGGAGATGCTTCAGCTGGGTCACAGCTCAGTGCAGCCGGGGGCAGCGGGGTGGAGTCAGCGACAGACCAGAGAAGGATCAAGTGGGAATCCAGGGTTCGGGTCCTGAACAACTGGAAAGGCAGAGTTGCTGTCAGTTGAACTTGGTGAGGTTCTGGCTCGTGGGTTAGGGGCCACATCCGTTAGAAAACAACATTGCTGAAGAAACACACTGAGCTCCACTGCAAACCCTTTTTCTTTCAACCTGCGGTTTGCATCCCAGAGCCAGCCTAACCTCGAGAGGCAGAAGTTCAGCGTTGGCACCGGGAGAGTGACGAAGAGGAAGAACATCTGAGTGCACAGGGCTGGGAAGGAAGAGGGGCGAGCCTGCGTCGGTGCCTCTTGGCCCTGCTGGGTGCCCCAGCCACTGATACGTGTCATTGTCTTGCAGAGTCTGTGGCATAGTGACTGCCTGGGCCCTTCTCGCGTTCATCTTCGGAAGATCTGGTCCCTGAGCGCAGCGAGGCCTCCTGCGGCCACCCTCAGGTCCCCGTGCTCTCTGGAAGGTGTGCTGGGTGTGTTTGTGTAAATCAGATTCTGTTTGCAGATGGATCTGTTTGGTCGTTTCTAGAAATTCTGTTGTGTCCTGAACACGAAATTCTGTCAGCACTCTCAATGATAAATCAGCCGTTGGGTATCATACCTGTATGTGTGGCTAGAACTTTTCTTTCTGTAAATGCAGGCAGAGCGGTCAGCACCTTGGGATTTAAGCTCATGTCTCACAAGCAGGTCATTGTGCTAGGAGATGAAGAAAAGGCGACATTATTTCTGGGAGAAAAACTAATGGCTTATTACTGGCTGTTGTTGACTTAGTTCTGAGAAATGGGCCTTCCTAAGTTTAGTAAAGGAAGGAGGTGAAGCTTGGAAGAGGGAAAGTCGTGTGCAGTGGGGACATTTTTGATAAGCGTTATAAACTGTAAAACGTTCACATGCATTTAGAAACAGTGACCCGCAGGCAGCCCCAGTGTGCGCCTTCGATGCCGGCACCGTCGGACGCTGTGTCTCCTCCGCAGCGGTCTGCACTACACTCAGCTTTCTCGGTAACTTTTCTCTGTGGGGATCTACACTCGGCTGGGCTCTTTGCTCAACCTGGAGCTTCACTTTTGAGGGCTCTGCAAAGCTGATTTAAATTCAGCCTGGGAGACATTTTTCCTCTAGAAAAACAAGCATTAGTGGTAGTAGCTGTCCACAGGAGGGTGTGGGAACTGCTTTTCCAGAGTTCACACTCCTTTCCTGAGGGATGAAGGGCCCAGTGGCCCCACAGGATCCTCTGCAGCTCATTGTCCAGCCAGCCATGCCACACCCCAAACAGCAGCTGTTTCCTCACCTGCTCAACCCGAATCGTCGGGGCAGTGTCAGGGTGTTGGTGTTTTTGTTTTTTGGGTTTTTTTTCACTGAATGTAGCTTGTTTTGAGACAGGGTCTCTGTCACCCAGGTTGCAGTGCAGTGGCACGATTGTGGCTCACTGCAGCTTCTACCTCCAGGGCTCAAGCAGTCCTCCCACCTCAGCCTCCAGAGTAGCTGGGACCACAGGTACATGCCACCACACATGACTCATCTAAAACAATTGTTTTCATAGTGATGGGGTCTCCCTGTGTTGCCCGGGCTGATCTTGAACTTCTGGCTTCAAGCCATCCTCCCGCCTCAGCCTCCCAAAGTGCTGGGATTACAGGCGCGAGCCACCACGCCAGGCTGATTGAATGTAGCTTTGCTGAAGATAATTCCACTTTTCTTTCATGGACTTTGGGCTTGACTGTTTGGGTAAGCCCTGCATTAAGTAATCTTGCAAGTCCCTCTCAGAGGCCTGGCTTGAGGGCTGTTTGGCATCCCAGCAGTGGAGCAGGGTTGGGCACGTTAAGCTTTTCCACTGAGCTCTGGAGTTGGAGGCACTCAGCACTTTTGTAAGGCCTTGTTCATTCACCTCTTCTCTGTCCAGCGTGTCTTCACTGGACACCTGTTGCATGCCCTTCCGTGCACCACACTGTGGGCAGGGTCCTCATGTCTGTGGTGACCTGGCTGACCCCACAGCCCTGCATCGCACCTGCTGCTCCCCTCCCTAGGACACCCCTGAGCTGGAAGAGCTGGAAGCTGTGCCACAGCCAGGCTTTGTTGATCAAGTTTACTTTCTGAGTTTACTGCTGACCAGGGCACTGCTCAGAATTGCTGAGTGGTTTGGGGCCTCCTGCCCTTAGCAGCTCTTGTCTTGCCTAGGTGGTGGTAGGGGGACAAGGCAGGCTCTGAATCTCTCCCAAGGTGTTCTCCCCGCTCCCGTAGCTCTTCAAGGCTGTGTTTTACCTGCAGGTCTCTCTCCCATCATTAAATGAATAAAACCAAAACAAGGCAAAAAGCCAGCCGTTCTTCTCTCCTTCCCTAACTCTGTCCCCTCTCCCTGTGGCCCAGCTGCTCTTCCCTTTCCGTTCAGGCTTTCGAGCATGTGCTTTCCATCTTTCCCGCCCCTGCGTGCCCGGTGGCCCATGCCAGTCATTAGGACCCCCTGGCTTCCTTCTCACTCCTCTACGGCCCTGGGTGGTGCAGCTGCTCTGGACGTTCTCCCCGAGTCTCTGGTCACTCTCTTCTCGGTTGCCCTCAGCTCTTCCCCGGCCCTTTAGATGTTGGTATTCAAGGAACTGGCACCGTCTGCCGTGACAGTGCCAGGCCCTAGCATGACTCTGAAGTTTGTTCTCAGCTAACGTCTGTCTCCTGGGTCCCAGTTCACCTACTGAGCCTCTGGATTTTCCCAGACATGCCAAGCTCCACACAGGCAGGATGGATCACTGTCCTTCCAAGTCACCTGCCTTGATGGAGGTTGTGAGCATCTCCCCAGCTGTAGCCTCCAGCTCCTAAGTTCTCCCCACCTCCCTGCCCCGCTTCTGAGCAGCCACCCACCTGTAGCTCCTAGACTCTCCCCCCATCCCCGCCCCTCCTCTAAGCAGCCACTCACTGGCAGCTTCTGTCTTCCTGCAGTCCTCCTGGCTGTCCAGACCCCCTTCACATTACCTAGACAGTTTCAGGGCTCTCCTCTCTGGGAGAGCCCTGCCTGCCTCCTCGTCTCCCTTTCCTGCTGTGGCCCTCACGGACATAAGTGGGCTCTGGAAGGCAAATCTGGTCATCTCTCCTGCCCAAGGTCCTTCTGTGGATTCTGCACCAAGTCCACAAGCCCTTTCTGTCTGCATTTGGGGTCCTGCTGTCTCTCTGGTCCCCCACGAGTGTCTGTCCTTGGGCTCACTGTGTATTTCTCTTCCTCTTCCCTGAGTCACCCACTGCTCAAGACCCAGCTCAGCAGACATCTCCTCTAGGTTCTAGGCCACTGTCGCCTGCTGTACCTGTCAGGTGTTGGGGGCTCACCCTGCCTCTGAGCGCCTCTTGCCTGTCCCTGCTGGAGCACTTGGTGCTGTGTGGCAATGTCCCCTGGCCTGGCCCTGCACAGGCGGGCACTGGAGTCCTGGAACCTGCAGGGGCTCTCAGTATCCTCACAAAACAGTGCTCCCCGTGGCTGGAGCCTCTGCTGCGTTTTTCGACAGGGATTTGAGTTTGCTGCTGCTGCTCAGGTGAGGTGCTTTGAAAATGGCATTGAGTAACTGATGTGCTTCTGCTTCTGCGGCAGAGGGAAAAGACAAATGACAGCCTCCAAATCTCCCCAGCCCACGGTGTTCTCGCTGACCCACACAGCCTGATCACTTAGAAGTGATGTGATTTCATGTCCTTGTTCTTATAATTTTAGTTCTTGTTTGTGGTTTAAATTATTTCCATGAGGTGTTTTGGTATGAGAAAGAAGTGACTAGAAATAGCCTTAAATGATCTTAAAATTAGCTAATCTTTCTCTTTACATCCTTCAAGTACTAAGTTCGGGCTGCTGTAACAAAAATAACCATAGACAGGGTGGCTTTAAAAACAGAATCTTATTTCTCACAGTTCTGGAGGCTGGGAACTCTGAGATCCGGCACCAGCTGATCCGGCTCCTGGAGAGAGCTCTCTTCCTGGGCTTGCAGAGGGTGGCCTTCTTGCTGCGTCCTGACGTGGCAGAGACAGCAAACATCTGTCTCACGTCTCTTCTTACAAGGGCACTAATCCAATAAGAGGGCCCCACCCTCATCACCTCATCACCTCCCAAAGGCCTCACGTCCTAAGGCCATCCCCTTAGCGGTTAGGATTTCAACCTAGGAATTTGGGGAAAACACAAACATTCAGTCCATAGCAAGTATCTTTCCTTTTCTCTGAAAGATACAGAGGTTCATGCCACTTATTGTTACTACAGAAACCTTTTCTCTTTCTCTGTGGTCTTTTTAGCTCATGAGACAGCAATACTAATTTTCTTGGCATGAAATATGTGGTAGAGGTTGTAAATTTTGAGATACTTTCTGACTAAGGGGGAAAAAAGGCTGTTACTTTCTAACCACGAAAATCCTTGGTGTAATTTTCTATAAGTTTGTCTGAAAATCCACGGTAATACTTTTTTTTTTTTGGGGGGGAGAAAATTAAACCTTATTTATTTTTAAAACCAAACCACTAAGAAAATATGTCACAGCCTAGAAACAGCAAATGGACAGGCTATAATTTCAAGTAATAAGTTGGTGAAAATACAACGAAGTTGCTATCAAAACAGTAAGTTGCCACGCCAGGGCAGGAACACTGCCAGCTGCACAAGCCCCAGACAAAAATGGTATTTGGTAATGGGGGCTGCCTCTCCTTTGCTCTAAGGGAGTCAGCTCATCCTAGCCCAAGTTGCTTACTTTTTCTCCCTTGAATTCCTATTGTCAGGGGTTTGTCTCAATTGGGCTCTGTTAATTCAGGGGGCTAAGTAGGCAATGTTAGGTTTAGGCTTTCATTCCATCTGTTCTAATAAAACCAGGTTTTTCCAAATCCAGTACTTCATTACTCTGTTATAATAAAGTAGCCAACTGCTCCTCTTTTACTGTTCATTCCTAGATACTAGTATATATCACAATCAAAACCCCCTTCTCTTCAAGGGAAAAGTGTTACTGCAGGATTGTCCTGTCATTTTGCTATACACAGCCTCAGGGGCCATCAGCCAGTAATTCTGCTTCCCATAATTAGCGTGTCATCACCTCTCATGTTTCTGCATGGTCTCCAGGCTGAAAGATGCAGCATGTAATAACTTTAAGAAACATACATCCACATCTTGATGACCAGAAATGGGGATCCACAAGGAACCTTTCGAAGTTCTTATCCAAACTAGTCTCCCTCCCAATTCCACATCTTAGGATCAACTTGTATGTCCTTGTATAAATTACCCAAAACCTACAAAACAAAGACCCAGAAAACTTTCTTTCCCTTCTAAGTTAGTGACCTCATTGATTTTGTTTCACAGCTTATGGAAAATGGTATGGTGACACTTCTGGTAAACAGGATGTTGGCAACAAAGAGAAAATATTTCTTCTCAGACTCCACCAACTCTAACCTGCCAGCCTGTTACTACCTGTGCAGTAAGAAGAGTCTGGTACCTTGGAAGGCTCTGGCTTGTTACAGGGGAGAGCCTTATTGCCAGGACAAGCGCTGGCCACAGGAAATAATAAGCTCTAAAACTCTCCTGTAATCTCTCTGACCCGATTTAGCACCACTTTTTTCCATTTCATTTTTTTTAGGACTGAAACATAAAATAACCAGTGTCCAGAGGCAAGTGACATATGCCTTACACTTGTGGCCATCCTTCATTTCTTCATTTGTAAACCTTGCTTAAAAGACTAAAATTCCCAATTCCTTATAAAAAATATATTCTTGCCCTCAGCCCCGATGGCCACTGGCAAAGACTTTTATTTCCCAATGGATAAGAGAGCTTCCTTCATCTTCTTGGTCATAGTTGGGATGAGGTGCATGTGGTCACCCACACACTTGGTCACACAACTGTCCAGCTGCTGCTTCACCTGAAGCTCCTTACTCCCAGCATCTATTGAATCTTTGGCTTGGTCGTTGCAATGCATGGTGCACCGGGCCAGGCGGTCCTGGAACTTCTCCAACTCACTGGTGACCAAAGCCTGGGCTTGAGCCAGAGGCACATGGCAGCGCTCAATGCACTGGTGCCCCTGCTTCATGGAGGCCTGGCTGTCCTCACAACAGCTGGCGCTGCATCGGAACATGAGACCCTGCATCTTCCGGATGTTCTCTCTTTCCAGACTCTTCACCATGGAGTCCACCGCCTCCTGCACCCTCAGCTGCTGCAGCTCCGCCATGGCTACCCTGCGCTTCCACGGTAATACTAATTAAAACCTCATTTTTTTGTGTGGTGGTGACTTGCCAAATTAAAAATTATCTGGGGCCAGGCATGGTGGCTCACGTTTGTAATCCCAGCACTCTGGTAGGCCAAGGCAGGTGGATCACATGAGGTCAGGAGTTTGAGACCAGCCTGGGCAACATGTTGAACCCCTGTCACTGCCAAAAACTACAAAAATTAGCTGGAAGCAAGGTAGAGTGGCTCACACCTGTAATCCCAGCACTTTGGGAAGCTGAGGCGGGTGGATCACCTGAGGTCAGGAGTTTGAAACCAGCCTGGGCAACATGGTAAAACCCTATCTCTACAAAAATACAAAAAATTAGCCAGGCATGGTGGCGGGCACCTGTAATCCCAACTACTCAGGGAGCCGAGGCAGGAGAATCACGTGAACCCAAGAGGCAGGGCTTGCAGTGAGCCGAGATCACGCCATTCCACTCCAGCCTGGGCAACAAGAGGGAAACTCCGTCTCAAAAATAAATATAAAAATAAAAATTACCCAGACGTGTGCATGCCTGTGGTCCCAGCTACTCGGGAGGCTGAGGCCAGAGAATCGCTTGAACCCGGGAGGCAAAGGTTGCAGTGAGCTGAGATCATGCCACTGCATTCCAGCCTGGGCAACAGAGTGAGACTCCATTTAAAAAAAAAAAAAATTATTTGGGAAAAATAAACATAACAATCGGGAAACTTCTGAAAAAGCAAAGTGATGAAGATGACTTGTCCCACCTGCCGTATGGCAGTACATTGATCAAAGCTGTGCATTTTCTACCATTTTCACATCGCTGAGATTGGGTTATTTCTTACAGTCAATGGTGTGTGTTAATTTAATTGGTGTTTTCTTAATGTGCACAAACTGGTGCCTCTGTGATTACATGTTGATGAAACTGGCAGAAAGTTATAATTAATACATTGTGAGATTGGCATAGTAATAGAATATAGGTAAGAAATAGACTGTGTCTGGGAATTTTGCTGTGATAAAGGTGACATGAAATCTGGGACAAAGAGGCATTTAGAAAAAAAGCCAATTCTTTAGTCCTTACACCAGAATAAATTAGACATGTCATATACTTAAGGTTAAAAAAGGCAAATCATATAAAATGAAATGAAACGATTTAATCTTGGGATGAAGAAACACTTTCTAAGCAGAAAACAAAAGCCTCAAGTGGTAATGAAATAGTTGATTGATTTGGTGCAACCGAATCTCATGTTGTCTGAGATATCTGGAGAGGGACCACTGTTTTGTGTTCCACTAAGGGAAAAATGCTGCTGGGGAGGTTTTTGCCTGATCCTAAGATACACCCTGATCTCAAAGATGTTGAAATGGAGGGAAAGTACGTCTTGGAATGGGTGAAATACAGAAAAATAAGCTTACTTACAACTAAAAAACTAAAAACCACCCGAAACTACTTGAACATGGGAAGCAAGCATTGTCACGGTGGGTTAAGTTGCAGGACAGTTTTGGCAAAACTGGGGTGTCCTTTCTGCTGCCACTGCAACTCTTAGTCTAGTTTTTGGCGGTTTACCCTGAGGAGGGGGTTGCGGGGACGATGCTGGTGGTGATGGACGAGAAGCAGGAGCCCGCGCCAGGGCTGGGCAGTCTGCAGACTCTTGTCCCCTCCTGTGCCGCCTCACGTCGGTTAGAGCCAATCGGCTCTCCTCTGTCCTCTTGTACTTTCGAGTGCTTATAACACAGAGTGGTAGGTTTGTGTCCCTAACTCCACACTGTGTGTCTTCTCTACAATGCAGCTTCGCTCCAGAGCAGGGCGCCTCCTGCTCATGTGGGCTGGCAGCATCATTGAAGGCCTGGGGCTGGTCCAGTCCCTGCCTACTGTCTAGTGGGGCGACAGTACACAAGCAATGGCTATAAAAGTCAGCACGTCCTGGCTAGGGAGGGGCTGGGGCGTCCCTGCCAAGGGTCTAATCCAGAACAGTTCCTAAGGATGAGTGACAGGGAGGGTGTTTTTGTCATTAGCGCAGGAAAACCACTGTATTAGTCTGTTCTCCCACTGCTATAAAGAAATACCCAAGACTGGGTAATTTGTAGGAAAAGAGATTTGATTGGCTCACAGTTCTGCAGGCTGTACAGGAAGTGTGGTGCCAGCATCTGCTGCTGGGGAGGCCTCAGGAAGCTTTTACTCATGACGGAAGGGGAAGCAGGAACAGGCTTCACATGGTGGATGCAGGAGCAAGAAAGGGTGGGGAGGGGAAAGCGCCATATTACTTCTAAACAACCAGATCTTGGGTGAACTCGGAGCCAGAGCTCACTCATCATCCAGGGGATGGCCCAGGCCGTTCATGAGAACTCTGCCCCATGAGCCGGACACCTCCCACTAGACCCCACCTTCCTTCAGCATTGGGGATTACAGTTCAACGTGAAATTTGAGGGGGGACAAATATTCAAACTGTATTAACCATATACAGTGTGATCATGAGTACACTGGAAAAACCTGAGAAGGTTCGCCCCAAAACGTTAGGGGATGACATTGCTGAGCAATCACTGCACACCAGATGCTGAATAAAGTACTCTGTGGTTATTAATTCATGTGTTCCTCACAGTAACCTTCCAAGTAAATACGGTAACTGCCCAGTGACCTTCCAAGTAAGTACTGTCACTGTGCCCGCATAGGACGGAGACACTTGACACCCACAGGGCGGGTGCTTGGCCTCGGCATGCCCCGGCCGGAGGTGGGCAGCTTCTCTTGGTGCCACACTGCCTGCGGGGTCGTGAGTTATTTCAATTTCCTTATTTTTTTTGTTGTTGTTTTATATTGGAGTTGTCTATCGTGAATATATATGGTGTAATTTCAAACTGGTTTAAAAAAACAAGGCAAGTCAGGCAGCATCCACAGGACTGCAGCTCACGCCTCAGGCTCAGGCTCAAGCTCAGCCCCGGCGCCTCCTGGCAGAGTGTGGCCCTGGGGCTCTCCCGGGCTGCTCTTCGACTGCAGCTTCTGTTCCAGCTGCAGCCATATGGCTCTTGTGTCCCACCTGTCATCTTGAGACTCAATCCAGCTCTTGAAACCACCGTTGGTGCTGAGCTGCTCCAGCACTCAGTCCAGGTATGGAGTGAGAAGTGGTTCTCAAGACTGCTTCTCTTCTCCATAGGAACAGAGCTATAGAGTATTTGTCCATTCTTGTCCTGCTATCAAGAAATGCCTGCTGGGCGCAGTGGCTCGCGCCTGTAATCCCAGCACTTTGGGAGGCTGAGGCATGCAGATCACTTGAAGTCAGGAGTTCGAGACCAGCCTGGCCAACATGGTGAAACCCTGTCTCTACTAAAAATATAAAAATTATCCAGGTATGGTGGCATGTGCCTGTAATCCCAGCTACTCGGGAGGCTGAGGCAGGAGAATCACTTGAACCCAGGAGGCAGAGGTTGCAGTGAGCTGTGATCACGCCACTATACTCCAGTCTGGGTAACAGAGCAAGATTCTGTCTCAAAAAAAAATAAAAAATAAAAAATAAAAATCTGAGATTGGGTAATTTCTTTTTTTTTTTTTTTTTTTTTTTTTGAGACGGAGTCTTGCTCTGTCCCCAGGCTGGAGTGCAGTGGCCGGATCTCAGCTCACTGCAAACTCCGCCTCCCGGGTTTAGGCCATTCTCCTGCCTCAGCCTCCCGAGTAGCTGGGACTACAGGCGCCCGCCACCTCGCCCGGCTAATTTTTTGTATTTTTTAGTAGAGACGGGGTTTCACCGTGTTAGCCAGGATGGTCTCGATCTCCTGACCTCGTGATCCGCCCGTCTCAGCCTCCCAAAGTGCTGGGATTACAGGCGTGAGCCACTGCGCCCGGCCGCTACACGCTTTTAAACAACCAGAGAACTCACTATCACGAGAACAGCATGGGGGACGTTCACCCCCAGGATCCAGTCACCTCCCACCTGGCCCCTCCCCCAACACTGGGGATTCCAATTCCACATGAGATTTGGGCGGGGCACAGAGCCAAACCATATCAAGGGTCGGTCATCTGCTGCCTGTTTCTATGGCCAAAGAACTTGAGTGATCTGAATCTTTGGATCGCTGACCTTTAAATAACTTGGACTGTTGTTTTGTGATGGAATCTGGGGGGGATAGTGGTGGTTGGCAGGAAACACTAATAACCTATCATCAATCATCTCCTCCCTCTTCTAACACCTGTGATTATTCCTGTGTAGGCAAGAAAAGGTATACTGTATAAGCTATTCTCCGTTATCCTTTAAAAAGACTAATAAAATATGTTAAAGTGTTATCTCTTGAGGGGCTCCTGGTGGTTTCTCATTTCTCTGGCATGTATTTTTCTGTACTCTAAAAATTTTCATGAGTGTGCATCCCTTCAAAACCAGAAATGTGCTATTTTTAAAAAATTAGTACGTATAACTTAGCATCTGAGTGATGACAGTTATATTTTAAAAGTGAACTCAGCCATGCATGGTAGCTCTCGCCTGTAATCTCAGCACTTTGGGAGGCCGTGGCGGGTAGATCCCCTGAGGTCAGGAGTTCAAGACCAGCTTGGCCAACATGGTGAAACCCCATCTCTACTAAAAAAACCAAAAAAAACAAAAATTAGCTGGGTATGGTGGTGGGTACCTGTCATCCCAGCTACTCGGGAGGCTGAAGCAGGAGAATCACCTGAATTCAGGAGGTGGAGGCTGTAGTGAACCGAGATCGCGCCACTGCACTCCAACCTGTGCGATGAGCAAAACTCCATCTCAAAAAAAAAAAATGAAAGTGAACTTAAAGGCTGGGCGCAGTGGCTCACACATGTAATCCCAGCACTTAGGGAGGCTGAGGCAGGTGGATTGCCTGAGCTCAGGAGTTCCACCCCAGGCTGGGCAACATGGCAAAACCTCGTCTCTACCAAAAATACAAAAAGTTAGCCAGGCATGGTTCCTACCTGTGGTCCCAGCTACTCGGGAGGATGAGATGGGAGGATTACTTGAGCCTGGGAGGTAGAGGTTGCAGTGAGCTGAGATCGTGCACAACTCTACTCTAACCTGACAGAGACCCTATCTCAAAAAAAAGTGAACTTAAAACTGAAAGAAAATGCACAGAAGTCTCGGTGGGGGCTGCCCCAGAACAGGTGGACCATATGG